AGCGGAAGAAGCCGAGGACCGCAGAATAGCTGAACACGAAAGCCGTGAGCCGCGACCTGCGAGATGCTTTTTGAAATGCACTCAGTCAGCAGAAAACTCTGCCATCTTGCTTCACTGCGCGGCGCTACACATACATGGAATACCTAGAGTCATAGCCGAGCGCTGGTTTGCTATATGGCCGGGTCTGCCTAAGCATGCTCAGGAGGAAGGTCTAGCCAACCCGAATCCCATCCAGGCCTAACGCGGTACATGGACAGCGCCACCTTGGCTGCAGCAAGCGCGGCTTGTGCAATCGTTTCTGCTGATAACTTAACATACTTAACTCATTCACTTTGCTTTCTTCTGGAACGGCTTGCTTTGGCAGATGAGTCGCAAAAGGAAAACTTGCCACTGCCATGCCAAAACCGATCACCAACAGAGTTCTTGCCCACCTTAGGCACAGTGCACAGAAACACTGAGAAGCCTTTTCGGCAGAGCTGTCGCGCCATTCTGATTAGTTGGAGATGGCAGTGTTAACGGAGGACGCAGGGTCGAGGATCCGGGGTTTTAAATTCTAAGGAGGAGAAGCAACCCTCCAAACCACTGCGTCGCTGACGGTGTTGTAGGCCTGGTAAGCCTATGTAAGCCTGCAACACTGTAACTCTTCTTGCCAGAAGGCGAAACAGAGTCTCGATCTTGTCCGATAGGCTATGAGGTGCAGTCTAAACTCCTAGTATCTCCCTCAATGACCCCTATACTAGTCCCCTATATAAACCCCCTCAAGGAGTTTAGACTATAGCTCAGGCTCGTATGAGGTCAGATCAGAGTTCAGACAGGGGTTGAGGACCTCCAAGGCTTGGAAGCGTCGGTGTCAGGGCTGGAGTGGAGAGGACTTAATGTTCGTAGCAGGGCGTGGACCCTTTTTTGATCCCCTGCCCTTCTTCTCCCTGCACCTCGAAGCTGTTGCATGAGGAATTCATGAGATTTTTCCTGAAAGGTTCATGCGATCAAGTCCAGATGATGGACAGATGGACAAAACCTCGATTTCGAGGCTTTAAAGTGTGGTCGTAGTAAGCTTCCAAGCCCGCTTCCATGACAAATTTCCACAGATCCAGCTGGAAACACCAAAGCGCAAAGTTGCACTTCCAGAGAGACTGATGGTGGGAACAAAAGCTACACGCTGGGCCTTCAGTCCTCGCAGTCAAACCCCCAATAATCTCGTGGACTGCCGAATGCTGCACAATCTCAAAATACAAGCACAACAAAGAATGCACGATCAGCTACTTGCAGCTCAAAGTGGCTTGTAGCCAAACAGCCGAACGAAGCTTGCATGGGCAACGAGGCCAGCAAGCGCTAACATCAACGTGACCAGAATCTGTGATGTAACAAATTCCTTGGCTATCAGCCAGCGGCCACAACTGCCAAACATGTTAATTTACAAAAATGTCCAAAGCCGAGGGGTTACATAATATCACCAGTACTGGTCGCGCGTCTCCAAGCGAAGCCACATCTCCAAGGTGAACTTGGAGACCAAGCGACTCCAAGTGCACATCTAAAGGCCAAGGGCTTGCCACGACCATGACGCTAGGTTTTTGGCAACAGGTGTCTGAGCCAGTGCTGCAGAAGCACAACCCGCATCATAGTTGGCAGTGGCCTCTACAACCCAGAACATCATTGATCTGTAGGTTGTATGTGCACCCACCTCGAGGGGAAGCCACGTCGGCGGCTCATCGTTGCTGTCGAGAAAGTCTACGTTGAGAAGCTCGCAGCTTACATTGGTGGAACTGGTCGGCTGAGATCTTCAGTACTAATTTAAAAAAAGCATCGGCCGAGCCGCAGCGGGCCAGGCTTGGCCTATCTAGGCGAATTGTCATCATCTTCTACCAGGGGTTCTACAGGGGATGGTATAGGGGCGTACTGTAAGGGTCATTTGAGGGATACTACATGACATCCTGAATCTGTTGGCATGTCGGCTGTGCTACATTTGGTAGCCAAAGTTCTGGCACATGTTGTGGCTGTGGCAGGCGTCTTGAAGCTCCATCCGGTTCAAACAGCACTCCATGATCGCATGTCTAGGGTCACGCATCGTCATCACGCTAGCAGTGTGACAGTAGCGTCAGCAGCACCCCGAGCGCCAGGACCTACTGCAGGCATGTTAACATTATCAGGCTCCGGTTCCAACAACTGCTTGTCCGACATGCTGCCACTGTTGGATGTCATTGCCGCCTGGCGTGATTCCCTCTAAGGGGAACTTGCTTTTTGCACCCTGACCCCTGAGTGTCTCACTGTGCAGTTGTCCACAAACCAATGACCTACTGCCTCCTTCGCATCAGCTTTGCACAGTTTGATTGATTGCATACAACTCTTTCCTTTTGCACTTTGATGTCATGGGATGGAGGCTGTAGATCCTTGTTTTGTGCCCGCCCCATCTCAACTGAAAGCCAACGGGCGCTCCAGTTGAGGTTCATGGAACCATGACAATTTGCCATCTTTGGCGAAACCAAGGCCCCCAATCCTTTCAGGCCTCGTGTTGACTACACTACGAGAAGGCACAGCTCTCGTCATCTCACAAGCAGAACCTTGGGCCTCAGGCGCTATGCAACCAGACGACATATGTGGCGAAGCAAACTCACCTGCTCCACCCCGTGCTAAATTCCCATGAGGCTTTGTAAGCCGATTCAATGCCCAACAGCTTGAGGCGGCAGCAGCTGGCGAGGCTCTCTGCCCTTGGCAGCACCTCACATGCCAACACGTCCGCGCGCAAACACAACTCTTTGGCAGCAGGTGCAACAGCGTCAAGCTCTGAGGTACCAGCGCTGGGAAGCAATTCCGCGATCCCTCGCAAAGTTCAAGAAGGAATCCGGAAGGTGGCTGGCATCCTGCCGTTGGTTGAAAATTCAACCCAATTTCTCCCGTCTAGCGCATCGCTTCAGACATCTGACATGAATGAGTGGTAACGGGTTGGGCTGGTTATTAGTGTGGAGGCGCTCCGGAACCTGACCAACATTTTCGCAGCGTTGGAAAAATGTTCACGCTGTGCTTACTTTGTGTAGGTCTTTTAGCTTAGCATTGCTTAGCGATGCTATCCCTGCTTCTTTTGCTAGCTTAGCAGGGCTTGCAACCCTGTGCCCGATGTGGTTTTGCTTGCTCGTACAGTCCTACAACGCATCTGTGCAGACTTCACAGACAAGACTTTGCAGCATCACCCCTCCAAGACGCCATCGGAGCCATCCCAAAGCAAGCAGTACAGCACAGTGCATGCAGCACCTCGGCCCGGCAACGTGCATTTGCCATTTCATTAACTTCAGGCTAAAGCATGTGCTAGAATAGGTCAGTCTTCTCATTTCACTTAGTAGAGAAATGGAGGTGTCAACCGGCAAGCCACATCTCATCCCACCTATTCAGCAGAGGCGCACTCCACATTGAAAAGCAAGGCTCGGCTGACCAGCATGGTAGCAATCGCTGTCAGCGTGCCTGCAGCCGACAATTTCCGATTGAGTTGGCACCAAACTTTGCCAACCAAGCATTCATGCTTGGTAAGTCCTGGTTGCACCACCATCCTTTTACGCTGTTGCACGCTCGCCCTAGACTCATCCCATCAGGCCTCAAAACCCACACTCCTGGAACCCTGACAGATTTGCATTGACTTTGCTTTTCCGCTGATTTCATTTCAACACCCCAGGCAAAGTTTGGGAGCATTTTGGCACGAGGACTGCCAGATCATCCCCAGCATGCAATAAGACGCACCAGGCCAACGCAAAAGATCCTGATCCTGTACCGGACCGAGATTCCACAAGTCATGATCTCCGACCTTAAGCCTGACCGAACATGGCATTCTGCAAAGCAGTACCGGCCAGCGAGCAAAGAGCCGCTTTCGCAATCTCTTCAAAAATTCCCCGACGATCCCGCAATACATCCCCATACCATACGTGCCCGGTCTTCCTGGGATAAGGCTTTTCTGGACATGGGATACTTGAGAAGGGATGAGGGATTTGATGAGGGTCTCTATGTGGATCCAGCGTCAGCAGCTGCTCAGGTCCTACAGTAGGACACCTATACCCATACTTGCCTACATATACACATACACGCACGCAAAGATGCGGTTGGACCTGCTTCAGGCAGCATGAGCCCCACGTGGAACAACATACGCAGTTTGAGGCACTCGAGTGGTTGGCCACTTTCAGCACTGTGCGTTGAGTCGGGCAGGAGGACCAATTCCCAGCAGGCAGGCAATCATTTGACAGCATGCGACATCTGGCACGCAAGCCCAAGAACTAGCAATTCATAAGCCGTTATGACCGGTGTGCAACCGAGTTGCCCAGTAGCTCTGGGCTCACTGCCTGACTCAGCACATCGATCAACAACCAGGGCACATGTAGAAACTGGAGGTCTGCGCCAGCGCATTGTCAGTCAAAACGCTGGACTTTGTGAGTTGGAGAATGACTGGTGGCTCTATACACCTGTCAACACCCTGTGACAAAGTCGGTTTCAGCCTTGATCGGCACTAGGGACGGGGAGGGGGGGGAGGTGGTGCATTACTTCAGGTTGGAAAAACAGCCATCCCGCCTCCACCTCCTTGTAAAGCGCCGCAAGCTGTACCGCCAAGAAGGGGAAGCCTGAGGCCTATCAAGAAAACACGCAGAACTGCAAATTTTCACTGAAAGGGGTCCCAAGGACGAACACGATAGGATGCATGGCGCTCTGGCTACACTCAGCAGCGTAAATAAGAGATTGAGATTGTCTGCTCAAAAGAAAAAGGGCAAAGCGAGCTACGAGTCCTCGCGCTGAAACATGTTGAAACTGTGAGGGCCTGCAGCTGGAAACGCAGCTCTGTCAGGAGGTGGTACCACTCCAGGTGCCTCGCTCCGTTTGCAGCTGAAGCCAAGCTGCTAGCTACACGCGATCTGAAAGGATTTTGAATCAGACTTGCGTCGTCTCTAAGCTTCGACATGCTGCAACTTGATGCTAAACAGTATCCTCCCTGCTGCTCGAAAAGCCTTTCTCATCTGCCAGCTTAGATTTCATCCCCCGTCAGGCCTTGCCACGGCAGTCCTTGCCGCCAAGCCCGCGGCCGCTGCTAGCCCTAAGCTTCCGGCCAAGCGCCTTAGGCTCAGGGGTCTCTCCAAACGCGGCATGAAAGCACCGTGCTAACATCCGGTAAGCATGACGATCTTCATCTCGTCCAAGTTTTCTCCAAGCTGCAGGAAGCAGGCCACAATTGACAGGACGGACACAAGACCTGCATGGCTGCGGAGAAGCTTGGAGGCCTGCCAGTCACTTGACCAAGGGACTTGTGCGACTGGCAGGATGACCTATGACATCTATGACAAAGTGCTGCGGTCCTTCGTAGCAGCCACAGCATATGAGCTGGAGCTCAAAGCTATGTCCACCTCGCATCAGAGATTTGTCGCAACATGACCGCATGGCCAGTAAGGTTGTGCCCCTGCACCGTGCTGTCCGGGCACATATGCGTGGCCGCTGAGGAACTCAGTCCACGCTTGGACAGTGGCAAGGAGAGAGTCACAGGCCACCTCAAGTCTCAACTGTCTCCCTCTAACGCGCCAGCCATAGATGCTTTTGCATAGCTTTTGAGAGGCTGGGTATCATGCCGCGATACAAGCGCCACATCCTCGCGACTTCCGCTTAGCCTTGTCATCCTCCTCATGACACTTGGCCGGCATGTCCAAAATGTGGCGCATGTGCAGGCCGCGCAGTCTGTACAGCATACAGACTCCTGTCGGGCGATAACAAGATGAAGAGCCCAGAGTGCCCATCGCAAGAAACCTGGAGCAAATCAACATACACTCTTCAAATAATATCCATCAGGTTTCGGAACAAAGTACAGTTGGTTGCAGTTGGCATGGGCAGTCTCGAGGTCGAAAGCTCTCAAGCAAGCTGTCCCAAAGCCAAGCGTCGGAGGAGGGCGATGGCGAAGGCCCCGCGAGCCATGGATCCCAAATGGCACGTAAGAGCCACCAGAAGTCCTGCCCAGATAGATGCATCAATGCGCTTCCTCCCTCAAGAAGCAACCTCTTGAGTGAAAACGTCCTTGCACTGCTGGAGCCGCCGGTAAGTGGCGAACCTTCTGCCAGATGTTGGCACCAGGAGCCTTGCAGTGGCAAGGCTGCCAGTAGCTGCGAGTACAGCCTAAACAGCAGTGAATATGAACTTGATGCTGTGTAGGAGCAAAATACCATGCTGCCACCGAGTGCGCAGTGGCAAAGAGACATGCAGCTCCAACCAACTCCTTCCACTGCTGCCACTAGCCGTCCAAGGAACATGTTTGAAGATCTAAGGCCTGTCAAGGTACCCTGGGTCCACATGTGCTTGTTTCTTGATCAGGGCATGAAAGGTCGCCGAGGCTCAAGCTCAACTCAAAGAGGACAACCTGATGCAGACATGTTCTGAAAGAGCAACCTCCAGCAGCCAGCAAGGCTTGCTTAAGGAGGCTTCTGTCTCCTTGATTCTTTCGCTTCCCCTTTGCTCTGTTACTTTGGGGTCGTGGCCAACTTTGTTCTTGCTATTCAACCAGCACTTGGCTTTGCGATTTTGCATGGTGATGCTTGCAAGAGATGATAGCTGATGTGACTGGGCTTCATAATTTCTTGCGTTTGTCCGTCTTTTGCCCTGTGCAGTTATGCGGTCTGCGCCTGGCCTCAGTGCCATGCCGGTCAGGAATAGAAACTGTCAGACTATCACATGTGGATTGGTGCAGCTCCTGGACCCAGAAGCAGGAGAACACTGTGGCGGCAATGTGAAGATAATCTGCAGCCGCCAAGTGAAGTTGGCGGAAAACTCCTTCACATCAAAGGACTTGTAATCAGAAATCTCGTGCAAACGTGGACTGCAAATGAAGCTCGCCGGTTCACTCACCTGTGCAAAATGAGAGCGCGCAAGCAAGCCCTGGCACCTGAAACACCGAAGAGGGTAATGCCGGTGACATTGGCGCTGGAAAGAAGCGCTGGCAGCACTGCCAACAAAAGGACCCAAGTCCTAAGCTGACCCACCAAGAGTGCTGGCAAAGCAAACGCTGTGTAGAGTGATCGCCCCACTTCGCGGGCAAGGTTCACCTGGCAGATGAAGGCATCCATAACTGGCAGGAGCAATAAGGAAGGCATGCTCATCACGACCTCAGCTTTTGGCTCGTCTTCCGATGCATGCATCCGATGCAAAACTTTCAGTGATCAGGCCCGGACGGCGCAGGATTCTCGGACGCAGTCTGCTGCGACATCAAGGCTTGTTCTTGCACAAACGCAGCCTTCGGGTCTTCAGATGCTTTGATAGGTCATGGGGCTCTGGCACTGCATGTCAAGGTGATGTCTAGACTCTAGACATGTCCAGCTAAGATTGTCCAAGGGACCCATGAGGAAAAGGAGAGCTCCAAGGAGTAATCCGCATACCAGCACCGCAACGAGGAAAGGCATTTCACCTTCGTTGCCGCAAACAGCTGTCCAGAATGACTTCCTCTCGTCTCCCATTCACACCCAGACGCCAAAGTACACAACTCTCGAGACATACCCACAACCCCCCGTTGAGGCAAAGCAGCTCAAAGAAACAGTGTAGGCTGTATTGAGCTCCACCAGCCCACCCGTTGCAAGCGACAATGATGTTGCCACCAGCGGCTGTAGCCCTGCAGGAGATAAGTGCATGAATGGTGATATCATGTCCACTTCACCCCAGTCCCGACCTGGTACAGCGTCCGCATTCGTCATGGCCAGCAGTACGACGGCAGACGCAAAGCAAAGCAGGCTGGAGGTAAGCAGTGCCAGCCGCACGAGAAGCAGCGCCTTATTCTCAAATTGTTTCTGCATGTTTCCAGGAGCTTAAACCCCCAAAATCCACGCGTAGCAAGCACCAAATCCAGCTCTGAGATGCATTCAAGCAACGAAGAAGCGCAAACACAGGAGATACACGAGGCTCACGATCAATGCCCAGGCAGTCGCGAGACATAGCAGGCGCGGAATGGAAGGCAGGCTGCGGAGCTGTTCAAAGCAGCCGACGAGCCAGTCCATGGCGGCACCTCGAGCAGTCTCCCTTCCCGGCCTTCCCTGCCCTGGGTCCTTCCGTTCTGGGATGTTAGAGTTAGAGATGCTGGGAGGCTACCTGATGATCTGGGAGAGGCACCTGATGCAATAGCTCCCAGAAGCGACGTCCTGGATGCCAGCGCATCACCTAAAGCCCGCGCTGGTACACAGTAGCGGTCAACCCAGGGCTTGGTCTCCACGAACACCTGCAGGCAGGGACATCCGATGAGAGACTTTGCATGAAAGCGAGGTGAGGAGAAAACGCTGGCCTCTTGCGGAGACAGGACCTGCTTCTCAGTTCGCACAAGGAGCACGCGCCCGCCTGAAGAATATGTTTGGTCTAGGGTGTGGTGTACGACACTTGCTCTGCAGGCCTTCCTGTGGCACCTCCACCTCCGTGGCCTCTGGGCCTTCCGGGCACAATGCCTGCTCGCCAAGACCGGGACAGTAGTCCACCTCAGATAGGCAACGGGAGATAACGGGAGTCAAGATGTTTGGATGAAAGGTCTCAGCAGACAGCTGCCACTGCTGCCACTGCTGCCGGCTGACGCATACTGGAGACGACAAGTTCAGAATCAGCCCGTGCTCTATCCTGAGGAAGGCGCATCCAAAAACACGCCTGATCCTGAGACCTCTTAGCTGGCCCGATTTGCTTTTTGAGTCCCGTCCTTGTGGTGCACCAGTGTAAGAGTGGCTGCTCTTGAGTGCCTGGGCTGAAACGTGTGACTAGCGCGTAGAACAAACCTCAATGCCGGCGAATTTCTGCGCGGGACTGAGAAATTGATAAGGATAACTTACCCAAGCATTGAAGCTTTTGATGCTGGCATTCTGCCTTCACTCCAGCCGCAGATGCGCCCGCGATGGTCTATGCCGCGAGTGAGCGGCCGGAGGTCCTTCAGGGGACACAGGGACTGCCCGCTTGTCAAACTGTTTCGACAGCAGCCCGTTGAAGCCGAATGTGCACGCGCATGTGGCTTCTGAAAGTTGTCCCGGCTGTGGGCTGCGCTCAAGCCTGGGACATGCAATCCTTACAATTACCAAACACATGGAAACCGACGAGCAAAGCATGCCGCAACTAGCCCACCCATCCTACAAGTGCAAGAGAGGCAAGACAGGTAGCACCAGCACGCTGAAGCGTCAAGACATCAAACCCAGACTGCTGAAGCCAGCACGGTCAGGCAAAGCGGCTGGTGACAATTGCGGCCGTGAAAAGAACGAAGACCAGGCCGCAGCAGGGATCTGTGCCTTGACCCATGAGGCCATGAGGTTTGATTTGCCTTGGGACACCCTTAGGCTATCTTTCCCTCAACATGCCAAAGCGCAACGTCTGCGAGCGATGCCATCAGTTTTCTCTGGGACCTGCGAGTTGTGGGAGCTCTTTGGAACAAACACTGAACATTCCCGCTGGCATGCCCCGTGGCTTCGTTTTTTCTAGCTGATTCTAGACCTGCCTGGCGGCGAGAGCGTTGTTCCACAGCTCGCAGCTGCGGTGGCGGCGTAGCTGTGCGCTGCCTGCGTTGGAAGCGGGGAAAGTTGAAAACAAGCTGCCCAGTGTCGAACCCACGGGATTCAAACGCGCTTATGTGTTGATCATCTGTTTGGGTGAAGCCCTGACCGAGGCAGACCGCGCTCTCTCTGAACATCCGAAAAAGGACGAAGCTCTCGATTCAAACCTTGACCTCACGCTCAAGGTCTTTTTGCTACAGGGTTCGCTCCAAGAAAGCCGTTTGCATGCAGCAAGTTTCAGAGTCTTGCACCCCCGGGCAGCCACCGTCTCTGGAACTGTGATTGTGCCAGTTTAGAGAAATCTGCAAACGACTCCGGCCTTGCTGCCATGGTGGCAGCAAAGGCCACAGGCGTTCAATGCTACTGCAACTGGTAAGACGAAGGAAGCTGGTGTGCTTTTGACATGTTTTGAAGCTCTGCTGTGGTGCTCGTCAACGCATCGGTCTTAAGATCTTTGACATGACGTCCATTGTTGTGAGGACCTAAGCCTGTGGTCGGGACGGACAAAGTCGAGCATTCAGATTCCCACAATACAAACAGGCAATGGATTGGTCACCAGCTCTCAGTCCCCAGCGTCTCTCTCAGGAGGCATGACCACTGCAGCAGCGCAACTGTTTTCTAGCGCCTATGAAGAGGAGAAAGTCGCAACCCGTGAAAAACTTGCTTTCGGAACCTACACACCAGCCAAGGCAAAGTTGGAGTCAGACTACACCCCCGGGCCCCACATTGCATGGTCTACACCTCTGCCGCTGCTTGGCCAGGCCTTCGACGAGACTCAGAAACAGAATTGTCTTGTGCCAGGGGCTCTCCAAAACTTGCACGGCCTTGATGGTGAAAACAAATACTTCCATAAGATGAGCAGGCTTCTAGAAAGAAATCCAAGCATTTGTCATGCGAGTTGAAAATTCTATTGTTCGGAAAGGCCTGCTCACATGGCAGAGAACATTTCCTTTGGTGCACCTGATGCTTCCAGTCATGCTGGCTCTAAAAATGCCTTTACTGCGTCGTCTCAGCGAATTACAAGACCAAAGCGATGAGTCTGCGGAGCAGAGCTCAAATCCTTGCGATGCTTGCAGCAACAGTTTGCTTGCACTAGTGTGTGTGATGTGTCGTCGATCAAGACTTGAAATCTGCAGCCCGGTTGCGGCAAGAGACTGCTTGACTCGCTGCTCATGCTCGCACCAGGCCTTTGTCCAGTCACAATAGTTAGGGCTCATACCAAGAGCCTTTGCTCAACCTCTGCTTGACCCTCCCTGCTCTTCAAGTGCAACGTCACCAAGGCACCTTGAAGTCGTCGCTCGCAGCGCTCCTTACTTCGACATGTAGCGTCCATGCGAATATCTGCAGCTTCACTGCTGGGAAGCACCTTCAAAGCTGGATCGTCCGACTTGTCATAGTACTTGCGGCACCTCACACAGCGCAGGAGGCAAGCATGGGAAATGGATGATGTCTGCACCAGAGTAAGATGCGGTCAGCGCAGCAGACCCATAGCACAATGTCAGGTTCCGGCGCGTCTGTCTAAGGCGCACACTCTTCCACGTCATCAGCGGAGCCCAGGATCACCGGCACACGCTGGTGCACGAATTGCTGAGCGGAACAGGCATTCACTGCTTCATGCTTGCAAAGGCCTAAAGAAAGCTCATGCCTCATCAGAACTTCCAAGTGGCACCCCTATAGGCAATCGCGCTAGTTGCGGAACTTGCTGGCCAAAGCACTGGCGGAATGTCCAAGACTCTGCTGTGGCCGGTGATCGCCTCTCAGAACATCTCAGAACTGCTACTACGCAACCACGGACAAGCGACGGATAAGTTGCTTGCATCACGAACACAGCAATGCTCTCCTGTTCTGGACACTTCACTCTGGCCTTGCCACCAGCCTGCTCCATGATGAAAGACATGGGTGCTCCTTCGTAGAGGAGGCGCAGCTTGCCATCCTGCCGTGCCACACAGATTGGCTTGATGCAGTCGAGATGGACTGCTATTCGCAGTACCAGAACAGCTCTTCGCATCAGCTAGCAACAGCTGCTAGCGAATGCATAAGAGCACCTGGTTCTTCGTGTCTGCTGGGTATGCAAAAATGCCGCCGTACAAGAGGGTGCGGTGGATGTCGCCGACCTGGGCATGCGAACGCTCGCACTAGCGTAGCATCCTACCAAGCAAATCTGTCAAAGGAGCTGCGCGATTTCAGTGCAAGTGAGTGGCCATGGAACCGATGTAGCGCAGCGAATACGGCTTGCCAGACTCGCCTGCTACAGTAAAAAGACTACAGCGAGCTTCTGCATGTTTAACATGGATGGCAGGCCGGTTCCGGCGCGGATGTCGGAGATGTACTGCCTCATTGGCTCATCCCACTCCTTGGCATCAAATTGGGATAGCGCCATGGCAGCCGCACGACTACCTATGCATGATACATCTGCTTTTACGGAATCGCCAAGGCTGAAGTAAAGCCAAGCCCAAACATCAACCGAGCATCCCCAATGTTGGCCTGATTGCAGGAGTAGATCTTGCCCCTGGCAGGAATCTTGATCCTGAGCTTTTGCACGTCAAATGTTCTTTCCGCTTGGAGTGTGAAGAGTCAGCTGCGTGGTCGTGAGCTGTATCAGCTCCGGACGGACAACAGAGCTTGCAGTATATAGTATATACCCGGCTAAGGATTCCCAACATATGCCGTCTTGTTACGCACTATCTGCACTTTTGCACCAAGCCAAATCACATTGTCCAGTGCATTTTGTGACAGGCTTTGGAGTGATGACTTTGCACTTGTAGACAGTTCCATCATCTTCTGCAGTGAAGCGTCGAAGGTCGAGTCATGACAAACTCACCGATGCCTGGAGTCAACTTCGTATCCCACCACAACAGCCCAGCCTTCAGAAGTCAGCATGGCAAATTGCCCACATGAATCCAAGCTGCTGGTGTCCAGCGTAAAGCCCACCACACCGTGGCCGAAGGTCAGGACGAGCTCCGTGGAGGCAGAGTACAGGACGTATCCAGCAGCCACCAGGGACTGACAACAGGCAGGCATAATAATTCGTGATTAGAAAGAAGGCATCGCCCGTATATCGTATATTTGATACATTCAAATACCTAGAAGCATCTGTGCCACTGGATCCTCGTTTCCCTAGATTGCAGGCGATCAAGAATCGACGTAGGCCTTTCCGGGCTGCAGAGTGCCGGCAAGGCACCTACCCAGCAGAAGAATCCAAACAGCTGGGTACTGATCCCAAAACATGCTGCTGGCTCTTGGAATATCTGGCGCAAAAACTTCGCTCGACCCATCCATCCCATCGGTTGCCTTTGCTGCTCATCTGTCAAACCGGCCGATAGATCTTCAGGCAGCTCGCACTCCGCCATGTTCGGCTCCTGCTCATGTCTGTGCAGATTTATGATGAGTGCGAAATTCAAATCTCTACCTATAGAACCCCAATATAACCCATTATAGTAGTTTCCATTTTCTTTTCCATTATCCCGATAGAACCCCAATATTCCAGCAAGCAATTGTCATGGGCCTCAGTTAGCTGGGGCAGCTGTACCAAGTTGCAGGCCTCGAATACTCCAAAGATGGTGCCCACAGGGATTCCTGCATCTACGTTGCCTCGGCATGGATAGTGGAAAAGAAAATGGAAACTACTATAGTATCTTGGAGTTATAGCGGGATAATGGAAAAGAAAATGTAAACTACTATAGTATCTTGGGGTTATATTGGGATAATGGAAAAGAACATGGTATAGTATCTTGGGGTTATATTGGGATAGTGGAAAAGAAAATGGAAACTACTATAGTATCTTGGGGCTTAGGGTCCAGGATTAAGGTCCCCCCCGACCTGTTTCTGCTGCAAGAAGATTGCAACTGTCGCGTGGTCCAGGATCTTGTTCGGTTCATTTGTCCGTGCATTAGGTGAGATAGGCTTCCTGTCTGGATTTGAGACTGTTGGGCGAGGACTCGATGACACAGTGAGAAAAACGGCCCAGGGCTTTGAAGAAATGGCCAGGATTCGACAAAGCCTACGAGGGAACTGGACAAAAATCAACACACATCAGACCCTTGGGCCCACTCTTCATGGGATTGGGGTGCGGGGTTTAAGGGTAAAGAACATGGATTTCAGGCAGTTGCGTTTGAAGAAATTCGAAAGCAGAGATGTGACAAAATTGGCCCAACACTTAAGAGAAGCAGGCGGGCTTGAGCAGGTAAGGCTTTCAGTAATATGAGGAATTCAAAAAAGAGGGGTACCTTTTGAGAGTTCCCTCCGACAAGGACTGCAGTATAGCTCGTCTTGGGAAACTACCATATTGCGCAGGCTCTGAAATCCTTGTAAGGCTCAAGCCCTTGCCGGTTTCTCCCAGGTACCAAACCAATTTTGTCGTATCCCTGCTTTTGAATGTCTCCAATCCCTACTCCAATTCGCTTTGATCACTGCTTAATCTGTTCAACTTTTTTACAAGAGGCTGACATAGGGGTCCTGTCTAACACGAATGGGAAGGTCTAGTCTGAGCGAAAAAAAACACCATGACAGGTGCAAGCCGAGGTCTCATGGGGAGTCAGAGAGGCTTCGGGGCAAGGCTGACATGCATGCTCAACTTTGCCCCTTACCATCTCCCGAAAGGCCCTGGCCACTTTTCCAATCCACAATCAGTTTTGTAAAATCCCCGCCCAAAGCCCATCCAGCACCAAAAAACCTAAATGTCTACCAAAACAACTACACACGCAATAAGAAACAGCCTCCATCATGCGCTCATTTTCTCTGATAAGTAGCTGCTGCCATCCAGAGGGTCAAAGACACAGATGTACTTTCCAGTCTCCGCAAACTCCTGCACAATCCCGGCTGCACAGAGCTGTCATGCTTGCATCATACGAGGTGCCTCTGACAACACTGGGATCGCCTCGCTCTCGTTTGATCCCAGCCTTGCTCTGGGCGCAGGACAAGGAAGCTGAAGCCAAAGTGCCGATGCAAAGAAGCTCAGGCTTCGGCCAACCATCCACCGGCTCATCCTCCTCCTCTGAGGCAAGCGTTCCCAGCTTACCTGTCACAGAGAGTTGAGTAGGTTCCTAAAGCCACTCCTCTGTTGAAAGCCCATGCTCCGCCTGTGTATCGAAGGGCATTCTTGAAGACATCGTTCGTAATAACCTCAACTTGAACTCATCCCGCCCTCGCCGCCCAGCCCGTCCAATCATGACCACAACATTTCTCATCCCCGAGGTCCTGGCATCCAGCTTCTTCTGATCCTCGCCCTGGACCTGACTGTGCTCACGACAGCAGCCCTGCTCTTCAGCCCGCCCGCCATTAGATTCTTCCTGAAAGTGGTTAGAGTTCTGATCGCTAATCTTGTGCTCGCTTGCTGCGGAAGGAGTTCAGGAGGGGAACCGGGGGCCCTCCGTGGAACCGCTCGCGCTTGACTCAGTCAAAGCGAGTTGGGCTGCGATGGTCTCAAATTTAAAGAACGTGCCTTCATCTTGCAGGTTGCTTGCTGCCAATTGATGTGGCATTGTGTGATCTTCCGCACGTTTGCCGCATGCAAGGAGCCATGCGGCTTCCGGTGGTAGAGGCATCGTCGAGTTCTCAACGCAGAACTCAGACAACATGATACTCTGCTTGATGTGCTGTGTCCCATGAGCTGGTTGCCCAGCATGCGCAGGTTGAGGCTGCCAATAAGTGGGTACAGCAGTGGCTGTCCAGACTGTTGAAGTGATGTAGGTCCGCGTCATTGATGCACAGAGTTACTGTGAACCAAGGCTAACTAGCATGACAAACGCTGAGTGACAGATCTACTGGTCATCTTTATCTTTCTCTTCAGCGCAGGGCTGCAAAGTTGAGAGGGTCCCGAAAAAATGATAGATAAAGTGCTTCATGCAGAAAAGCGGTGTCCTCCAAAAGTGCTCTACTCGCCACTGCGCCGTGGTGGCACGCTGTCTCTAGTGAGCTGCGCTGTAAGAATGACACGGAAAAAGCTAGGCTGGCAGGCTGGCCAGAAAGGAGCCTACCGTCCAACTTTCTTCGCCGGGAAGCATTGATCTCGCCCTGCAGCCCCAAGAGTTCAGCCTGCATTGAACACTATTCGATGGCATGCTTAGCATAGAATGCATAGCAAGTAAGCAGACACGAGAACCAACCTTGTACCCTGCCTGCTGGAGCGGAGCTGTGTTGACAAGCTTGGAGATGACCTTGGAAGCCTGAGAATGGTATCTTCATACAGTACACATGCTTGTTGGCCACTTTGGAGTACATGCTAAACACACGCTGCATGCCGATGTCTCTTTCCAGCCTCACGGATGGAATTCAGGATCGAGTCCAGATCGGAGTCAATGATGCCACGGTTCGCCAGCTCTATGCAATAGCCTAGGTGAAGATAACGAAGGAGGTGATAGCTTCATCCAGCTGCTTCCCAAGTTGGGCTCAACGTGGCTCTGTGCCGTCAGGGGTCGGCTAAGGGTGACCCCCGTCTGTTCACAGACCTCATCCATGTCATCAGGGTTCACCGTCACAGCTGTCCTGGAGCAGGCGGGGTTTGATTGCGGATGCTATACTTCCACACTGGTTGCAGTGTGATGGCAACGAGGTGCATGGCTGTTTTCAATAAAGCCCAGCACACGGAAACCAAATTAGGCCACATGTTTGGCACACGCACGACAAACTTTCAGGCTCAAAACTGCAGTGGACCAGCACAATCGGGGAAGCTTTTGCACAAAACTGAAGGCAATGACCGGTCTTAGGCCTACCCCCTTCCTTGAGTCAAATGCCCGAACAACCCCCTGTGATCAGAAACGGTTACCTCATAACTCATAACGCACTCGTGAGTTTAGTTAGCTACGTCACGATCAGCAAATCGTCCTCTTCTTCGCCTGACAAACAACAGGACAATGCAAACGTGCCGTGGTGGCAAGGCATCTTGGGGCCTCCCTGCGCGACCCTCGAGCCGCCGCAGAGCCGATCGCTGCTGCTCCCAGAGCAGCAGTTGCCACAGATACCGCGCCCGGCGCCTCATGCAAGCTCTCTGCCAGCGGGGCGCCAAAATTCTCAACTTGCTGCAGCCAATCATCATCCTCTATTTTGGTGAGAGCATGGCAATGTTTTGAAAATCTTTGTCTTCAAGCCAGCGCTCAAAACTATTCAAGGCCAGATGCCGAGGTTGGCTGGACGGGAGCAGCTGAGCCTTGCTGACCACCGAAGCTGACAGTCACAGTCACTTGCCCTCATTTGGCCCCAACAGCCATGTAATGACCATGTTGCACAGTCATAACCACTTCAGCTGAGGCGCTGTGGCTGTGCACCTTGTTTGGCACCGCGACCTGGAGCCGCGCGACTGTCTGCTGATGTCTTGGCATTGCCCCAGGTACGGCTACCAGCTTTTGGTGTTCAAACGCTGGACCAAAGTCTGATTCCAGCAATCTTGGGAAGGGGCGCCCGGACCGGCAGTGAAAGCCATAGCTCCTGCCAGTGGTGTATGCTTTGAACTTGTGAACTCCACCAAACTAGCCATCGCAGCTATCGTCCCAAGCAAGCACCTTCAAAAGTGAGAGCGCGCGCTGGAAAATATTGGAAAATGGCTTCTAGAAAGGCAGCAGTATCTACCGCCCTGCTCCAAGCGATCACACACGCCCCATAGATGCCTCCTGTGACTACGGCTCCAGCAGCCGCAGCTGCAACCGCCTTGCTCCCATGACCTCGGTTTCAATTGGCTGGACTTACATCTGCACAAGCTCCAAATCGCCCGGTAGCTGCACCACACAAGCCCTCTAATTACCGTGTCTGCGTGATGTAGAAACATTGGCGACTGACGTTACTAGACTCTGGCTGCAGGGCTTCTTCAGATTCAGCACTTGCACCACTCGTTCTTCTGGTTCCAAAAGTTTGCAATTCTCAGCCCTCTGGGGTCTTGTCTGCCTTTATCTTACACATCAAGGTGGCTAATAGTCCTGCGTGGTATCTGTGTGCTGGACGAAAGCTTGTTGGCGAGGGTTGGCGCGGGGCAGTGCAGGCGCCAGCGGGAGCGAGCATTAGTAGTGGCGCCATCGGCGACGGTCGCCGTAGCGGCAGGATTGGCAGCAGCAGCAGCAGCAGCAGCAGCAGCAGTAGCAGAAGCAGAAGCGCAGCAGCACTGGGAGCGGCAGCGGATGGGGGGGGTTGAGAGGCCCTGGCCGGTCCTCTGAAGACCAAGCTCATCATCCACGCATGGGTAGATCAAAACTTTGAGCTGTAGGGCTTGGGGCTTGGAAACATGATACAATTCTGAACTCCCACTTGCCTGGCCCGGAGTCCAAAAGGACGAGCAAACTGCACAACAGTACCACTGAAAACGGGCCAACAGTGGCGGAAACGACAGCCATAGCAGTATACCACAGCAGGAGCTGTGGCAGTGGCGATACCGGGTGCAACCGCAGTAGCAATAGCGGTAGAAATAAACCAGCAGCAGTCTTGGAACTTGGAAGAGGGAGACCCAGAGGAGGAGGGGGCTACATCTGCACAGAAGCGTTGATTTTGTTGTATCTTTTTGGGGAGGGGGCCCGCCCTGACCAAGGACCCTGAAACGATAAATTCGGCGTTTAGGATAGGGTTCCATGCCTTCAAAGCCACTGTTAGAGTTCTTGGTAAACCAAAACTCCAGCTGAGTCCTCATAGGACTCGCTTTCGTGACTTGCTTGCACTCTGCCCGGAAAGCACAAAGTTGGTAAAGCCCCTGTACCCCCTAGGGAGGGTTGGATTCGGCCTTGCGTCTGCCTGCTCTTGATTTTTAAACACCCCCGGATCCACAGCGCTTACAGACTTCTTGCAGGCTGCGCCTGAAAGCTCTTTTGCTATCTGCAAGGTCTCCATGTACCTAGCCGGTGAAAGTCCCACGTGTGCATCCTGCTATGTGCGTGAAGCACGGGACGCCGATGCTCTATGGATTAGGTGCCTACAAACGAGCTGTGTGTGCGAGGAAGGCCGCTCGGATGAGCGGGAAGATGCGTTGACCCAAGAAGTTCCATGTGACAGAAATGGAATCATCAATGCATTCGACTTGATGGGGCCAGTGTGCTGGCACAAATAGGGTATCACCAGGGTTCAAGACGATTTCCAGCGGGGTCACCGACTCTGCAAGGATCTCGCTTAAGGGCTTGAAGCCGCTTCCAGTTGCCTTCTGCAGCTTGGGCAAATCGCACGGTGGGAAGAGAATAAAGCGTTTGCGTCCGTGAATCTGCGTGAGCCATGCATGGGTTCCAGACGGATCGACATGCAGGGGAGTGATGGAACTGGCACCGCCGATGAACAGCCAGTGGAAGTCTGGGCGATGTCGGCGCGGCAACTTTGCAAAATAGTCCTGCAAGGGAAAGGAGCTACAATCTACAGACCTCGCCTCTGATTGCATGTCGGTAACGAGAACAGCGCCTTCGTCAGTAGTGCTGGACACGACATGAAAATACATGGGTTTACTGACCCTGACTTTTCCAAAGAAAGCTGGTGCTACTCTCTCATCAAATGTAGGAGCAGGGAAACATATAGTGCAGCATCTGCCTTCCCCCATCATCTTCCATCCCACAAGCCTGGAACGCGACATCATGAAAGTCACCCTCCCGCCACAAGTCATTCGAAAGCCATGGCGCATCCCGTTCGTAGTACCATCCGCCTTGGTGCAAAATCCCTGCCAGTGCCTGACAGACCCCTCTGCAGATAACAGGTGGCCAAAACTTCATTTAGATTCTGAACCATGCGTCCTAGCCACGTAAATATGGCAACGTGCCGGGCTTTCGTGCCGTCGATGCCCCGGCCGACCGCAGCAGTTCCAAGTAATCTTTCAATGAAGATATGCTCTTTTTGCCATGCTGCAAAGTTACGTGCACGTCAATATGTCCACAAGTCGTGGCAAAGAAGTCCAAGTCCCATTTGCTGAGTGCTGGCCAGCCTGCGGCACAGTCAACCAGTAGTGCCGGGCGGAAGGCATCAAGATGCTTAGCTTTGAAAGCTTCCACGAAATCATTCTTGTCTTCGTCACAGCATTTGAGGCGGGGAATCTGGGTCAAACGATGAGCATCAGAGAAGATCTGGTCTGGAAGCTGATCTCGCAGTAAGACTGCCCGACTCGAGCTTTCAATGCCGACAAAGCGTCCTCGTGCATAGGCGTATGCGATCATTGTACCATCGAACAGTGGAAGTGCCGTTACTGGCTCCTCGGCTTCTTCAGGTCTTGAGGTGTCTTGCACACATTCGGCGGATGGCTTGGAAGCACTTGGGCAGAAGTATTGGTGTGGCAGTATCGCAGCCACATGCCTCAAGATGGCGCGCAGAGTCTCGGAGAGATACTTGCCAACACTATGCAACAGGCAGCGCGTCCCATGGCTGCACATGTTACGGCCACATGCCTGATCTTATGAAATGGAGTTTGTTCGCTACAGTACGGAGCACTATGCAAACATGGGCATGCCAGGATCCCCCCTTGGCAAACGGCTGCAAGACAACTTGTCGCAAGCGTGCCAACTGCCCACTTGCTGACTGATCAGTTGCCACTTGGCACAGCTGGAGTTGACCGCTCGACTCGTCTTTAGGATTCTGAGCCAGGGGGGTGACATGCATTGTGGAAGTCATCACCGGCGATTAAGTCCTCGACTGCGTGGCATCTTTGCGGTCGATGCGAAAAGCTTTCCTAGGAGGATTCAGGCCCTGCAGTGCTACGCTGAAAGTCAGGCGTGGCCAGCGGGAATGCAAATTGAGCAAATCAATGAAGTAGCAAACTAAAAACAAGCGTTGCTCACAACCAAATGGACAAGGCATGCACTTCACACACCATGAGTTAATGAAAGCAACAGGCTGCCAAACATGCAAGGTCTCTCTATGACATCCTTTTCGCGCATCACCCAGTCAGTCCAGTGAAGCGATCACTACAGGAACCCTGTTTTTTCGCATCAGCTTCATGACGACTGCAGGGCGTGAGGTTGGCTACGAATAGAGGACACAAGCCACTCCGGTCACGGCGCTGAATAAGCATGCGCTGACATGTCTTTCGGTAGAGCGGCCGCCTCAGCAATCTTATGGCAAAACTGAATCCGGAAGCACGCTGAATACCGCAGGAGTATTGCTTTACGGCACACAGTGTTACATGAGCAAGTTTTGCCCCGCTCCCTTCTCCACCTCGTTCAGAATCTCGGAGTAGCCCCGACTTCTGCCCAAGAAGGCAAACCTGCAGCCATGCCCGTCTCAACTGCTTTGCACGGCCAAGGAGTTGCACAAACCAGCCTGGCGCTTGCCAGCGCGACGGCCATGATGTCAAACAGCAGGTTGGATGCAGAAAAAACCTCGAAAGGTGCAAATGCAAGCTAGACAGTCCTACTGTCAAGCCAAACCCACTTGAGCAGCAGACAACACCACAACACCCTGTTCCTGCAACGATCCCCAGCGACTCTAGCATGCAATTGGGTGGTCGCGGTCCCACAAGATTGCCCATCTGCTCGTGCACACAAAGCATGTGGCGGGATGAACGCAGCCTTTTACGTTGCAAATGTGCCGCAATGCCACTCAATATAGCTGCCGGCTACCAGACACCCACTTGCGCGAACGCCCGCCTGACAGCCTGGTGTATAGTCTGGAGTAGCAATTCTTAGGCCACTACCAAGAAGTTCCGGAAGGCCGTAGTGTGCAGTGCATTGACCTGTTCAGGCCCGGCGTTCATCATCCCCCAAAGCCCCGCACACGGGTGCACAGTACAGTTGCCTTCAATGCTATATCTAAATCGAAAACCGACCTCTTTCGTACGCATCACGGACTACCTCATCTACCTGCGCCCATCGAAAGCGTCTCCGTTCAAGTGGCCTCTCCCCGCGGATCTTGCGACCACTTCAGGAAGATTGGGTGCGGCCTCTGCTTGACAACAGAGATTCTTCCAAATGAGCTTTAACGAAGATGTCTCCACGGAGGCCTACAGGCCTACGCAAAAGGAAGGGTGATTCACATGGCAGCACGAAGATCGATGGGCAGGATTGTCCTTCTTTTAATCTCGCTTCACGTAGTGGCGCACGTATGCCGTTCACACTAAGGTCACTGCACGGCCTGGAGAAGGATCGTGCAGTGCCTTTGTGTGCCTTCAGTGTCTCGACCATACGCCAGGCGCAAACATCTGGCCGATGCTGCGCATCTCATCATCTGTCAGCGAGAGGTTCACAACCTTAGAGCTCGCAAGAAAACAATGCATTGCCCGACTCGGCCAAGCGCTCCAAACAAGAGCGTCGAACAGCTCAACAGCTCCTTGCACGTGCTAAGCTCCGGGCATCCAAGTCCTGCTGCATGTGCTCTGAACTCCTGAGCGCTCAAGAGCGCTAACACGATCTCCTCTAGCCACTGCTTTGGAAAGTCATGAAGCTCGCGTGCTCAACCGCCACAGCGCTCATGCAGAAGCCGGATGCACAAGACACAAAGCGGCTGGGCAGAGTGGTGCATAGTGGGCAGAATAAACTGGAGGATCTTGCCGGCCAGAGTCTTGGTTCCCGTCAATGGCTGGTGCCCTGACCTCGTTCATGGCGAAACTTGCGCAAGCACGAAAAGGAATTGAAAAGAAAGGGCAGCCAGCTGCACCTGGCGCCTTGCAACATTTGCGCTGTGAGGAATACGCCTCTGCAGCCATATGCCGCTACGCCTCCTGTTCTTCTAAGATTTCTTTGACATGCCTGGACTGTTCTTCCCCTCACCGTCCGTACTCAGACAGATCAGAAGCCGGAGACCCCACAACGATTTTTCACATTGTGTGCTGGACTCGGCAGACGCTGGACAGCCAACAAATCAAAAAGGCAAGAATCTATATTCCAAACACAAGATGAGGACTGCTGGCCCCAAGCAGACTAGACGAGTGGTCTTAGAAGGGAGTTGAAGCGGAAAAACCATCCTCGACAAGCATGCTTTTAACTTTCAACGGACCTGAAGATCCTGAAGCCTGCCTCAGAGCTGATTCTTGATACAGGCTCACGAGACGTGATACAACTTGGTTGTGCCAAGTTTGGCTCAGGCGGCTGGATTAACCATCGGAAGAGGATCTGCGCGGGTGTCGCGCGCAATCGCTGCGCTGCCGACTTCACAGCTGGCGATGCCTCAGCCAGAACACCCGGAAGAGAGCTGCGCAAAAGCCCGGATGCTAAATCAAGAAGGCCTCGCAGTCAATCGGCAAGCCGAGAGCCGAAGGCTTGGGTTGGGCTAATTAAACTACTGCAAGTCAGCAATGACTCAATTCAAGGCACCAAAACGTGGGGATTGGCTGTCAGCGTCCAGAATGTTTGATAGGTGATGCCCTTCTCAAGGCAGAATTGCCGAAGTTCTAAGTCGTAGCCGGAGTCGACATAAAAGCGATTCTGCAGCACCTTTGGCTTGATCCTGCCCAGTTGCAGGCAATGCGATGCGCACCATGGATTGGGTTGCCACTCACGAAGGTCACTTGATAGTGGCAGACTCCGCGATGATCTGACCACTCTAGCAATGCTGAAGCAAATTAAATGAACAAACTCTGGCTTGGCTCTGACTTGACCCGAGCACAAGGTCACCAGCCATAGCCTCGCAGCATCATAGACACGACGGAAGGTCCGCGGGTCATAGCAATTGCCTCAGCCAAGTTGGAGTGCCGCACTTCAACAAGCTGCTTCCAAGCCACGTGAATGGTTGGAGTTGGGTGGCTGATACCCAGCTGACGCACCTGGCCGCTTTCCACAGCCTCAATGGAGGCCACACGGAGGCATCTTCTGACATCACTTGGGACCCCACCGGGGGCTGAGCTTCTTCAAAGACTCGCCACACCTGCAGGTGTGCAGGAACACGCGGCCCTTCTAGGGCAGATATACAACTCACCGACAAGACGCCTCAAGGTTTTCCTCCAATGAAGGCATTGGCGAATGCATCACCTCAGAAACCCCAGTAAGCCTCTCTTGATTGCTGGACAATGTTGCAACTATGGCATGCAAAGCAAGTTTGCTTGCAGCCAATTTAAATGGTGCTTGGTGCAACCAGCATGTACTGGCCCAAGCCGCACTGCATCTTTTTCACACAGCTAGCTACCATGATTATGAATTATGATAGAGTATGCGTCGATGCGTTTGCCCTCCCTTCTCAATAAGGCCAGGTTGCCAGCGAGTCGATGTATGTGGTTCCCAAGTTTTGCAATGATTTGTGAATAGATTGCTGCACTTGAGCAGGAAGTGGTGCCTTGCAGTCCACCGAAAAGCTGACCGGGGAAGGCTTCAGCGACTTCAGCCATCTTGCCCGAGCACGAGCCTTGCTATCATACGGCATCCGGCTCGGGTCCTGCCCGCGCACCGGCGTGAACCTGAAAAGGACACAGTCTGCGTGCTGCGTTTCGGTACTCTGGTGCACCTTCCTGCGAGCTGCGAGAAAGCACCGCTATACGATGCCAGGCTGCTTTGTTTGAATCCACAGCGCCTCGCGCGGCAGCTGATCCTCCTTAAATGCAAGGCCACATGCGAATAAGAAGCAGATTAGTGCATCTGCTCAGCTCGACCAAATAAAAGTTGTGCTCATGGCATGTCGTCGGTCCAAGCGACCGCAGCAAGCTTGGCCAGCGCGGCTCCCACTAGATCCTCACCTGGCTGTACTTGCAGGCTACAAACTATCATCGATTGCATGCTGCTGGATTCTTTGCCACCTGGTTACGGTAGTGCTTTGGTTGGCAGGCTGTGTCGATCCCACGAAAGCCTGCCCTGCGACAGTGTCGCAGTCAGGCTCTGAACATTGACTTGGACGTTTTAGGCATGTTCCACTGTGAACATGAGAGTGCCATATGCGTTGACTCTTGGGCCCGTCCTGACTGCCTTCACCACAAGGTCTGTGGTCGCAGTTTCTTTCCAAGCAGTTCCGTACAAGTATGGAAGCTGCGATAGGTCATCGTGACCTCCTGGAAAGGGGTAATTGGCTTCACATGCTGCATAGCTTGAGAAGTCCCAGTGGACCTCCTCCAAATGTGCCAGAATCTAAGAAAATGCTCCTTGACCGCCAGACTGGGCTTGCGTTGTCCGTGATCTTGACACCATTGCGCCAGCAGCGCCTGCCCCTGCTGAAATAGCAATCGTAACAAGTTCTATCAATACTAGTACTGCTAGTAGTTTTCCTATTACATACTATTACTATTTTTTTTCAATCATCTGGTCTTGAAATAAAGCGAGAAAGCACGACCCGGCCTGCAGCAATCCAAGGCATTGCGGCACCATGTGTGCGGCCGTGCTCGGCCTAGGCCAGTCTAGCTTGAGTTACTTGAGTTCACGCAATGCGGGAGCCTCATGCCGGCTACTTCAGGCTCAACTTGTGGTCTTTGCGGCCAAGCAGCTGGGCGGGCTGGGAACATTGCCGAAGCGCGAGGCATGGACAGCGCGGGCACGGCCAACCGCTCGGTGACAGTTGCTGCCGCGGCCAAGCTGCGCATGGAGGCTGCAAAGGCGATGCTGAAATCAAGTTTGGTGGCGCCTGATACCCCCTGGCTGCGTTTCCCAACTCAGATCGGATCATTCAACAGCAAGAACTCGAAGCGCATCCGTGCATCCCCCTTTACTGATGAGCACTGACTAATAATTTAAGACAGTCCAAATGAAGCTGGAATCCCTCTAACTAGCTAGCAACCCTCAAGCTTGGGCCGGACTCTCATCTAGCTCGGTCAGCATCGGCTTCATCAGGCTAGGCTTCTGCCACAGCTCTTCAAGGGCCGAGCGCCATGATGTCGTAGAGTGACGCTGCCTGCGGGGCTTCCACTAAGCCATTAAACAAGGAGCCCTGATTGCAGCCGAGCCTGCTGCACTGCCAACCTGTAATACCTCAAAGGCGGAACAGGAGAAGCAAACATGCGTCAGGTTGCCGAGGCAGTGAATCGCTGATCAGGCGAAAAGCTGTAGGTCGGCTTCATTGACTTCTCGGAGGCCGGTGTGAGCCTATGGCAGAAGTCGGCTTCAGCTGCATCTGTCCACTATCTGTTCCTAAAAAGTGACAACAAATCAACATGATACTCTTTGCAGTGAGTGCTCATCGCCTGAGAGACACGTTTAATGTGCCCCCTGCTTCCAATCTGACTACAGCACGCACCCATCAAAGTGAAGCCAGGTACGACTCCGCAGAACTGACTACACCGTCTGACACGCAACACAGTCCTACGAGGGATCGCCAGGCCTGAGTGGAACCCCAGGAGCCACAGCGAAAATCTGAGGCGCCGGTTGAACAGCAGTCTTTGCCTGGCTTTAGCCCGCAAACGGAAAACTTCAGCGGAAGGTAAAGGTTTTGCAAATGCTGGATGCTAGATCTGTGAAGTCTGCAAGCGAATGCGAACACCACAGAAAGCAAGAACATCTCCACTAATGGCAGAGCTTCAGCGATTCAGCAGAATGCTAGGATTGGTTAGACGCGGCTGTGCTCTGGAGCATGGGTCGGCCTATGGCCCAGAAGTCGTAGGTCTGCCGCAGTGGCGTGGAGACGCCAGGTCCAATGATCGGAGCTACCTTTGAATCGCCAAATGTGACAGCCGTACCAAACAGGAGACCAGTCTTGGAGAGGCAACCGCATGCCGCACTCATACAACTGGGCTTCAGGCGCAATACAGACTTCCTTTCCTCGATAAGCACCAGGGAAGTCATACAAGCACAGCCAAGGATAAACTAGCAATTGCTCGCCGCATGCCAGCATGTGCCAAGGTTTGGTGCTTGCAGCCACTCCAGTCCGTGCAAAGGGGCTTTTTTCAGCTGTGACAGTTCGTCAGTCTGAACAAGGAGTCGCAAGGTTGCGTCGGATCAGTGGTGGATTGTAGCACCTGAGCCTGACGAGAAGATCATGCAAGTGATACGGTACATTCTGCCATCATTGAAGGCCAGACTTCATGGTGTAGCGGCGACTCATGCAGGCCTTCCTTCCTTTGCATCTGCAAAGACGGCAGTGCTGAGACAAGACTTGCCGAAGTGGCGAGAAGCATGGAAGCGACAGCTCAAGGCTCTTCCTTCGCAGGCTCCGCGGGAGCCTCCTCAGCTCCCTCAGCCGCTTCAGCTGCTTCGCCCTCCGCGGCTTCGACTGCTTCGGTGGCCTCTGCAGCTCCTTCGGCCTCGGCCTCGGCTGGAGCTGAAGCCTCTGCGCCTTCCTTCGCTTCGCCTTCCGCTTGGGCTTGCTGCTTGTCCCAGTACTCTTGCTTCTTAGAAGCTATCTCATCAGCACGCTTCTTTTCGGCTTCCTCACGGATCTTCCGCTCAATCTCTTCGCGCTTCTTGCGCTCCTCCTCCTGCTTTGCCTTGCGCGCTTTCTCGGCCTCCGCCTTTGCCTGATCCTCACGGATGGAGGCTTCATCTTTGGTGAAGTAGATTTGATACTTCTTGCCAGACTTTTTGCATCGCATAAGCTCGTTCCAGGCTTGATAGCTCGTTTCGATTGGCACGCCATCAATCATGCTGATACTCCATCCAGGCTTCACTCCAAGGAGACGAGCTTGGCATGACACACGCTCCACTTCCGTGCTGCCAGTCTTCCATGTAAGCCCGTGTGAGCCCATGGCGAACTCCATCTTGCAAATGCCTGGCTGCATTTCCACCATGGCGCCGAGCTCTGCTTCGGACAATGAAGCCCTACTGTTTAAAGAGCTCGTCCCTTCTAAGCCGAAATCTGTGCACCCTGTCATCATGCCATACCTTGCCTCTGGTCAGATTGCTAGAGCAATTGCAACAGCACCTCTGCACGACAACGCATGCCCATTAGCCCTCAATGCCAAGGCTCATGAAGTGCCAGGTCTTGTCTGCATCGAACATGCTGCCCTGCTCGAAGGTGAGAACACCTGCATCCATGACCTCAGCCCACGCTCACGCAAGTCCGAGCAAAGAGAAAATAGCATCTAGCGCGCGATCTCAGAGCCGAGTTTGCAACATCCTCGCCTGACACCAAGGATGGGTTCACCCCAGTGCCGTTGACTCCCTTGGCATCCTCAGGGAAAATTGCAGACAGTTGATTGCATTCACCTTCCACACCAAGTTCTCAGCCCGGCGCACGCATTTCCTGAAGGGTATAGTATGGATCCTCATAGTTTCGGAGGTTTGCCAACCTAGAATCCAGAACGAGTTTACCCAGCAGAACACTCGAGGCAAGTCAGCTTCACAAGCCGAAGCGACCCTGCGAGGATGCCCCACACGGCGCAGATTGCTGCCTCGCGCGGAACCGGCATCAAGAGATAATCATCCACGAATTCCACTGCAACCCCTGACTTGCACGCACGGTTGTGCGCAAGGAAGTCTTCAAAGGAGGAAATTAAGCAGGGCGGTGTAAGCTTGGCCGTGTTACAGTTGGAAGATAACATAAGATAACCGCGTACCGCCGCGTACGAAGGTATAAGAAAAATGTGCTCATCCAGTGTCAGTCACGAAGTTTTAGTCTGAAAACACAGGGAAGCTCAACATCCCGCAACGAGTGAAAGTTCCAGTCCGAACAGAACCCCAGCTCTTGATCGGGTATGTGGCAAGCTGTGGTGCAGCAACTGCACACGCAGCAAATCTGCTTACTTCTCAAAGAATATTCACTGGCTGCACAATGCACGAGGAAGCGGCCAGCACGCTGAAGAACGTGAACCAAGTGGGGTCCTGCACAGCAAGCAAGCGCGGGATATGTCCTGGTCAAGTCAAGCCATGAGACTCACAGACCATCGCCACGATAGCTGAGGTCTGGGCAGGATCATATTTCCGAGCACAGAAAGCAACCACAACGAAGACAAACCAGAGGACGAACACGGCAGAGATGCCTTGCAACATCTTGCGAGGAGGTGTAGTGATTGCCAGAGTAAGCCAGCACGGAAGGATTATATTGCGCAGTCGAAACTATGGGGAAAGGCTCCGTTCAGTATAGGAACCATCCGGGCAACAAGTTCGGGTCTTTAGGTCATGCTACCTGCTAATCACTCAAGCCAGTTGCTGCCTTGCTCAGCTAGACATCCACTACGGCAAGGCCGCCAGAGCTCAGCAATCTGCGGCTGAGCATATTCGCTGGTTTCTGAATCTAAGGTCAGCGCACAGCCACGCAAGCATTGGAGTCCTTCCGATTTGGAGGTATGAAATCTTCTCTGACTCGCAGGCCGAGACTCTGGCAGCCATACTATGCAAGCTTGGCTGTGCAGAAGTAGGCGGGGGGGGGGAGGCGCTTGGCTAGCCACAATGTTGCTGCTTCAGTCAATGTAGTCACCCGGAAGAATGCTGAGGCCCCGGCGCATACATCAAGTAGAAGGAGCTAAGGCAGAAGCAGTACACGAAGATCTCGGCAATCAGACAGCGGCCACACATGCACGACAAATGCATGGAAACATACAGCCTTGAGCCTGGAGCTAACAGTCTAAGCCAACCACAGATTCAACACTTGAGTTGACATGATCCGAGCAACTGCTAAAGATGGCTGTCCAGACACAATCACAAGAATAGCATGGTTTGAGAGTGGGCTGCTTTGCAGGTGAGTCACCGTCCAAGGGACGAACACGTTCAGGAACATCGGTAAAACATTCATTCGCCTTGCTTGCCCAACTTCCCAGCTCACAGCTCGGCCAGAAGAACACATGCTAACCCGAGCAAGCAAACCATTGAGTTGAGGCTGCTACATCCGATGGCCAGGAGAAAAGAGCGCCGGCGGCTTCTGGCGCACAATGCGCGGCAGCAGGCAACAGGACCAATAGCATTGTGAACGCTGACAGGCCCAGCAATATAAAACCACTTCCAAAGCTACAACCGCCCCGCACTCAGGCTTGCGGCCGGTCCCCGACCTTGAGGAGTGGGGTGACCTCGGCCTCGTCCATGGCGCGCTCTCCATACCTGAGCATGGCTGAAAAGGATTTTGGTGGGCCGCCACGGCATTGCATTGCCAAGGACCCAGTGAAGTGGTAGTCCTTCATTGAGACTTGAAAGGACAGTTAAGGTCCTTTCCTACATGCGTTACTGGACAGCACGGCTGCACAGCTATCATCGCCCCTGGGCTCCGAACATGTTTTCTTGAATTGAATGTACAGGCCTGGAGCAGAAACAGGGTCTCACTTTGCAGCGGGTAACCTCGGTCACTTCTAGGTACCCTTACTGGCAGCTGCAGCACTGCGGCGTGCTCAAAGTTCTAAAGCATCGCCGTACCGAAATACATCTGTCCCAAAAGACGCAGTCATCCAGCAGCGAGCTACATCACCTGTGAAAGGAAGCCTGGGACATCCTAGCTGGACAAATAGCACAACCGCCCTTCGATGCCTGCCGGCGGAAGCGCCGGTCAAGCGAAAGGTTTCACTAACGGAAGTTTCCCAGCCAAGGACTGCGACCGGCGTAGGGTTTGGGGGTGTAAGGCCTGTAAAGAATGGGTAGGTTCGCGGCTTGCGGGACTTCGCCTTTTGGATCCTCGTTGAGTAGCAAGCATGCCAGAGGTCAGGCCAAGTCTACTTGCACGACATTGGAGATTTTGCTTTCGTTGCATAAGAGCAGCCAGTCTTTGTACACGATAGACTTTCTCTCATGCAGCACGGGCCATGCAGAGAAAAAGCAGGACAGGAGCGATGTTGCGAACGTTTCACTGCGCTGAAACTAGCAGAGACACATAAAAATTGTGTAAGAGTCCTGCTCATGGCATCCACCCCTTTTCACCAGCTTCCAGCTGTGGAAAGGAGGGTGCATAGATAACAGATTTGCTCGACTGGCCAGCAGTTTCTGCTCGCTCAATCTGCAGAGCCTCTCAAGGTGCTATCTGAGATACGGGGGTTTCTTCAGGTTGGAAGGCCTGGCAACGTGCGGCCATAAAACACTATGCATTCTCAGAGCTGAGAGGAATGAGGGCTCATCTTGCCTCCATTTCTAAGAACAATCTCTTTCCCTGGAACTCCTAAAAGGAGTTGCGGGATGCACGCAGCATGACTTGGCAAAGGAGTCTCCCGCGAAAGTTGCTGCTGCAGATCGTTTGGTACGAGCGGTTCCATCACTGTAATTAGTACGAACACTAGATGATTGAGCTTGGACAGTACCTCAGCCACCAAGGCCCACAGCTGTTTTGCAATTGCCGCCGTCTGGCCATACAATTTAACCTCTGCTGCAGGTATTCTTGTCAAAGGTGACGCCTAAGCCTGAGCCCAAGCGGGCTGGCAAGGAGCGTTGCGTTCGTGGCACTTGCTGTTCTGGCTTGCTCTCGCCAACCGCGGCACTCATACCTGAAAATGTCTTGCAAAGCCAAGCTCGTTCCTTGTGCTTGTGCCGTCGTCAGCGCATGCGGAGGACTCCAGGGTAGTGAGTAGCTGCAAGCAGGAGTTTAAAAGGTTCAAGCTGTAGCTGCAGCATCTGCAGCTCATCTTCTGCCCAGTTGAACTCCACAAACAAGCATCTCAAGTGCCCTGACCGGCAGCCCCTCTAGCGGTGTGGATCTGAGCCGAGGACTTATGAGTGCTGAACCGAAAAGGCATTACAGCATTCCTAACGCAAGGGTATATTGTAGTCGGCTCTGGCGTCGGTGCTTTCTTGCACAAACTACAGGTCTCTTGCATTCGCCAATGTCCCCTGCTCAAGGGAGAGGCACACAGCTCTCAAAACGCAGGCTCCCAAGCTCAATGCTTGCCGGACCTCACACGAGAAGAACACCGCTCAGCAGTCAGTTTTTTCTTCAATGTCAGATTGCTCAGACTATGCCCAGGGGTTCTGAGGCATATGCGTCGAGTGAGATTTCACTTCGCATTTGGGCGCAACGCCAATGCTTCCATCCTCGGGCCGAGTGCTGATCACAAGGCTTGTAGCAAATCACAAGTGCCAAAGCTTAGCGGGCTGCCAGCCGTGTTGCCATGCACTTCTCCACGTTTTTCTTCAGCGCATTTACTGCCTTTGCGTGTGCTTCGAGAACGGAAAATGCCCTAACCCGCCAGCGGCATCGAACAATCACAATGATATGCAATAAGCACATTGCTTCTGACCAGGCTTCTGCGTGGATCCATGTATTTCTGTGCACGTACCTTACGCCTGACTGCCTGCGGTGCTCTGGTCCACACCTGAGTGTCGTCGTAATTCGCAAACCACACCTGCCGAAGTCGCCACAATCGCACCCACGAGCAAAAGACTTTTCACAAACAACCAGCCGCTCAGCCGCCATAAACTTACCAACACATCCTAAAGGAGTTGCATCAGAAGATAGCGACTCTCGGGCCTCAAGGCGGATGACACCTGCAGCTCTGGGGCCAGAGAGCTTGTCCACCTAGGTTCTCATCAGTCCACGACATCTTGGTCCTTCCTTTGTCCAAAAGAAACTCGCAATTGTTCCGGGATTTGTTGGACCGTTCCCATCACTCGCTCACCCTCACAAGGGTGCGGCACAGCTGATAGATTTGCAACAAACCCCAACGCATTGAGTTGTTTTGCCACCCCTTTTCACTTAGCTTTGATCTCGTTTCTCTTTGTTTGTGTCACCATCTTACCAGTCCTGTCGTATTCCGTTGGTGCTCGCAAACTGGTCAAATCATCACCATCGTCATCAGCAGCATCGGCTGCATGGTTTTCACCTTACCCACGCGGTGTCAGGCCTTGCGCCATCGTTCACGGTTCCCCTGCCCGTCCTCGTTGGCTTGCTTGCTTGCTTGCTTGCATCATCTGTGCGCGGATCTCTTGACTTGCGATGGCTGGCTGGCATGTTTCTTTTCTCCTCTTCTGGCTTGATGTGGGCAATGTTCGTGGACAGCAGATTCTCGACAGCTTCGCTCAGCAGTCGACCAGGCGTAGCCCGGTGATCATGTTGGCAGGCTCGATGGTGGCGCCGATCATGCCAAGTACCAGGTTATTCCTGGTGACACCCAATACAAACAGTTCAAAGCACAATGTAGGATGAAACTGTCACAGACAGCTCTGAGTTGCCGGCCAGTACTCATCAACCTGGCACACTTCCCGTTCCACGGAGCCAATTAGCGCATGTCACATGCTAGCGTTCGTGGCAAACCCCTTGACCTTTCCAACGGTTTGCTTGCAGTGAAGATGGCATCGCTTCAGGCATGCTTCAGTTCTAATGCTTTGCAGCAGCCACAAACTTCCATCATCAAGAATGGATGGTATCTTCTTTTGGGGGCAGGGGGCTCATCGGTTTCGTACTTTTAGGGGATCTCGGCCACTAGTTGCAGTCCCTCTCATCATCCATACATCAGCAGTGTTGTATTGCAATGCTGCTGCACGAGCTCTGCCTGTCCACCGCCAATCCCTGGCTTCAGCTGAAACTGGAAATGCCCCCCAGCTGCGTTCATCTTGTCCTGGAGTCGCGTGTTTGCGGCAATAATTCTGCAACAGCATGTGCTTCAATCAATGCACTGGCAGTTCGAACAAGGCCGAAAAGAGACTCTGGACACTGCAGAAGCCTTGCATGAAAACTTCCGTGGATGTGTGATGCGCCGTGCCATGGTCCTCCCATTCGGGTCGAATGTTTTCCCGGAAGATCATGACGGCGTCGATCACATGAAGCCTCAAAGGCTGGTCATAACTGTAAAAGGATGTAAACAGCTTTTTGAGCCCGAATGAGATGTCTAGTAAATTCTGAGCGTCAGGACCCGTCCGGCTGTTCTCGCACCATGCGCTTCTGCTGCAACAGCTCAGAAGGCTGTGGCCTCCAGCTGCTCTCAGTTTGCTAACATCCGTGCAGTCAAAAATCTGAGTCCCAAAACATGTGGTTCCACAACTTCCAGAATGTCTGGACCTGAGGCTGAAGGAGCACTTTGCAGACCGCAAGCATGACGAGCGCGCAGAACTGGGGTCAGCAACTGTCGCGAAGCTTGCAACCTTCAAGGCTCCAATGCCGCCATAAATGATGAAATAATGCCAAACATTGCAAAACATTGCAAACTGCCTTGTGGGTGGCATCCGAGTATGCCGAGCTTTTGTCGTTGGACTGCATAATCCTCAGACCCAAAGTCGGAGAACAGCAAGCAGCACAACAAACGAATTATCTGCCCAGTCACTGCTCCCAAATGGACCACGTGTAGCGCAGGGGCAGGTCCTCGATAGTGCAATGATTTTTGAGCACGCACAGGTGCCCTTAAGTCGACACTTCACTGTGCCGTACCAGGACACCTTCTTGAGCATGTCATCGCTCTCATCTGCGTCATCCGTGGTGAACTTCAGATTCGTGTTGAAGCCTTGCAGCTTCATCAAGAAACCATGTTCAAGCAGGCAGGTCTCAATGTGTTGCTGGGGCTGGAGCTTTCGTTGAAGCTCAGATATGCCATACCTATTCCGGGCACCCATCCAGGGACTGCTAAATTTGTTTGGCAGCATGCAGAAGAAGTCATTGTACATGGAGCACTCAGAGCACTCGCTTTGGTTTTGTCCGCTGTCTTCATGCTTCTTGCATCTGGCCGCTCACCACTCTTAACGCATCATTGTGAGAAATCTTCATCTACAAGAGGCGACGGTCTTTACAGATGTCTTGCGCGTCAGTATGCAATTCCGCCGGCTGCATGGGTTCAGGCTGAGTCCACCAAGCAAGCGGAACCTGCCCTTCGTTGCTCAGCCCCGGCGCCCCGCATGCCGAGCAGCTGCTGAGCAGCATGAGGCAGATCTGCCGGTTTCGCTTCTCCTTGATGCAGGTGATGCCTTGCTTGGGCTCAGAGGTTGCAGACCTCGCAGACATGAAGACGAGCGGCCTTAGTCCAAGTGTGTTGGTCCACAAAGCCCGGCGACTGCGACAAGGAGTCCGAGTGCATCAGGTCGCACCTTCACTTCTTGCACATCTTCAGCAGTTCTTCGGCCAGATGTCCCTCGAAAACTAAGGGCATCTTTACCTGGCTTGGGCTTACAGCTGGCAAGTGGTCCGGCGAAACGGATGCAGCAAAACGCTGGCGGAATGCGCGGAAGGCGCCATTTGGCAAACGATGCAAGTTGGGCATATCCAGGCAGCCCGTCTCACGAAGTTCTTTATATTCCTGGCTTTCTGATTGCAGAGCCAAGTCCCAAGCCAGCAGATCCTCTTGCAAGACTTCACACCCTACGTCCTCCTCGACACATATCCGGAGCATGCGGAGTTTACGAGGCGGCTTTGGCAGCCTTGGCTCGAGCTGCAATAGAACGGCTGATCGCACCTTCTCCGCAAGAGGGCTCTTTGCCAGCGCCCGCACGAACGCATATTCCTTGCACGCAGTCAAAGCTGAAGCAAACATGCCATGCACCGCAATTCTAGGCAATTTCTTTTTCTTCTCCAACTAGCTGCTTTGAGACCAGTAGCTGGAATCTGGGCTTGAGGCACTGGAAGAAACTTGCCGACACGACCCTCCAGGGAAACCAATGGCATCTGACCCACCTTGCCTCAAGAACAGTGACAGCAGATTTTGACTAGATGAGACCTTCCAGACTTCCAGAATCTGTCTGCTGTCCAAGTTACCAACGACGCGTACCAGATCGCCAAGCCGGTAACGGCAAAGGCCGCCACGAGTTGTCACAAGTACTTCGTAAACCTGGCCGACCTGCACCTCCCATGCTAACAGTGTCGTGGCGGTCCCCAATTCCGCTGAGAGCGGCACAAACTCAAATACCATGCTGCTGGCATCCAAAAGGTAAGCCGGCGTGTCGTCTTGTGAGGGGAAAAGGTTTACCCCCAACAGTCCCTCGGTTGAAGCGTAGAACGGCGAATAAATGGGCACTCCACCGAGCAGTCGTCTCAGCCGTACAGAATTCGCTTCAAAATTACCACCTGTCACGGTTATCACAAGCTTCATGCGTGGCCAGAGGCCGTGGGCAGAGAAAGCCTTGCCCAGCTGTTCACGTATTTCCTGAGCTCTGATCGGATCCGGGCCACCAGCAGCAAGCAAAGCCTCGTTTAAGGCAGCCTCAACTTCCTCGCGCGTGCTCGGATCTTGTGGCCTATGCCTGCTCCAAATCCTTCCCTCCTCAAGATCGATTGCCAAGCTTGTGCCGTGGTCTTGAATGAAGTCCAGCAGGTCGCAGACGTTAGGCGCAAAGTTAGCTTCCAATATTCCCAAGCTGCCTAAGATGAAGCTGCACATGCTCATATGCATTTAAAGAATGTCTAATATCATGTCATGCAACGGCTCTTTCCACAAGCCTCCGCAGGCAGCAAGGCCGCTCAATGCAGCCAACCTTGCCGTCAGCGTGCCAAGCTGCGATCTTTCAGTGCAAACAGGGCGTGGGCATACATGGCATCGGCTTCGTTCATGATGTCGTATGCCGCCCGAGGGCTCGAGTACGCACAGAGTAACCGATCAAAGTTCTTGCCTTGCAGATCAGTACGGAATCAAAGGGCAAACCTGACGCGCTGCAATGGTTTGTGTGCAGTGTTTTGCATGTGATTGCAGTAATTAGCTTCTCCGAAGACCAGACAAGAAACTGTCAGGTGCTCTTTTGCAGCCAACCACCACGCCGGAGTCCAAACGCTTGAGGCTGGCCCTGAAAGCGAGTTTCAGATTGCGCTGCAGCGTCCAGGACCTGAAAGAACACCAATCAGCTACTCAACTCTGACCTCTGCCAAGCTCTTCCAACACAGTCCGATCCTGAAAAAGAGCTTCACGCTATCGCACAGCCAGAGTTGGGAGACATTGGGGCAAAGCCAAAGCAGCGCTAAGGCCGCGCTAGGGGCTGAAGCAGTTCGTTCACAAAATAAGTTCACAAAATAAACCTATTCAACTCAACGAACCCAAACAACCGATCAAGTTGGATAATCTAGATGCTTGATTTCATGGCCGAGTGCCATGTAGCTAATTACTGCCTAAAACTGATTCGCAGAAATATGCTACAGCAACGGATTCCTGGCTGATCAATCCCTATCAGGCGGCATTGCGTTTTACTGTAAGTTAGGAAGATGAAGAACCAACATCTACTAAGAGAAGCTGCCCATTTCAAGTTGGACGCTGCTTCCAAGACACGCCTCCGGGAAGCTCCTTTCGATGACTGCCAAAGCTACACTACCACCACGGCCTTGGAATCAGCGACATCTTTGAGAGGACAGGCCGTGATTTGGAACTTGCAGTCTGCCAAGGCTGACACTGCGTGGATTGCGTTTTGAATTAGGCCCATCACCCTTAGGCCTTAGGCACTTTTTGCCACTTTGCTTGGGACCAAACTCACCTGACCTCCTCACAAAGGTTCTGCTGCTTCTATAATGCGACTGCGCAGGGCTCCTTGCAAACCACCTCTTGAAGAGCTTGGCCAGCCCCACCCACGAGAACGAACAAAAAAAGTTGCACCACCTGCAGCGCAAGCAGCGATAGAACGTCTGGCGGATGTCCAGGTTGTCTGGCAAAAGCTTCGGAGCACCTGCTGTGGCCTCAAGTCACAGGCCGAGGTTCTGGATCTGAAGCGTAGCAAACATTGCACAGCAAGAGGCTGCAAGAAACGCAATGCAAGTTGCAGAAGTCATGGCCAGCAGGAGCGGACGTCCAGCAGCAAGTATGTTAGCCTCGCCTTCCTGAATCCGAGCAAGATAAGGCTCGTAATGCGAGAAGCCGGTCACCGGATGCTGCTGGCGAAAAGAATCCCAGCAATCCACACCTTGCAAGCCCTCCAGCCGACCATACTCAGTGAACTGGTGCCTCCGCAGCAGCTCCTGTGCCAATCGGCTTTGTACCGTCCGACCATCAGCCGCATCTGCTAGCAGGCGTCGTATCCGGAGCATGCCAGCATACTTCAAAGGTGTCAGGAGCACCTCACTGTGCAGGACAAACAACATATTGACATCGCGACACGTCCACCTCAAACCAACAAGTGGCATTGCAAACGCTGGGCACACCACATAATGCTGCAGAGCCGTGGCCAGGGTGTGGCGATCCGACCACTCCCTCATTCTCACCTGCCACAACGTAAAACCTGCCGCGACACCAGCTGCAACCACGCTGGTCTTCCAAGCTTCCATCCGTAGCAAAAAATGTTCAGAAAATCTGCTTGCAGCTTGAACCTCAGCCACGCAGCCACGGCTTTTTTTGCGCCCGTGGTCTAACATTCCGTGATGTCTAGGTTTGCGGCTTTGAAGAATGTTGCAGCACTCTGTCTACCAACAGCTACTCACCCTACTCACCCTGTTAGCTGGATGCACTGAGTCACAAGAGCTTCAGCGCGAATGCAGGGGACGTAACTCTTTTGGCGCGCAGCACAGAAGTCTCACCTGCTATTGACATTGAGCAGATAGCTTACTATGACAGTCTCATGCCTAGCTCCAGGCCGTTGAGAGCCGGCTCCAGCTTTTCTTTGGGCCTACTGCGAGCATGTATCAAGCGGACCTGCACCTGTCTTTCAAGAAGCCTTCTCGCATTGCCGGCACTGCGATACCATATCTGCGGCGCTTTGCGCTCTACACATTGCTCAGACTTGCAGTACCGCCTCTTTCTATTTGACATGGCTAGCAGGTCGTCCCTCCCTGGCCCTGCAAACATGAACAGAATTCTAGCTTATGTCATCTATGCTCACCTGCCATTCCTTTAAGGGATGCTGGGAGTTGCAGATGCCTGCTCACATAATAACAGTGAGGCTTGCGCCAGGGATAAGTACTCCAAAGAACGCCTAGGATGCCTTTAACATCATGAAGTTCTTTGTCAGAGGTTTCTCATTCAACGCTCAAGCCTATGATTAGGCGTGCATGCTCCATAAGGAGCAAGCAAGTTCAGGAAGCTTGGCGAATCTGCACGACACGGTAAGTGTTGCTGCTGCCGCTATGGACAAGATTTCAACGCCTCCTGATGTGCTCTGCCTGCGGCAATGCGAATTATGCCGGCCAGCCAGGCAGCGTGTGAAACTCTTCTGCCTTGTTTAGGCAAACTTTTGTTTAGAAATGTGGCCCGCGCGGGCGGAAGAAGCAGCGTTACCAGCTTCCACGTCCAGTGTAGGAGGGACACGAATCTTGAAATCCAACCGTGCTTTTTTCTGATCTTGTTTTGTGGCTGCGCTCATGGTCACTTCAGCTTAGGGGTCTGGCATGACTTCCTCCTCGGGCGGCGGCTCCTGATGACGCGGCTCCTGTCGCGTTGGCGTTGGCTCCTGGCGCGCCGGCTCCTGGCGGCTCCGCTCCTGTTGACTCGGCTCCACGTGACTAGCCTCATAGGGGCAGGCTTCACCAAATCATCACAAAACAAAAAAGGCTTTGAAGACAGAAAGCCACATCAAAATTGAGCAGCGCGTGGAACTCAGCACATCTTGACAAGACACTGGTCGCCAAGAGTCATCATCGACCTTCGTGGCCAAGTCATTGTTGATCCTCTTCAAGTCCTGGCAACATGCCAACAGTGAGAAGATGTCGTAAGCGTCAGGTCGCTGGCAACTAGAAGCTCGTTCATTCCATGGCCCCTAGCCTCCATCTCACGTGTCAGCCGATCAACCGTAGAGCGCAGCGTCTGACTCTCCTCGCGCATCCTGCCCACCTGAGCCTAGCAGGAAGATAGAGCTGCTCTTGTCACCGCATTCACTGGATGCTTAATGAATACTGAATGGCTCCGTGCGGAAGCTCCTGAAAGTATCTACAAGCAGCCTGGGTCTCCAGGTGGTGTGCAAACAGAACTCACAGCAAGGTCCCTGAAGGGCATGCCTGCAGACCGGGCAAGTCTCCTTCTGCAGGCATCATCGCAAGCGCCTCCGCCTCAGTCCTGAATGCGTGGTTTCTTTCCATGACTTTTGCTGGCTCTGCGCGGCCTAGGCTAACTTACTTCAGCCTAGCTTCATCCCAGGAAGCGGATGGTGCACCTGCCAGTAGCACTGAGAAGTACAACGGTTTCGGTGGCTGACACAATCTGAGCTGAGGAAAAGCAGCATGTTCGTTTCCAACAGATACCAACGACGCATCCTTATCTCGGCTTAGGGTGCTTTCTGCTCGCCTTCCACACCACCGTGAGTTCTAGCCTTGCAATTGGCATGCGGTATGCCTTTCACTGGCCTTGTAAGCAATTGGCGATATCATGCAAGGCCTCTCTTTCCATGTTTTCGGTATGGCAAAGCGTGAGGGTGAGCTTCGGCATGAGAGTGGAGTTTTCAGCCGCGTGCAAGCACAGCCGGACAGCCGGGGGGAGGCGGCCTATCATTTCCGGTCATGTGGTGGCAAGGTGGGCCTAGGAACTGATTACAAATATTATTACCAGTATTACTACTATTTTTACTTTTTCTAAAGCCATGCGTTCGATGCAGCTCGCTGCGTGTTTGATGAACGCTTCGGCGCTCAACTTGGAGGAATTCGAAAAACACATGACAGAACTTACATTAAATCATTCTGTCTCTTGCAGCTTGTACAATGTTGGCGTTTTGTCTAGTATGATTCATTAGCATTGCTAGTATTAATAGTTACAATCACTAATGCTATTCGAATTGCTAGTATTGCTAGTACTACTATGCTATTGCATACTGCGGCCATTGCTCTTACTAGCACTTCTACTTATGGCTATAATTGTTGCTAGTAGTACTGCTAGGAAACCATTTCCAAGCCCTGGCCTGACGCAATGGCCGCCCGGCCTGTCAAGGTGGCCAAACGTGCATCAAAAGGCTCTGAAAAGATTCGCACCTCTTACACGCTTACGGGTGGTTAGTAAGGAGAGAAAATACATATACATATATGTGTATATATATAGATATAGATATATGATGTGTTATATATATATATATACACTGTGTATATTTATATGTGTGAACATATATATATATATAATGTAGGGCTTAGGGTCAGCAGGGAATACGGGAGTATATTAGACAGGGTTTCAGCCTTGGGTTGAAAGAGGAAACGAGGGAATATATTGTATAATTAGGGACATATATGGTAGTTTCCCAAAATAAGGGGACCCCCATATAGACCCAAAAATACTATAGTCCTTATTATAGGGACCCCCAAAAAGGGTACCCCTAATTTCAGGAAACCCCCATATAATAGGGATCATGTTCCTCTTTCCTACTGCAACTTTCTGCAGTCGGGTGGCCAAGTCGAGCCGCTGCGCCAATCGTAAATTCGCCTGCTGCAGCTCCTTCACTCACCATTCTGTTTGGTGCTGGAAGTGTCACTCGTGGAAGGACCACAAAATACTACAAAGTACTGCCAGCAGAAGGTCATTCATTTTGTCAAACCACATCGCAAACACTGACAGCATAACACAGCGCTTCTCCGTAAAAATGGCACACAGTTTGTTCGTCCTGCATATCAGTGAAGAGCCTGTCCACTGTTTCGAGGAGCTCACGCCCCTCTCTGCGAATTTCATCAACCTCCACCTTGCCAGTCGTTTGAGCTCTTGGCTTCAGAGGCTGTCAGGGACAAGTTCGGGAATGGCCTTCAAACTAAGCTGATAAGCAGCTTATGCACAGGAAGAGGGGCGTCATGCCGAGTCTTCTCCAGCACAGGCAGGGCCAGGCGAAGCCACAACTACGACCTGCAAGGAAACTCCGGCCTGCAGTTCACCCATTGCCTGCTCCTCTCCTCACAAAAGCAGAAACATAGAGTCTTAGAAATTGATTGCCCTAGGCCACCACCGTTCATGCTCAAATCATTCGTACCCCAAAAAAGTGCGCTGGCGGTCAAGGTCCTGCGGCGTCAGGACGGTCATGGGCCGGGCTCTGTCGTTCGACTGCCTTCTGCACCGCCTGCCGGTTCCCAATGCGAGGCAGAACTGCATCTGGAAACAACCATGAGGATGATAAGCTTTCAATGGACATGTTTGATCAGTATCACCAGAAGTGGTCGCAGCATGTCGCAGCAGGAGAGCCTTCTTTCTAGCATAGCAGCGTTGAGCAGCAAAGCTGCGCTGGTACAATCCAGAGCTCAGGCCTGCTCCAAGTGCCCCTCGTCGAGGGCCACCTCCAGAATGTTGCGCAGCCGGCCACGCAAATTCTCCAGCTCGGATGCAGCCTCTGTTTCAGCAACTTCTTGCTCAACCCAACTTGCCATCACGGAAGAAAGCCCTACGTGGCAACTGTGCCTGCTCCAACCCAGGTGGCTGCTCAGCAACCTGCCACAAGCTGGAGGTTCAATGCTGGCCCAAAACGGCGCCAACAAAGAAACACGCCCCACCTCGTCCCTTGACAAAGGGTCCGCGCTGCGGGGTATGACAGCCTTAGAGCACCCAGCTTAACATTAGAAACATAGCCTAACCAGCGCAGCCAGTTCCGAAAGCGTGCTCCAATCTGACAACATGTGGGCACTTCGGCTGTTTTGAGCACTGATCTGCGTCTTTGCCGTCGTCGTCATCGTTGAAAGCATGAAGTAGGCTGGTCAGATAAGCGCAATTCTGAGCAGTTCTACTCAGATGCGCCGAGGATGATCCAGCAGTCAGGTAGCGGATGGGCAGTGAAGCGCAGCATCTGAAATTCAAATGATCACCTGCTGGCGCCAATGCGCGTGGGACATGCTGAATGTGCCAGCACATTACAGTTTACGCTTGCGCGCCCATTCGCAAAGACCCGTCCTGCAGGATACGGGCCTGCAGCGAAGTCTGGCCGTGAATTGTGCTGGCGTGGTCCGGCGATTTGACACGCATGCACTGGTCTGGCACGTAGCAAGGAGTCAGTGCAGAAATAGCGCTATCCCGTAGTGAACTCTGTGCAACCCAAACCTCACACAGTGCATACGCCTTATGTGCACGCTCAACGGCAAGATCTGCAATGCAGCTTGAGGTTAGCAAGCAGCGTTCTACCTGTCGAACACCGTTTCATTGACTTGCAATAGAGAAGGCAGTGAAGTTTCAAACAAGCATAGGATGCGCACTACTTAGACACTTATCGGACAGGCTCGTCGCTGCGATTTAGCCAGCGTCTCGTCATAGGATGGAAAAATATTGCGGGGAAAGCTGCGCCCTGGGCTGCTTTCAGACTTTGCATCCCAGTTCGGCTAAGCTCACGCTTCTCATGAAAGTAACTCGCGCGTGTCCGAAAGCAGGCCGCACAGCTTCTCCGAAGGAAACTCCTGTACGCCTCTGATATGGTCAACTGCTGTATGTATGGAGTGTCTGCTGTGTATACGAACATTATGTGGGCTCCTGGCTTCCATCCTTGACAGCGCTGGCGCCCTAACTCCAGATGTTCTCCGAAAATCAAATCAACGGCAACAAACGTGCATTACGTGGCATACGAGCTCTGCGCATGGTGGCTAGCACCACGGCAGCACAACTGTGCAATTTTGTTGGAGTCAGGGGTTGCATAAACAAAGGAACAATGTTGACAAGGACAGCACGCTCAGAGTGCTGGACAGTGCATAGCAAGCTTACATGATTTCCAGGCATCAGATGAAGTTGCTCTTCAAGTTCGTCGGCACCCAAGCACCATTGAACTTCGTAGGCATCATGACCTTCGGGCTGATCGGGCTGTTGGATTCCGCTTCAACACCTTGCTCCTGAAACCCGAACTCATATGGGCGGGTCAGCTCGAGTCGCGACATGCCCTTCAAGGACTGATCTTCATCAGCCCCCAAGAGGCTGATCACGACGTCTTTGCCACTGGGATCGATCTTGTACTTGCAACGATCCACAGCCAAATACCCTGGCAAGGTATTGGAGTGAGCCGTCCATGCATAGCCTTCACTGTCAAGGGCTCGGATGCTGAAGCTCATGGGCAAGAATTCTACATGGACATCTCGGAAAGTCGTTCCCAACGGGCTGAAGTGCTGCGGCGTAATGCGAAGACGCACACGCCCCCCTTCCTTCGGTCCTGTCCTTTTGGACTCGTCACTAGCCACGCTGCTGGCAACGCTGCGGGCCTTGCCGCCGACTTTCTTGATCTTGATGGTGTCTGCGTCCTCCCTGTCCATGAAGCAAAGCTTTGTCTTGTCCATCTTATTTATGGTCTCCATGTCATCTCCTGAGCTGTTCTGGTAACGCTTCTCCTGCAGCTTTTCTTGCGTGCCACAGCAGCTAGCCCGAGTCACAAGACCTGGGCTTACCGGAAAGCACAGGCTTGAGCTTCTTGATGTGCTCTTCTTGGTCTTCACACTGCGCTTCCATTGCTTCGATTCCGTCGACGAGACATCACTTTGCTTTTCACTATCTGCCGATGTTCCTGCATCAGTGGTTGAGGCAGGTGACGGGGTCTCATTCGGCTGGTTTCCTGGTCCAACCTGACAAAGTTCGTCATGCGCTGGCTTGTTGCGGTCAATGCTGGTCAGCAACTGCAGGAACTCGTTATGTGACTGCTCTAGCACTGCCTTTGCAGTGCTGTAGATGCGATTGGCAACATCTCGTGCCTGATTGTATTCCTCACTCTTTGGCTTGTTTGGGTCCGAATCCTGCTTCTCTGTGCTTAAGGCCTGACGGTTGGAAGCCTCGACCAACTTCTGCATAGTCTTCTCCGGAAGTGCCAAGTCCTCGAACTCCCAGGCCTTCGCTTTTGACTCAACTTCGCCTGGCCAGCCGAGCAAATTTGTGGGGCAACATCCCAAACGCACCAGCCCTCAAGCTTCCGCAAATACTAAATTCCTCAAGCCCAAAGATTTACTCGTGGGAGGCGCCAGCCTCTAAACACGGACTATGCTACGCTGAACTTGTGATATCTGTCACGACAAGCCCATTGTTGGGTCAACCGCGGGCTTGCCGCAAATTGCGTTGCAGAAGCCAATGAGATCCCTTTCTTTGGGCGATGATGAGGCTCTACTTGCTTCCAGGGCCCGTGAGGTGCTTTGAAAGAAACGAATTGTGACGTACAGTCCTACCTGGTCTGACTCCTATGAAGTAGACCTGTGGAACAGGGGCTGACCCGACAGGCCTGCGTCTTTGAACCATCCTGACATCTCCTCCAATGCCTGGTCAAACTTTGGCGAGCATTGCCATGCCATCGTATTTACCTGTGCAGCATCTTGCAGCGATGAGGGATCAGGCTGGGACATGGAGTACACCAGCCGGCCTTGGAGGTCTCAGCTGTCAAGCCGAGGGAATGGGTGGACGGTCTAGCACCGGCTGGGTGCTGGAGCCAATTCCACTGCACAGCAAGCACTAGGTCACTAGCAACAAGGTAGGGAAGCAGGGAGGATCATGAAAACAAGCTTCCATCATAACATGGCAACGTTTCACATCGCCACCTACGATTAAGCCCAAGCCACTTCAACAGCCGCTACTTCCGGGACCTTCTGATCTTCCTGATGTCGGAAAGCTGCAAGGACTGTAAGTGATGCTAATGGAGGTAAGCGCTCCTCCACTGGCTGGGCCGAAGATTGGAGATCCTCGCCCTGGTAGCCAAGGGGAAGATATCTTATTCATGACCTGTGAGCCACAGTACAGGCATTACGGGCCTTCTGCAAGGTTCGGAGAGTTTCCTCCAAGCGCCCACAGAGCGCGGCCTGGCTTAGTAAGCACTTTTGGCTGCCTTTTGCTGTCGTGCGCGACTTACGAATCCAACCCAGCCTCGGCCAAGACTCCTCTCAGCTTCACAGCTGTGGCCTCAACATCTGTACTCCTTTGGTCAGTGTTGCCTGGCATGAGTCACACACGCAAAGCTTAGATCGTTTGCCCGAAACACTAAATTTCCACAAGATCAGTGTGCGATGGCGTGCGCCTGCACCTTCCTGGAGGCAGCGCGCGGAGGCCAAGGCTTCCGCAAGGTGTCCACACCTTGCCCAGGGGCTCACGGAGAGCACTTGCAAAGGGAAAGGTACGCGGACGGCAAAAAGAGCGCTTCAGCTGGACTGGGCCCAGGTGCTCTGCTGCATGTTGGAGCGCCTGCAGGGAAGAAGCAGGCTGTGGAATAATTTCTACTTGCTGGCGGCTAGCAGAAGAAGCGGTCTGCCTCACGCAAATGAGCTTTCATGAGCTCCATCTCTCGTGGCGGTTCTCCTTGCGGAGGGGCTGGAACCTGCAAAGGCAACAAGCACAGCAACCCACCCCGAAGGCTCCGCTAGTCCAATAACTTGCAGCGTTGCCTGCCTTACCAGGCTGCTTCAGGAGCACCACTCTTGTGGCCAGCGTGCCAGACTTCAAGGCTTCGCTCAAGAGGGTTTTGAACTTAGCCTTGATGGCGGCGATGTCGTCCGCTGCATTTTTGCCAGACTCCGCTTCATTGTCTTCGACCTTCCTCACAGCTTCCAATGCCGCAGCCAGCTTTCCAGAGTCCTCAGCCTCAGTCTTGCATCTGAATGCAGCTTCAAGCTGCCAATGCACAGACCATATATTCAAAAAAATGATATCCGAGAAGCATCTTGCATTACAAGGAGGAGGTTGCTGCGCACTGCGTCCAGATCATCAACGCCTGCTGCCTGAATAGTCTCCTGCTGCGCCTCTTGCAGCATCTGCAGTGCAGCGTCCAGCTTGCCACTATCCGAGGCTTCCTCCAGAATGCCTCCAATCTTCTCTCGTAGCACTTCCAACTCATTCTGCTCCTTCGCTTTCTCCTTCTTCTCAGCTAGCTTCTGGAAACCTTCTTCCAGCTTGCCAGATGCAATGGATTCCTGAACCTTCTCACGCACGTTGGCTCTGAGGGCCTCTTCTTCGGATGAAGCAGGGCCAACTGGCTTTGCAGCGACGCTTAGCAAGAGTTGCTCCAAGGCCTTTGCCAGAGTGCCTGTTTCTGCTGCTTGCAGCATGACATCTTTCATCTTGCCCTTGATATCACTCAGCTCCTCTAAAGCGATGGCCTCTGCAGTAAGCAACAGACCTTGTCGCTCAGCTGCCTCATTCATTGTCTGACGAAGCCTATCTTTGACTTCTGCATCCTCTGACACCTGTGCCCTCAGCTGCTGAAAAGAAGTCGATCACTTGTCCAAATCAACCACTGCAGAATTCACGCCAAAATACACCCTACAGCTGCTGCTGCTGCTGCTGCTGCTGCTGCTGCTGCTGCTGCTGCTGCTGCTACAGCTCATGCAGGCAGGAGGCGGCTCTTTCTCTTTTTGCATCACCTGGCCGGCAATCGCTCTGGACCGTGCCCGTGGAACACAGGACAACGGTACAAGGACGACTATGCAAGGGCGTGTCAGGTTCCAGGTTCGATAATTCTGAAAGAGACTCCGGTCAAAAGATCTGGAACATGAGCCCCACGTGCCTCAAACCGCAACCCTTGGGTTACCTACGGGGGTGTCAGAAGGTTTTGGCACCCATTGAGACCTCCAAGGCGTTTACATTTCTTGCTAGTTAGAAGCGAGTCTCTATATCCCAGGCCTTCTCCAAGCCCTGTTCAAGAAGCCCATTCTTCAAGCCATCCTGCATCTTGGACTGGGCAGTGACCTGGGGTGAAAAGCTGTTGCAACCCGGACTTCAAAGGCTTACTCAATCTTAGTTGGAGAGTGGGGGGATGGGTCCAAACAGGTCTGGTCTAGTCCTTCTCTAGTTTCCCGTAAAGTTCCCTGTTATTACACCTATGACTTCCCCCCTTCCGCACTAAGCCACTGAGCATAAGGAAGTAAGGATCCCGGCCAGTTCCTGGGCTCCGTGGGCAGGTCGCACCGGAGCTGCCGGAGAGGTGCCGGATTGATTTCCTGTACCGTGTGGGGTTGTTAGCAGCGGGTGGTGGAGTACTTTGTCAGGTCCGAATCGGGAGTTTCTGCTAGGCTCGTTTCGGCACCATGCCCTTAAAGACTTGGCATGCAACCACGTCACCAGCTTCTGACGGCTTGGGTGGCGCCATTCTTTTTGTGGTCCTTTGGTAACTCCATAGCTCAAAGGCAAGAAAAGTCAGCGTGCCTCGTGCATTCGAGCTGCTCCAAGGCTTCCAGAATCTTGCTGGAATCGGCATCAAAAAGCGCAGCCTTCATGCGCTGCTTCAGAACTTCCATCTCCTCGTGCGCATGACTTTCCGTGGTAGGACGGCTGCACCAGCTCAAACCAGCGCGTCAGGATCTTGAAGTCAGAGAAGTAACGCCACGAAATCCAATTATCTGTGTGGACATGAACGTCTCAGGCCCCCGCCGAGATTTCCTGCAGCACCGCCTGCTTGGTTGCATCCTCCATCTTTTCCGCAGACATCCTCAGCTGCTGCTCGGGCATCTCTCCGGTTTGCGGAACGCCGCGCACATGTCTGAGACTGCGTGCATGTCCGTTGTAGCCATCCAAAAAGGACACAAGGACAAGGAGCTCCTGCAAGATCTCAAGCACTCTGCCAGACTCGTTGGCATCCAGGAGAAGCGTCTTCCTCAGCGCAACGCGCAACTCCATCGCGCAGAGAAGGGGTTGCAGCCTGCTGTCTGCATCTTCTACACTCATGTATGCCCAGATTCAAGTGTTCTTTCAGCTTTTCTATCTCCTTAGCGCATGTCATCTGCGACACAGAAGAAAGGTAAGCCGCCTGCATTCCCTGCCCTCCCTGAACTTTGACGTGCCAGATGGCAGTGGCCTCTTTGTTCGGGTTGTCACTCTGAGGCTGTCTGTGCAGCCTAAGCTGGCATCAGTCTGCAAGCCTCAAAGAAATCGAAGGCAGATTCGGCCGAAATTAGTTGGCTCAAGTTGGCTCCTCGCATCCTGCTCAACAGTAGCACTGATACTGTAGACCTGACATATTCAATATCGTATCACACAAGCCTGCTTTGCCCAGAAGCTCTTCTAGAATCGCGAGCATCTGGCCAGACTCATTGGCATCCAGCAGCACATCTCGCAGCTGGCCCTTGAACTTCTCCAAATCCTTCTTTCATGCAAGGAACAGACGCCATGCAAGCACGGCCTAAATGGCAACCCGTTTCAAGTCAGGCGCTCTCCACAAACATCTAGCAACTTGCAAGACACCAAGGGCGCTGTCAGCACAGCATTATCCTTTAGCAAAGCCACGGATGCATCCTTGGTGTCCATGGTCCGCTTCAAGGCTGCTTCCAGCTCACCTCCGGGTGGCTGCATGATGAAACCGGAACCTTCACAAAGATCGCATCTTGGGTTAGCAGAGTTGTGCCACGCGCTGCGTGCTGCTCACAAGCACGTAAGCACTAGAGCCCTGTCAGGTGTTTGTGGCAAACTCAGATATCGTACATGATCCGCTTGTCGTTATCCATAGTCTGTGGCAGTTTTGGTGGAGAGCGGTCCTTGTGCTGCCTGGGGTTGTCGAGAACCTTTTTTGCATGACAGCCTGAAACGCAAGAGCTGCACGAGCCCAGAAGAAACACATCTGCTCAGTGTGTACAAAAATCTCGTCACATGATTGCATCGGGGGTTTGAAAACTTAACTCACCACCAGGTCACAAATACAAACCCAGTTCAAGCCTTTGTCGAGTCCCATGCACACTACTTGGTGTGATGTCCATTCATACTTCGTTTCGTTTACATTTCTTGGCCACAAAGTATCCCACCAAGGGGAAAGCCTGGGGGAAGAACACATGCGCTCATTCACTTCTTCATTTTGCCCTCATTTGCTCAAGCAGGCGATGTACACGACGGCCACAACTGCATGCTGCATGAACACTGCACGAATGACTGATTCCCAGCCCTCATGGCCTGTTTCAGCTGACTTTTCCAGTAGTGCCTGGATGCGGCTGCGGCTCTTGTCAACGTTCACCGCTGAGAGAACCTTGCAGCAGAGTCCAACTTCAGCCACCTTGCCCAATTCAAGTCCCACATTGTCCCACGTACAGCTGTTACAGAAGCGTCTTGATGCATTGCCGCAGGGTCCGCAACAGCCAGAGCCTGCCAAGCCGCCGCACCCAAATCGCCCGACTCAGAGGCTGTCACGAGCGTCTTCAGAAGAGATAGCTTCATGTCGCTGCCTCAATCTCTTGGCTAGGATCCCCGTTCCCAATGCCACAACCTGTGTTCCATGTTCTCATGGTCTGTGCCAACTGTGCTCTCCATGTCCATCTTTCAGTCAGCACATGATTTGTCCTCTGCAGTTACGCCCTTGACTGATCCGACTCAGCACATACAGCACTGGTAATGCTGGACACGGCCACACATTCAAGCACCCGATTTTAGGCAGGCTGCTTCGGTCGACCTCCCGCAATTGCTGCGCCATTGCAGAAGAAGTCGGGTCCTGCAGCAGGGTGCGGGGGCTAGGATAGGTGTGGCTCTGCAAATCAAGCTCGTTCAGACACTTTGCGGCCACCAGTCAAAACCCTCGCTCCTCACTGTCTTCACAGCTCTGTGTCTCTTGTGGAGCCGCATGCTCGGTGTCCGCCTCGCAGCGTGACGCAAACACAAATAAGATGGTGAAGAGTTCCGGCTTTCACCTCCATTCCCCATCACATCATTCCGCTAATGCTGCAGCACGTGATGTATTCTGCAAACGGGCAAGCGCAGGTGCTGAAACATCCGGCCGCATGGTTTACTGTTCTGCGATTTACTTTTAATGAGTTTTAGCAGCATTCAACGACTTCGGGGAGCCTAAAAACGCGTGCTCAACTCCGCTTGCCTGTTTTGTTGTTTTGGCGGAATGTTTTCTACCCGTTAGTCCGGACGCAAAATTATTTGCAGCGGGAAATGACTCACAAGGCACCAAGTTCTTTGATATTCTTTTTAGGCGTCTGGCTTCTCAAAAGCCAGAAGTGGCCGAAGATGCACATTTTCTGCGGACTCCGAACGTCACATGTTTTCGGCATTCGCAGATATGCGGTCCTTGTTCATGCACTCGAACATGGACGACATTCTGGCTTGGGCACGGAGATGCTCCAGGAATCGTATCGAATCTTGAACATGGACACTATCAATGGTTTGGGCATGGATGCTCTGGAAATTGTATGCTCTCGAAAACATGGGCGCGCTTATGGTTTGGGCACGGATGCTCTGCGAATGGCATGCTCTCGGCAATGGGGTATGCTCTCGGAAATGGAGGATGTTTCATGGTTTGGGCATGGATGCTCTGGAAATTGTATGCTCTGGGAGGCTTTGGGAAATGGACGATATTATGGTTTGGGCAGGGATGCTCTGGATGGACATGGACGCTCTGGAAACCGTATGCTCTCGAACACCCACATGGACGACAGTATACTGCCTTGACGACGGCTTGGCGTAGTTCCTCTTCCTCAACAGCGTCCCACGAAGGTGTGGCAAAACGTGGGGGTGGTAATCCATGCGCTAGCTGAAACATGCTGAGCAAATGACAGGACGCTAGAACCTCAGGTCTGACATGTCTTGGCTGGAAACTCTCGTCCCGCCTCCCGCGGCTGTTTTGTGTCCGTCGCTTCCGACACAGCTGGCACCGGTGCTGCCGTTTGCCCCGCCCTGGCATCTTTTGTTCAACAGGAGGCGTGGGCACGAAACGATTCATGATATAGCCGCGCGGCGGCAGGGCTGGTGGATCCTCCTCGGGCGCAGGGGCCTCGCGTAGCGGCTGCCTGAGAGTACAGATGCGTGAAACAAAGCTGGCGAACCAGAACACAGCGCAGGCTTGCTGAACAATCCTCATACCGTCGAACGATTGGCATGCAAGCTTGCAAAAAGCCTCCTTTTGCTGCTGGTGTGCTTGATCATTACCACAGTTTCTTCCAAGTTGCACTTGTGGCGGGCTAGGTCGAAGGTGTGCTGGAGTAGCGGAAGCGGGCCTGTGGCTTTGAATAACCTGTATTTAGACAGTCCAAGTCGGTGCTTGCTCTCGCTTGAGCATCTGAATTCAACTGTGTAGTTTGGCTCCCACTTCCTGTTCTCATACACAGACCATTACGCTCGAATTCACAATAATGAATATGTTACCCAAGGGGCCGCATGGCACTGCTTGGACGGCTCCGGGGCACTGCGCTGGTTGGCCGTGAGAGCACGCGAGCACAGGCTTCGGACTTGCCTCAGCTTTTTCCGATGGCAGGGTGTCTCCCTCCTTCGCTCCTTGCCCAGCCACTCTTGGCCGCCGTCAGCTGCTCTATCATGTAGGCAAACCTCAGGCTGCCAAAGTTGCAGAGTACAACAAGTAACTGACGGAGAGTTGGGCTCCCCAAAGACAATCTCCGTTCTCTGCCATCACCGTGCTCAGTGTACGGGGTCCATTTGCTGAATCGCATGCTGAGTTGCGGATCTTGTGGCTTGTCCTTCAGTTGAAGGGGCGGCCAACAGCAGCTTTCAAGACCCAGAGGCTTGAAGATGCAATGCAACACCATCGTGACAAAGTGGGACAAGTTTACACCAGTCAAGTCCTGAATGACGGCATGGAGAAGCGACTGGACGTATTTCAGCAAGCCGTTCCTGGGCCGTTCGAGACCAGAATTTTGTTGATTCGTTGGAATTTGCCTGAAGGCGCTGCCACCTTTCCCATGTGCCACTTGTCGACCGCGCATGAAGGCTTCACCCACAAAATATTCTGCAGCTAATCGCTTCTCGTCTCAGTTACATGTGACCTTACGTAAGGTGACAAGCAGCTCTGAAGCTCTTAAGTCAAGACATGTTGGCCTGGATCCTCCCAGGATTCTCATCACACAAATTCAAAGGATGCATTTAGGCAAGAGTCTGCTCCAAGTAATCTTTAGCGGAGGCGGCCGAATCTTTGGTCGGCGGCACCTCCCTGGAAGGTCCTGAAGAGTGCCAACTTTAGGCAGCAAAGAAGCTCGTCGGCACAGATTTTGAAATCCCTGAAACGGTGAAGAGCACCCCAAATGTCCACTGCTCGTTCACCATCACCCCATCCCGACCCTCTAATCTGCTGCTCGTTCCCACACCACAACCAGCTCCTGCTTCTGCTCCCCCAGCTGATGCTCGGACATGCAGGCCCATGGCAACATTGTCGGACTGCTCGAATCCTATCCCGTAGTATTCCTGCCAGCAGTACTCCAGATTGCCAAGGCTCCAGCAAGCCAAAAGGCTCAAAGTTATGGAAGTTATGGTACAAGGAGCAGCGCGGCCAACTAGAAGTGTCCTCATGTGGGTGAAGCACCAGACGAGTCGAGGCGATTGGCTGGAGCACATCTATCTTCAGCGGCTCGCCTGGGTTAACTACCCAGCTGCAACAGTAATTAAGGTCAGTACGGTTTACCGGGATTTGCCCAGATCTCTTGACAGCTGCCGAACCGATGTAAAGAAACCATCAGTTGATGCAGATCAAGGGGCTGAGTTCTTCCAGCTGAGCCGGGAACTTCAAGGGGTGAGACAATGCCTGCAATGCAAAAGCTGAAGCTTGGACAAGTGCCCTCGCACGGCGCCTCTAGCCATACTGCTGGCCAAGGCACAGACTCCAGCGGAGCTTGCCGCCTGACACTCACAGGGGTGAAGCTTAACTGGTCTACACCCGACAGTAAAAAATAGATAGCTGAAACAAACCACGCAACCCCAAGCCTGGTGGTGCCGTAGCGTATGGACACAAGCACGTCGTCAGAAAGGCCAAAGGCATCAGTGACCAGCACCTGCAAAGAAGGCTCTCAACCACCCAGCCGGCAGAAGTCACCTGAGATTTGGATATTCAACATCCCCGTCTGCGGCCTCCATGGCAGCCCACTCTGTGCCAATGTGCGCAGCAGGACGCGCTAAGCCAAAGAGGCTGCCACCAGCAAACAATCACGAGTGGAGGCATCAGGAGGTAGTGTAGCCTTTCTACGATTGATGCATCGCAAGTTACCTGAGCTATCTGGCAAGTCGGAAGGCCTTGTCTTGTGGACCAGTTAAACATGAAGAACGGGTTTCCAAGTCCGGAACATGTTGGAGGGTGGCTATTCAGGAGTGGCTATCGATGGGTCGTGGCACTCAACATCTAGCAAAGCCCAGGTACTCACAGCATCTCACAGCCTTGTCCTTATAAGATAAAAGCCAATTGGTAGCAGTACAGATCTGATGATTGCCTTGGCAACTACGAGCCTGACAAACGCTGGCTTTAATCATTGGGATAAAAAGCTGCGAGCACAGCTGAGGCGACATGACACCGAGCGCCTGTTCGGCGAGGTGAGGGCGGCCCAACCCCACCCCTCAGCTGGAATGCAGCTGCTGCACATGCCACTATGCAACTCAGCTAAGGCTAATGACAGAGGTGGCATTGCCTGCTTGGCAGATGAACTGAGGCGCCAGCTTGGTCAGAGGGGCTCCGTGAGCTTCCAAAACGACACTCAGCACCAAAAGGAGCCCGGCAGCGATGCAGCACTATTCAACAGGACACAAGACTTGCTGGCAGCAAGCCATGCAGCAGCGCTTCTGTGCGGGTATTGTCAAGAAGCATTGGCTTGACAATGGCAAGCGAAGGACGCCAACATTTTGAAACCTACCTTGTCCCGCGCCCGAGTCACACCCTGCATTGAGCAGGATGTCGTGAAGATGGGCTCACTCTTCCTCTGGGGGCTCCACAAGCCACCTCAAGGTCTGGATGCGAAGCGGCTGTCCAGGTTGCAGTGCTGCATCATGTTTTGTCTAACAATGTCTAACGTGCATTTGCCATCATCAGGTGCAGCTTTCGTCTGCTTGGATCCTGGCCAGAAGCCGCCTCCTCACATGATCTGGCTGGAACTGTTGAGATATAAATTGCTGGACTATGGAGTCTCAAGCAAAGGTCAGTGGAATTCCGAGTCAGCAGTGGCCACGGAAGTGAGAGACTCTCCTGTACCGATGTGGAGATCTGTGCTGAAGCGCTGGGCACACACAGCCGTCACCTTCAGTGTCATTAGGGGCGGCATTCAGGTGATCAATCGCTCCATGCACTGCCCCGCTTGCCCACGCGCCCAGCATGCTCCAAGCTGCATATTGAAAGATTTGACCACACTCAAACTCCACAAATGTCACGGAGATGACTCCCTCATATCAGATCACTCGCTTTGCGACTTATGCGACTTGCTCTGCGGCTAGCAAGGCTTAGGACAGCCATTTACTTCTGCAGCACGCTTATTTTTCCCAGCGTAGCAGCCAGGAAGATTTAAGCCTAAGACTGGCAACCGCACAAACCTTTGGTGCGGTCTTAAGACAGCCGTCTCGCGCACACGTGCAGAGATGGCAGTGGCCGTGCTCTTCCCTGGCGCTGGCGGCGGCATGTCGGCCAGTGTCGCCTCTTCCTGCTTCTCAGAGAACAAGGACCTTAAGCTCACAGCAAAAACTGGCAAATGTTCTCTTCATATGTCCCTGCCATGCCCAAGAACTCTCTCCCCTTCTTGTCTTTGTTAACATGTCAGGGCCAATCAGCAGGAGCAGCAGCTGCAGCAGCAGCAGCGTAATGCTGATATCCTTCCTGCTGCATGAAATTCCTTGCTTGCTCCCCCGGAGCCTGAGGTGGAACTGTGACGTGCTGTCAGCAAATAAAAACTTTAAGCGGCTTCGAGGATGATCGAGGATGGAGCCATCCGACACTGCACGAAGTCATTGCCAAAGGCTTGCAGAGTTTACCCGCAGGAGCTGCAATTGAATGGTTTATAACTTCAGCCATTGCTGCGCTGCTCTGCGCGCGTGGCTCGGGTACCACAGGAACTCGGAAGCGCCTCTGCAGCTGCAGCTCCTCAACTCTTCAGTGAAAAGTATTCGTCTTGGCGGGCAGTTTGACAGCTGTCGGGCCGATGGCTGGGCACTCTTGAACAATATATATATATATATATACATCGCCCTTCTGTTGCGGTTTGCGATTTTGCCGACAGCTTTGGATGGAAGAGAATGGTGGGCCCTCTTGGTAGGATAACGTAACTTCCTTCCATGGCAGACTGGACGAGATTGCATAGTCTCAGCTCTTGGGGCCAAGTAGAACACATGATTAGGGCGCTTTTCTCATCCTACCAACTTGTCCTTGGGGTTGCCGGCTATGAGGTCAACAGTTCCCTGACATTGGAGAGCAGCAAAGGCAACATCAGCAACGTTGCAAATGGTTGCAATCATGCATGCGCCTCTTGCAGGTTGAACAGGACACTGGCGAGCGTCCAGTCACTCAAGTCTCCTTGTTCATGCGACCTCTCATCGTGGAAAATAGGATACCTCAGAGCTGTCTCACGCACAGTTGCAGCTGTAAGCAGCCTGTGGGCAGCGCCCCCGCCGCCAAGATTTGATAAAATGTTTCTGCAAGCCTAAGCCATCTGCCCTGACATGCATCAGTCATGTTCACATCAAGCTGCGAGTGATCAGCCTGATCTCCGAGGGTGCGCAATGCATCCTTCGGATCATGGCGCGCTCCGTTTGCACCCAGACTTAATCCAGCCTTGGACCTGCATAGCCCTCACATTCGCTCCTGCGGTGTGCTCGACGCGGGCATTGCGCGAAGCCGAGCAAAGCGGTGCAGGGAGCTATTCCCGACAATCCTCCACACCAGCTTACGTTCAATTTGAAAAGCTGGATTCTGAGGGCCGAGTGAAGCCGCCCGCTACAGAAGAAATTTGGGACATTGCAGGCCGGGCTTGCACGAAGAGAATATAATGCTACATCGGTCACTTCCGTATCTGCCGGGAGTCTGGTTCGGGACGTCCAACGTCTGGTATTGGTTGACATGGAAAAATGCGTGGTTGATGGCCACCTCGGACACCTGAATCAATGGCATCTAGCTGACAAAAAAAAACATTGCTGCATTCGATGGTGATGCGAACTTTGCGTCAAGCAAGCATCAGAAACCTTCTTTCAGCATCTAGCCGGGGGCCTGGTCATGTGCAGCCTCAAAGTTTGCGATGCGACGGTGCTTGAAGTCCATGAGCTGGTAATTATGTCCTGCAGAAACTTGACACCGTGCTTCGTGCCGCCTGGACCCGCGGTATGCCAAATGTCTTTTGTGAATGTCAAAGCCATGCCTGGCCTGCTGCGTGTCGTTGCGAGATGATGGCCCTGGCCTCATCCCAACCTACAAATGGCGCTGGCAAGGAATGTGTGGTCCAACTCATCCAACACAACTGTAACGCACCATCTCGTGTTGTGGACCTTGCACGTGCTGCGCATGCATCAGCCTTCTGCCGCGAGCAGTTGCCTGCTGACGAAGTTGCGGCCGAGACCAGAGGTGTCCTTCTTGCTGTCTGTTGAATGTCAGTCCTCTCTGTTGTGCAGGACTGAGAAACAAGCTTGATGCTTCTAGGATTCTAGGTCTGGTACGCTGACCAAGCATGCACAAAACATGCGGCATGTGCTCCAGCCAAGGCCAAGGAGTTGCGAAGATTTCTGTGCAAATGGATTTGGGACGACAAAAAAAGCTAATGCTGCTCAGCTACGCAGGTTCCCGGGCCTACCCAGTTCAAGGAGAAGGCGATGCCGTGAGCGTTGAAAGCGAAGGCCGACCTGCATTCATGATCAGCGGTGTCCAACCACAAGGGACATCAGCACCTGGCTGAAGCAGAGGCACATTCCGCCCAGGAGGTCGCCAGCGTAGTTGAGCACCGTAAAGTTACTCTTGCCGAACTGGACGAAAGCAGCAAACAGCCACCTGTCCTGGCTGCAGTTCCAGACTCCTGAAACACTTTGGGCACCTCTTTTGTTGCAGGCATGCGTCACCCAGATCGCCATCTTCATTGTGGGCATCGAAGCACCGCGAGGAATCACCTGGACACAACTTTCTGCAAAACTGCGGTCATTTGGGAACGTCCAGTATCTGTCTTGCCATCAATTGGAATGGAGATGCAGAAGCGCAGCCGGGAGGCACAGCATGAGATCCTTAGAGCTTCGTCAGGACAAACCTTCGAACACGCTGCGCGCAGCAAAACTAGGAACACGTTGGGCATTGCATCTCAGGCAGAGAATCTGTGCAGTGGTCCACCCTCCGCCGAGCACTTGGCAGCGTCAGGTTCTGGCAGTATGCCAGCGCCTCCTGTGTTCAAACTATGTCTCTTCTGTTCTATGAGCAAGCATAAAAGCATACTGCAAAAACCATGCAGAAACTGTACGCATCCTGCAGGCTCAGTGCCAGAAGGTGCTGTTCAGAAACCTGAGCACCAGCTGCCAGGCCGCGCAACTCCGCGAGAAGTTCTGGCACTTTCCTTGGCTGCATGATGGCATGTCATAGGCTTCCTAGGGCCGTAGCTCTTGCCACTGTCTAAGCTGTGCAGCTCCTCGTGGGTAGCAACCAGTTTGTGAAAGTGCTTCAGGCACCTACACGGCGAACATCTGTTGCAACACTTCCAAAGTGGGAAAGAGTCGTGCAATCAACAAATGCTCGAGCATGTTCCAACTGCTCTGCCTGTCAGAGCTTAGGAGTCGGTCGAGGGCATTTTCCTAAGTTAACTTGCAAAGGCAAGGCAAGGCTAGGCATTTAAAGCTTGCGTGTGTGCCATTTGAAATCAAACCATTGTGGAGATGAAATCGCTGAGCTTCATGGGACGCAAGTCTTTCATGGACAGCGGCCCGGTAGCCTTAGCCAGGTTCACTTTGGCGCGGCAGTGTGGTCAAGCCATCCAATGATCCAGTGCATCCAGTGGCGGGCACCAAGAGCCACGCCTAGGCCGTGGTGGTCCTGGCCAAGGCGCTAAGCCAGGTGTCAGAAATGCGAAGCCCGTTCAGGTCTCATGCCTCCTTCTCGCTCTGGAAATGGAAATCTGGCAAGAGCTTCGCAGCTTCGACAACATTGTGAAGCAGGCTGGCCCATGCTAGGCGAAGCCATGCGGCGGGCATGGCACCAACCCTTCCCTAGCAAACGTATTGCATGTAATTACTGATGGCAAGGGAGGGAGGTGTTAGAAAAGGTTGACATATCTGTCGGGACTGGTGCACGCAATGCTTGCGCTATGTAACGCTGAGTGTTCTTGGCTACACAGGATCAGCAACATCAAAAGCTTTCTCCAAACACGCACCCTCAAGCATACAAGCACTGGTGCTGAGAGCTACGCAATCTCCGGAAAGGTAGGGGCGAATCCCACTCCCAGCAAGATCTTGCGGGCACAAGACGGGAAACACAAGATGGGCATGATACTTGACAGAACTACTCTCAGGGATGCCATGTACCAGATTGTACCACATCAATGGCCCAGGACCTAAAAAAGTTCGGACATTTGATAGGATGTAGTGCGTGCAATCAAGTAGCTCCACCAGGCTTCACCTTGGACTCCCAAAGTGCAAACCGTTCCTGCGCCAGAGCACGACGGCTCAGCTCAGTCAATGCGGTACCGTGCACAGGAGAAGAGGCAGCACTGTCTGCGGCCATTCCTGTTGACTAACCCTTTCGCCCAAGTACTATTATGATCTGTTGTGTGCCGCCAGGCCAGAGCACTCTGCCACAGCCTGCACTAACTCCGCAGAGCACCCACGGAAGTCAACCAGGGCTAAGTCCATGGACCTGCGCCAACTATTGTCCAGACTCTTCTAGGCAGGCACGTTACCCAACACCAGTGCTATCTAGAATAGGAACTATGCATCACGGGCCATTCTCGGCGTTGGCAGGGCCCTTCCACAGCAGCGCTAAACGTAGAGTTCTAGGTTACAGTACACAAACCCCGCAGCTACTCCTTGGCCAACCTTGGCGGGAATGCATCCGCCGCAGTCCTGGGGAGCATCAACATCGAACAGCTGCAAGCATGCTGCGTGAAGCGGAAAAAGCAACAAACAAGCCTTCCGGGATGCCAGTCACGAAAGACATTTCGTTCAAGTTCCGGCAACGAGTAACGATTGGGCCAAGTAACCGTGGCGACGCAAAGTAGATCACGCCACGGTCGCGCACCACAGAAGCCTGAAGCTGAGCCTTGCTGGCCAGGGCCCCATGTTCCAGGCAAACATGCGCAGCTCCAAGAGCTGGAAACGAAGGCACCGGCACGCCGTTGCTCGAAGATGCTGAAAGCTGCTCTGCCTGCGGCAGATGGGATGAATGACAAACATCCTCATGCTCAACCGCAAAAGGTTTACAGGGAGACTGCAGGCTGGAGTTTGTTACAAGGCACTGCAACTCTCCAAGCTGTTGTTATTGTTCAGCAGCTCGGAGGCAGCATCAAGGGCCAAGACCTTCTGCTTCAGATGAGCCGTCGGGCTCCATGACAATGCCGGCCTTGCTATACCACAGGCAACATGCAAACAAAAGGCCACGGGATCCCGAAGCATCATGACTTCGAAGAGCTCCAGCTGAAAATGTCTGACTTCCTGTCCCTAGGCAATCTTGCAGTGAGATCGTAAAGGCCAGCGACTCCAGAACTGAGCCCTCGACATACTGCAGCCCAGGATAATCACTGGCAACAGCTAGCATTGGCCATTCCTTTAAGCATTGTCACGTTTAGCTGGCTTGCGGATTGGGGGCCTGACCGGGCCAGTCCATTGAAATATCCCTCTCTAGCTTAACTTCAGTGAAACTGCAGCTGAAGTAGATTCGAGTCAACGCTACGAGAAGCACTGCACTCTGCCTCGTTGGGCACACCAATCTCGACCAACGCTAGCTGCTCTTGCCCATTCCGCACCATAGTGCCTACCCCCAACAAAAGAGATGTGCAAATATCCTGGCGCAAACAGTGTCCACCGCCTATAAGCGAGGCGACCATGTCCTGGAACGAAATGTACCTTGCTACATTTTCTGGTGCCGGCAAAGAGGTGAAATGGAAACGCTTCCCCAGGTGCCCGGCTCCTCATGGAGGATCAGAACGGGCGCGCCTCGGCCAGGAACACGGAGGTCACGAACCTGGACAAACTCGCAGAGATCTGCTGCAAATGAAAGACGAGACCTTGCAATTAGTCGGGTGTCCGACCCATGCATGCATTCCTTGGTAGCTGTCTTGCGGCGGGCAGCAGTTTCGTTCAGTATTCATCTGAATGTTCAATGAATACCCTCGCGTCATGCACAAGGCTACCATCAAATGTCTGGGCTGCCCTGTCAGGAGCCAGACCGGCAAAGATCCTGAGAATGAAAAAGCTGAGCAAATCTCCCAAGTGCCAGGACAACATTCGAGCTCGTTGACCTTGCAATGCAAGGGCCAATTGCTGAAGACTGGAACCGCGTCTCATCGTTGGGTGGTTGCAACCTGCTGCTGAAAGTTACTGAGCTCCAGGGCCCACGGTCTGCGCAAGCCTTGCTGCGAGCTCAGCAGTTGGCAGGCCCGCAGAAAGTCCAGGCCTGGATTGGTACACTATGCGCAGGGCACTTTTCTGCGCAGCTCTTCCATGCCTTCCTCACATCAGTTGCTATCGGCGTGTCTTTAAGTCTTTGGTCCGGGCAAACGTCGCAAGAAGGTCTGCAAATCCTTTTGGAATGCGAGGGAGCATCTGGCGGAACTATTATTGGTTTTACAAACAGTATTTCTGCACAACTGGGCCAGCAGCAGAACGCACACTGTGCCCTACCTGGTTGGCATCACATTCTTCAAGAACGAGCAATGTCAACACAGCCCTCGTAGCCAGGAGCAGAACCCGCAGGACCGGCGATCGCACACCCGTTTCCGGCAAGTAGTCCTGGTGTAAGCCACAGGAAGCCCACAAGCCTGACGGCTACATCTGAAGCACGTGATCTTCCCCAACACCCAATGTTGCACAGCCTAGAAACGTCTGCAACCTTATGCGTCTGCGACCGTCAACGCTGCGATGGAGAGGTTGCTATGCAGGCTTGCGTGGCCTTCGCGAAAAAGCGCATGCGCTCATCAAGCGCCTGCTGTAGAGCCTCAGGTCCGAAAGCTGGAGGTCAAGAGGTTTTGATCCGGTCTCACTTTGGCCTGGATGGGGGTGAACTGCTCCACGACTTCTGCACACCTTGAATCCTCAGCTTCGGTCACTTTGCCCAACACGCTTGCATCCTTAGCCTCCACGGCGTCATCTAAGCACTGCACAGACTGCTGGCACAAGGTAATATAATCCAAGGTCGAGCCGAGCACGGATAGTCCTGGTGGCATGACATCTAGAGGGCCGAATCATGCGGCACAGCGTTGCCTACATCCTGGAGCAGCTGGAATGCTGAAGACCCCAGGGTGGTCCTCAGCCGCGTGCCATGCTCAGGAGCTTAGAACCTCTTGCAAACACTGCGGCCAGCATTACGGACTGTTAAACGCATTTTCTCGTCAATAAATGTGAGCAAGCCTGTCTACACACATCGCACCTGCAAATTCCTCAAGGACTGCACTGGCGTGCTCTGCGGCCCGAGCTGGGAAACTGTCCGGCTAGCCGCCTAGTAGCGAAAATCTTCAGGACTGAAGTCCAGCCAAAATTGGTGAATTTCTGCCAAGTCTTCTGTGCCGCCTTCCCGACAATCTCCTCCGCTTCTTTCGGGCTTGACAATAACCATTCGTACAGCGCCTGGCTTGGCAGCTGGTCACAGCTCTGTGCAGTGACGCAGAGTGGCATCAACCCTCTGCGTTGGACCGCACACAAGGACGTCTTGGGGTGGTTTGGGTGATCGAGAGAACTTCTGTTGGACTGGAGCTCCAGGGAATTTGTAACAAAGGCTCCTTCATTGCTTCTCTGGCGAGCCTATCTTGCCTCAGGATGCATTGCTACCTGTCTGCATGACTCTCCACAACCCCTGAAGGCAAGCTCAAAGTCACACTGCTCACAGTGGGTCTTAGGATATCCCTCAGGCTTTGATCCCTGATGCGGCTGCAGCTACGGAAGACTCAGACTGTAAGACCTGGTGCTCCCATGATGATGGTCTGCCGGTAGCTATCTTCCAGTTTGGTGGAGCTGGCTTGGCAGGAGCCTGGAACTCGGTCACACCGCAAGCGCTGATACACTCCTTGAAGTTGTTGGCGCATGGCAGCAGCCTTGGGAACAATCTGAGCACTGCAGGTGGCCAGTACTGCGAAGAATTTTCAACTAAATAACCCAACTCATGTTTGGCTCCAGGACCCACGGTCAGCACAGATTCAACACTCCAAGGCTCCTGCTGGATAGAATTGAATTTGGCCGGCTGCCCTGAGACCCCTGACATGTACTGCCTTGTCAATACAGCAGTTCACACTGAAAGACTTCCTGCCTTCAAACGCTATGAAGAAGGACACATGACGAACCCTCGCAAACGCACCGCCCATGCGTGATAGTTGCTGCTACCTGGATTGAATGTTTGTTTTGGGACATGATTTGGATTGTTCGCACGTGCCGCAAGCTCGAACCAGACCATAGCAATGCTGGTGTCGGACATCGTGCTCAAACTTGGGTGGACAGCAGGCCAGGCGACCCTGTGAGCCAACAAAGCTGACATAGACACAAGGCGGCTCGGGGAACTGGTAGCGTAATGAAATCTGCTTCAAACTGAATGTGCTTCGCGCCAGGCATTTTCGCATGAAGTTTATCGATTGCCATCTGAACTAGTGGATAGCTCCAGGCCAGCAAGAGATTGTGAGGGCCCTCACTGCCCTGAAGCTCTTGCGGTGCTCAGAAACCACCACAAGCATGTGTAAAGCTGAGAATGACGGGTGGTTGATGCTTCAGTGCATCAAGACATTGCTCGGCATCGACTTGCGCACAGCAACTTGAGCGTCAAGATGAGCAGCTTGAACTGCATAAAACAATGGAGTGATGCCCAATGTCCCATATGCCCGGAAGCTTCAAAACGTTGGAGGCTTTGCCTGAAACTCTTCCGGCCGACTAAAAGCGCAATCAAAGCTGACCGAGTTGCTTGTGACCTCAGCCTGGCCCTGGGAAACGTTGCGCGATCATTCCTCATGTGACGTTGGCACCAGGCTGACCTTCCACACAACACAGCTTCCTCTTAGCATGGACTTGAAGTCCACTTGCAAGTGGTCCGCTTTAACCAGAACATAGATAAGGTTTCAGCCAGAATACTTCCCTCGGGGAGAGCAATCCATCGTTGGTGAAACGTACCTGCCACCAAATCGCTGTCCATCAAATCACATCACAGACATCACAGCAGGGCCATGGCATGGCATGGCAGTGATGCTAGCTGCAGCCGGGATGCACTAGGTTGAAGTTGATGTTATTGACGTTGTGAGTCTATGTAATGTGCAGGTAGTGGCGAGGCCAATTTCCACGCCGCCTGCTCCTCCAAGATTGGATTGCCCAAGCCAAAGCATTAACAGTGTTCTTCTTGGCTGCACCGCTCACATCTTGACAAGTACGGAGAGCTGACAAGGCGTGGCCTCAATGCTGCAGCGCCTCGGCCGTATAGCAAGACTGGCTACAACCTGTATTCACTTCCAAAAACGCTTTCCCACAGTTTGCCGCAAAGCCACAATATGCACATTTTGCATGCAGGCTTGTGGCTGCGCTACCTTGATGGACACAGGAGATTGCTCAGAAGGCACCGGGTGTTTTCTGAACGCCGCATGCCAAGGGCCGCCAAGGTGCTGCTCCAGACCCTGTGGAGTGACGCTCCCAGTCCTGGACCGAATGCGACGTCGCAGGCAAGAAGCAGCAGCATCAGCATGACATCTTGCTCAATCATTACGAGTTGTGAGTGTGAGAAGTTTCCAAGTCTCAAGCTCAGGTTTGCTCCCGTGAAGAATCCACATTTTGCAGCAAGTGCCCCACAACGCGCAGGGCATGTAAGGCAATGTCAGGGGATCTGTCCGCAAGCAGTTTGCATTCAGACTCGCTCCGGGCCGCCTCAGCTATGTGAGAATCGAGGGGCACCCGCCAGGAGGTGGCCTTCCTGGGCGTGCACCGTGATAGTGCAGCATGGTGCAGCAGGTGGACAAGCAGAAAGACCCTGAAAGAATGCACATGTCAGTGCCAGCGGCAATGCAGAGCCTTCGGAGCGGAAGTTTCCTTGGCACTCGGAGGAATGCAACTTGCGGCAATTCGCGAGAGCTCTCTTACACAGCTGGCCACACGCTTCTGGCTCTGCGCAAGCATGTCAAGTTGGTATGGTATTTCACGCAGCCCTCTCCTGGATGGCTCATGTGCTTGGAGAATCTGCTGCCAATAGCCGGGAGGTTGCTGAAAGGCTCGATTCACGCCGCGGTGTCTTGTAAAGCCCGTGAGCTGTCAGTTTCATGCGCTGTTTGTTACCTGCCTACTCGTTTCTTGGCAGTTGTCATTCAGCTTCAGTAACCTCTGGCGACAGGGAAGGTGTAGCCAGTCTTTTTACAAAGAAAATGAAAGCGCTCGATGCAAAGTGCTCGATGCCAAGACCTGCCCTGCTTATGCTGGAACTGTTGGGTCAGAGGCGGCCCTGCCAATGCTCAAGAAGTCTCCAAGGAGAGATGGTCTCGAGAGTGCATTCGATGCAATTGGTCCACAGACCTGGGATGAAGCAAGCAAGTGACAAATATGGGGGATTCCCATAATTAGGGGTACCTTTTTGGGGTCCCCATAATAAGGACTATAGTATATTAGGGTCTATATTGGGGTCCCCTTATTTAGGAAGACTACCATATATTACCATATCTTGTTGCCAGAACCTTGGCAAGCCTAGGACAGCAGGAAGCCTCAGGTCTAGCAGACCATCGCCCAAAAAAGGGGCAAGCTGCTAGCTCCATGTCGGGATCCAGCGCCTGCACCATTCATTAACACAAGCTCATAGCACAGCATGATGCATCATTGTCATTGTCATTGGCATTGGCCTTCAAGCCAGACAGCTGCAGAAGCATACATCAGCCCTGGCGGGTTGCCTCTTCTTTCTCTGCATCACTCTCCAAGACAGACTCAAGTTGGCCATTCGAAGCACAGTCGACCATGGCCTGGCATGCCAAAGTACAGCTAGGCAGCTAAATAAATATCTTGAAAGGTGGATCCGGGCCAGCTTCACTACAAAGGCACCAAGGCCGTTCAAGCTCCAAACCATACCCAATCATATCCACCCTAATGTCCCATCCTTCTCAAGTGGGGTGTGCTAGATCCTGGAGATTCATCCTTGAAACGGCAAGGCAGCCTCAGTCCCGCAGCTCGCAGATGAAGAGCTCAATGTGCCTTCGGCTATCGTCTGGCTTGAGGCTTTCATGTGACCGGCCATCAGAATCGAACTCTTGAAGTATGGGCCCAACATTTCTGGACTTGTCTGCCCATGTTAAAAAGGCCCTGATAACCTGATCTGGAGAAAATGTACTTTTAAACAGATCCAGCTGGCTGGGGCTGACGAACTTCTCCGCAGGTGTCCGCTGAAGGGAGCTGTCGCTGCCATGTCGCTTCGAATGCTTTGAGCCTGTCCCCAAAGATTCCCTTGCACGTTTTTTGAGGGTTCTTCCTACACGAGGCGAGTGTACGCGCATTATGCGCAATGTGAGCCTTTGGGAAGACAAATGGCAAAGATCAACTTCTTCTCAACATGGCACTGTCATCCAGCCTGAGGAAAGGATTCGGCCCATAAAGAATTGCCACTGCGGTTTCTTGTTGTTCTCCGGCGAGCTCAATGCCTCGGGTAGAGTGCTGCCAGAGAATGCTAATCCGCGCTTCACAATTTCAGGGGCAGTGTCAGCAACAGCTCCTTACCTACACCCCACCAAACAACCAAGCAGTGCTGCCTCGGCCGAAATCAGTCTTCCAGAGTGAACAACCGCTCAAGCGGTGTTGTGTGAACTTTTCTGGGCTCATGAAAATAAGATGGCCAGTGCTTCTCGATTCTGCTGTTGCTTTTCTCTGACAGCCAACGAGGATCTGAATACCAGGAGCGACTCACCTTACGTAATTACAGGAGCAACAGTACCCAACTGCCGCCTTGCAGCTTCTTGAACGCGCTTTTGATAGTCAGTGAGCGATACCTGCAAGAAACGGCAAGGAACGTCAGCTAACAAAAGCAAGCAAACTATTTTCAGGGGTTAGCCCGCCTGGCTGCTCGACTTCTTTGCCATGAAGGAGCCACGCTTCAGCTGGGTCAAGCTGCGCCGGCCGCGCTTGATGTCAGCGCCTTGCAAGCACCAGGGCAGGGTCCCGGAAAAAGGGCGCAGCCACGCAGCTTGCCAAAAACCCGGTTTCGCGCATCCCAGACTGCGCCTTGCTCCACTTCAGTAGCCAGGTTTCTCCAGAGCGTATCGAAAGCAGGCATCACTCTCTCCCGCTCCATGCTGAGCAGGTATTCCTAGATTCTAGCGAGGCATGTCTCTGCACAGCCACGAAAAGCTGTCTACCCGACCCGTCTGAAGCCATTCGCCTCAAATCCTTGAATCTAGGTCACATTGCAGATGTAAAAAATCCTAAATTGACGCCTTAAAGAAGGTGCTAAATGGTTGATCTCAAGCGTCCCAGACATCATGTCTTCACCTACTTTGCATGCCACAATGGAGTCCCAACATGGCCCCGTGTCAATGCACCACCTCAAAGGAACGAATTCCCTTCTGATGATACCTCACACTTTGCGAGTATCCACTAAGTTATCCAGTGCGGCCAATGATGAGGCATACAAGTGAAATCCCCTGCTTCCCCACCCTCCCAGGGGGGTTCTTGGATTTTGAGGAGTCTATGTTCTCCTCCCTCCGCGCAGTGCCTAAACGCAGAGTATCCCACCGCAGAGACAGTGCCCAACTGCATGCCGGACCACAGAATACCCCGGTGGCAGAATCGCAATACCTTACGGTTGGGCACCGAAGGGATACCATGCGGTGGGGCACTGCAGGGATATTCTGCGGTTGGGCACTGCTGGGCACTACCGGGACTCTCCCCGCTTGGACACTGCTGGGACGCTCTGCGGTTTGAACCCAGATTGGGCTCCGCAGGGGTAGTCTGCTGTTGGGCACTGCAAGGAAATATACATATCTATATACAAATGTATGTATACATAGATGTGTGTGTAAATGTATTGTATATATATATATATACATATATATAGCACTTGGGCACTGCAGGGATACCCTTCGGTTGGGCAACGCTGGCACACTCTGCGGTTGGGCACTGCAGTTCGGCTTGCGGTTTCAGGCAATATGGCGCGACCGTTGGGGTCGTGGGGTGGCTTGTGCGAGAGGTTTGGATTTTCAGAATTACGCTCTGGGTTTGGGCACTTCAGGGGTATCCCGAAGTTGGGCTTGGGGCAATGCAGGAACCTCTGGGGTACGTTTAGACAGTCTTATCCTTTGGCACCCAGCATCGTGATCCTGCACATGCTGCCCCGATAAAGATGGCAGCTGTGCTGAGATTGGATCCAAGAGAAGCAGTAGGCGGTTGTTCATGTCATGCTGCATGTCGTGCACCTGAAGGCTCAGGCTTGCAAGGAGGGTTCTCCAAAGAAGTAATGAAATCCAAGTTAGGATACTCACATGTGCATATCTAAGCAGTGCACATCCAGGTCATTGGCATCGGCCCCAAATGGGTTCTCCAGCCTTTGCACTTTAACAGTATTAATTCTCAAGCATCGCGGTCAGTCCACTCAGTGCTAACCAGCCCCAAGGAACTCGATGGCAATCGAGTGCAAGCTCCACAGGATGAACACGGTAACAAACGTCAGGATGCCTCAGGCAGGTGCCAGATCCCAACAAATCAGAATAGACATGGGCACCATACTAACTACTTGCATACTCAAGCACCTGAAAAAATGCTAAGGTCCACCAGGATTCAAGACACCGTCGCGGTCTGCGTTCCCAGTGACATGACAAAAGGCGTTAGGAGCCAGTGCATTACAAGCAGCATCAGCGTGGCTTGGGAATAGGGAAAGGGCACCGCAATCCGCGCAATCTTGAGGCAGTCATGAAACTTGACCATGCCACTGGCCAACTCGCTATAGGCCCGCGTGAGGATGGGCGACGGGGCAGACATGATCCCGCAATCGATGCTGGATACCACTATAGACTGTATCCAGTGAAAAACAAGTTCCACTTTGCATTCAGCCTTCTTTAAGGCTTTGAGAGAGCCCACATCAATGCCTGTGCCGTCGATCACGCCTGGACAAATCTCAACAAAGCAGCGCACAAGAAAAGCGGATGTTCGCAATGAAAGCCAACCCGCACATTCATACTGCAAAATCTGCAAACGTGCAGACGTAACTACCAAAATTGCATCCAAAAAATAATCTGTGCTCAATTCAAGTTTGCTGCAGAATGGAAGGGGAAACAAACAAAGCCTCATAGGTCAAGTCGAGGACTTAGGGAGACTTGGGGTCATTCAGAAAAAGCCATACCCGGCTAGCATGTTCCGTGATACACTATCTATCTGAATCTATCTGATGTTGGAATATGTTGGATCTTCTCCGTCAAGCTACGCAAGCGGTAGGCCCATCTATCATCATCCTCATCATCGTCATCCTCCAGCTCGGCCAGGCTAAGCGCATGTAGCATGCCTTGGCTCATTAGGCATGTGCGCTGTATGGATTGACCTCTGGCAAAGCGTACCGAAGCTGGACGTCCCCTTCCACAGCTGAACCATGCTAAACCTGTAGAAGGCCCATACTCATCAACGCTCCGAAGCACTGAAAAGTCGCACAACAATTTGGCGAAACTCCCATAGTTTCCTTGGCTGGCTTCAGCGGTGTGATGAATCGACCTGAATGAAAGAGGTGATTGTCTCTGGCGCTCGGATGCTGGTGTGCTGCTCAGTCTCTTGGCGTCTGCTTTGGATGTCCTGGAGGAGCAAGGTCAATCTAGAGATGCAAAGCTTCAGCGACAAAGTATCCATCACACGTCTCTGCGTGAACTTGCTGCATGTGTTGTTTCTCGCACGAACGAGCAATCTAGCCGCAGAGCGCTTAAACGAGCACGAGTATGTATATCCAGTCTGGCACAACGCCAATCACCCGGCGGACCAACGCATTGGCGAGGCGGCGCCCTTGCGCCGCCAGGTCGCCTCCGGAACCTGCCCTGCCCAAATGCGACAAGGCTTTCTATACTTCACTGCACCGCATTGCTAGGACCTGCTGCTTGGCAGCAAGGCTGCGCGGGTCCAGCAAGATTATCTCAGCTGCGGTCTCTCACAGAGAAACAACTAAGAAGGCCCTTCAGATCAAACCAATCGTCCACCGCAGTCACGATCTGCCGCTTCGGTTTGCAAGAGTCATCGTCTGCATTGCTTGCATCCTCTGTGGACACGCTGGGCACCTCTTTATCCCACCGGGATGCTGCTGCACTCTCAGGTGTCACACAGACACCTCCAAAGTCCTCTGGGCCCACTGGCAAACCTTCAGGCCAGGCTCCTTCCTGCCGCATGTCCATCTTGCGATATCTTGCGACGCTAGTCTCAGGGTTCTCTCTGCCAAAACAGCTGCAGAACCCGCTTCAAGCAGCAGTTGTTGCTGTGGGTGCATACACTGGCATACGAGTTTAGCACATGTTCGACGGGAAATGACTACATGAGTCCACGCTGGCTTGCTTTTGATGTTTAGGAGGTGGCAGCATCCCAGGCGGGATAGGCAACGGACACCTACCTGCAATCCTCAGAGCTGTGCAAAGGGAAGTCCTTGTAAACGAAATGATGCTGCTGGCAGCGTCGAACCAGTCACCGCGCATCCTGAGCATTCTTCTTTGGGCGCGCAGGCACGCCGCAGGTGGCAAGGATGGGGAGGGTACGCTGAAACCAGATCAAAAAACAAACAGCAAGGCTGCGCGCCTGTGCGCAACAAGCGCCAGGCAAGAGTAAACCTTTCGGGCAGCACTTGCCCAGGCCAAAACTGCTGAGGGTCAGAAGAACAGAAGAACAAAAAGCTGACAATACCATCGTGTCTGGAAGCAACAGCTCTGTTCACAGTAATAATTGTTCCTTGCTGTTGTAACTAGACTCATGTCATGATTAGGGCGACGAGGATGGGAGTTGGTGCGCCTAGCCCTGAAGGCAGCCAGGGCTGATAACAGTCGAATGTGAGAAATATGCGCACCCTTGGTTGGGACCTCCTCCAGTGCATGACCCAGGCAAAAATCCTACTGATACGAAAAAATCCTGCATGACCTTAAAATATTTTAGTACCATAATTCCTTGGTAGTAAGAACCTGAGGTCATGCAGAAATTCTAATCTCCACCGTACTATGTAACAATGTAACAGTCAGGCATCTGGTGCGTTAGAGTGCTTCCATCCCAGAATCCTTGGCCAGCAGGAACAGTTCACGCTCTCGAAGCGGTGCAGCCACCCAAAAAAAGGCTTGGCCAAGCTTCTGTTATAGGCCTGCCCAGTTCGGAAAACAACCAGAATCCTTAGTCAAGCATGCTAGTCAGCTAGTCATGGCAGCGGCCACGGACGCACGCAAAGCAGCAAAGCTACCCGAGTAGTGTCGAAAAGGCGTTGTATACGGTAGAGTCCATCTCTGTCTGCGAAAGGAAATCGCAAAGGATTGGCCATCCGTGAAGCTCACCATACTTGAGCAAGAACGCCACCTCAGATACGGGCGCAGTAGTGTGACGAAACTGCGAAGCCTAAGCTGCAAATGCTGCAATACCCTTCCGTAGCCCTACATTAAGCTACAATGATGATGTCCTGACGCCTCCCGCCGTAGGATGCTTGTCACGGCCAAGGCTCCCCTGCACAAGGCAGTGCAACCTTAGTAGCAAAGGGGAAGACGCTGCCATTGAGGTGGAAGAGCGCGGACAAGCTGACACCTCGAACTTTGCAATGGGCCCTTCACAGCCAAAGCTCTCGTTTTTGTACCAAAACGTGTGTATACAGCAACGCATGGGCCAAGCGGCGGGTCTTTAGTCGTGAGAACGACAGTACCATTTCCGGGGCCGGGCATGGCACATCAGCGCAAGCAGGGTTACGCAAACTCACAAACTCACACACGCAGCCTAGCAAAGGGCAAACACAGAGATTCGAAGGATAAGAGGCAGTGGGCATCCATGAATGTGGTGCGAAATCTGCACCATTCTTATGATTCTGATGCTGATCTTCGTGCTGAGTTACGGCATAGGGAGGCTGGGCTAGAAACTCATGAAACAAGAAGAACGACACCTCCGAAAGGTTGAACCCAAGTAGCAGCATGCAGAGACTAAGGTTGCCAAAGCGCTTGGCACGGCAACTTTGAAATATGCTGTGCCTGATTGCGTCCTGCAACTGAAAAATATCTACTGCTTCTGAAGACCTGCCAGGACCCCTTTTTGGAGCTTGGAACGTAGCGACACCTTGAGGCGTGCTCATTGCAAGACATTGATATCACAACTCTGTGCCTTGACACGGGCATGGCTGAAACAAGAAATGGCGCATCGCTCACGTCAATACAGGTTCTACAAGCATACTTACGGCCTCCTGGCTCTGCCTTGCAATGCCATAAGAATGCAGATACGTCAACATCTAGCGTGAAGCTAGGCCGCGACGTGGACAAGACTGTATATGATGATGCATAATGTCAGCTCAAAATGAACCTGGCAAGCTAGGCGCGCTTCTTCTTGGTAAGATTAAATGAAATGTGCTTAAGCGATGCGCCGCGCATAGCTTCTATGCAACCCCTGTGCAATAGTTGGGCGCTTTGATCAGCAACATGCACAGCATCAGGCCAAAGCGAAGCAGTGTGCATTGATGTATTTCAGAAATCCAAAGTTTGGGGTCCGGGCATTCTATCACCTGCTGCTGACCATGCAAAGGTAAATTAGCCTCCGCATCCTTCACTCCTTGCAGAGGCTTTGAAGGAATGCAGGGTGGATGGCCTCGCATGGCTGCCCACATCCCGAGAAAAAACGACGTCTACATGCTTTTGCTTGCGTCCCCTCTACGTAACCAAGTCAACTTGACACTATCAGACGGCCTTTGAGATCTAAGTCTCTGCGCTGTCCTTGTGAAGATGTGAGAATGGGCAGGTCACCAAGGCAAAGATGCACAAATCTCGAGCTGCATGCGCAGCTGGTTTTCTGCGCAAAATCATCCTGCCATGGACGAGGAGTAGCCTCTCCACCAGCCCTTTGAAAATCATGTGGCCACTTTGGAAGGATGCCACAGGCAGCAAAGAAGGCCTTGCAAAGAGACTGTGTGTGAGAACCCGTGCGGCCCGCGCCGACAGCATTGAGAGAACTAGAGGAATGAATTCCCTTTTCATCCTCCTGGCACAGGCTGACATCGGGGCCAAGGAGACCAGGCGGACCGAAACAAATCTATGCATGGCTTTGTGATCCATGGGACGACACAGCACAGCAACTTTCTCTCTTGGAGATAACGCCTTGGGCTGCCTTGACACGTTGGAACGTTAACCTATCAAGACAAGCACCGTGCACGCGAGTTTCCTACTGCCCAGCTAATAGTGGCCTGTACACTGCCACTTTCTGCCTGGGCATCAGACTGCCCTGCAATCAGCAGCAAGGCCTTCAGTTGAGCAGGGGCTGCGCATGCTGAATACTAAGCAGCCCTTCGCTGCCTAGTTGTCCGCTGCCGATTGCTGCGCATCGTTTACCTCAAGGTTCGACGCCTGGCCAAGGTAAAATGCACCCCTTGTAGCCTGGCAGCATTCTGTACCAACCCGCATTCTACACGACACAAGCAGGAGGAGCTGTGAGCCATATTCGTCAGTCTTGCACCTCCTCTTTGCTGCCCTGCGATCGCCACTGTGCCCTGTCCTTGCCTCAGCTCTTCTTTAGTAAGGACCAGGGTGCAGCATTTGCAACCGCCTCTGCTTGAGACCAACTCAAATGCTGGTTTACATCACTTCTGCAGCCATTGGGCTGGGAGGTGTCATCGGGGGCAGCTCGAAATCATTTCGCCAAGACCTGCTGAGAACGTAATCCAGCGCGCTTCATGACTTGTACAGTAACTGCTCTTTGCCCCTCGCCCTGCTGCAGTTTTGCCAAGGCACTGGTCAGCGAGAATGTTTGCTAATCGTGTATTGCCCATCGGGACTTGCGATGTTTTCTTGCCTGCAGGCAAGGTCTGATCATGCCCGCCTCAGGCTGAACATTCCCTAATATGCAGCCTTCCATCAATACTGAGCAGCTGGCTGGTCGAGCGCTTTGCAATGCTGTCGAGTGCCAGCTTTGCTGCTTTCGCGCTCATTTGAGGCTGGAATAGACTCTTATCCTTGGCGGCTCGCATGATTGCGCAAGTGTTACCTCTGTGCTCGTGTTGATTGCCAACCACTTGCAGCTTGGCATGCAGTAAGAGAACGGGCGGGCATGTTCCGTGTTCCGGCCACTGAAAATCATTGGCCAGTAACTCACAAAATCACAATTGCCCACTGAAGCTAGTACTAGATTACTACAGTACAGTGGCACCAGGTCCGCGCCTCTTGAGAACATTGGCAGCTTTGACAACTGCTTCCCTCATCTTCCCTCTCAACATCATTTACTCATGTGGGCTGAAGCGTTGTGCACTGGGAGAATCGCATGACTCTCAACTTACTGTAACAGAAAGCGCTGTTTGGCAGCACGTTGAAAGCAGTTTAGGCTAATTGCCATTGCATGCCTAAACTCACAAGAAAGGACTCAACCTGTTAGGGCTTCAGGAGCTTCATTTCCCGCAACCATGGTTGGGGGGGTGATGCCAATCGGAGCATATAGATTGCATCATGGACCTCTTGAGCGTAGCCGCGGACAGGAGCCATGCTTCTGCATCATACATACGGAAACATCCCATCTCCATAGGCACATTCGGCTTCTTGTACACGGTAGACAGTGGCACTCAGCAAGAAATTGGGAAAGGACTGCAGCCACTAGGTTGCCAGGCATCGGGCAGAACAGGCGTTGTACCAAGAACAGTCCAACGCTTGCAGACCCATATGATCCAAAAGAACACCATGCACTGATTCCTGTCAGCATGCGGCCCGAGTTGCAGAGCCAACGTGAAGGAAGTCTTTCAAGTTAACAAGCGTGAACTACACATCCATGCGAAGAAGGCCCCAAATGCCATGCAGGGCAGGGGTTTAAGCCAAGACAGACAATGCTGGCCAAGTGGCTGAGTCCGGATCTCCACCAGCTGCACCCTCACAGCTCATCCATGTCTCCGAGGGCGCAATGTCACCTCGGAGGCTGAACAGGCCAAGCCAGATCTAACCGATTCCAGCATGGAATTTCAATCACACCAGAAGCCAGATGCCGTGAAATCCGTCGAGGAACCTAAATCTTGGGCGCTGGTCTTCACATACGCATGGCAGCGGCCTTCAGCTTTGGAAGCGCAAACATCTGTCGAGTCAAGTCTTTCAGAGCGCCCTTCCCCGCCTAGCTCCTTGCTGTTAAACCAGCTGTAGGACCCGATGCGCCAGGCGCCGTTGTGGTACCACATACACTCGAGCCCTGCATCTCCTTGCAATGCTGACCAAACAATTGACCTTCCTGGATTTCAATGTGTCTTCTGGACAAGTCAAACATTTATGGCGGCGAACCACGCCGCCGGATCTTAGATAGGCCATCTGTACTCTGCCAAGCCACCCTGGCCGCTTTGGCTCTGGCTGTAAACCTGCTTGCCGTTCATGGTATCCCCCTGAGGCACGAAGGTGCCGTTCAAGCCTTGGTCGGCACATGTCAGCAGAGTGCAAAATGAGGGTGCAACGCTAACCCGACCCTTCCATATGCAAGTAGCATATTTACTACAACTCCACCCCCTAATCATCTTTGCCATGGTAAAGAATCGAGCACAATGATGCGCCGCAATGCTTCTCTCATCACGAAGCAGCAGTCGCAGATTCACTGATATGAATCCAAGGCCACTTCACTTCAATTCGGGCAATTGCTCGTCCACAAGTGAAACCAGGATGCTACAGCTCCCGCCGGTGAAGCCAGTCCTTAGTGCGCGTGAAGCAAGAGTGCAACAAGAAGAGCGCTTCACAACCCCGTGAGGGTAAACGCCTGCGAAACTACTTTACCACGCAGCTGATTTGATTTAGCTCTACTTTCTGTTCTTCCCAGTTGAAAATCAAAACTTGATGGCCGAGGGTCAGCTGAACGGAGCCCTCGGGTACTTGTTCAGCCTGACAGAGGCAACTTCAGAAACTGCGCAAAACATTCTGGGGGTTCTCCCATGGTTGCAGTGTTGCAGAGGCTGGGCTATCGAGCATCATCTAGAAGTTCGGACTGCTTCTCTTGCTCCTCTCCCTTCTCAATCGTTTGCTCCTCCACTGGCCTTTGCAGGCGAACCCGTGTGAAGAATCTAGGGCAACCTAGACAGCTTCTGCGTACATTGCCCTTGGCACCCGGCTCGCTGGTATTCCGCTCAAACGTCTCAACGACGGGGGCAGAGGCTCTTTTGTGGAGCCTGCAGGTGTCCGCACTAACTTCCACAAGCTCAAACTTTGAGCTGCAGGCCTTGACTCCTGAGGCTTAGCTTCCTTTAGCTTCACCTGGACTTCAGGGAAACACTCTGCATATGCAGGGCACCAAGCTGTACGCAGCCAAGCCCCTCGCGCTACTGGTGCTCATGATGGAGCACCTCTCCCTGGGAGCTGCGAAGCTGTGAGTTCGCCTCGGCATGAATTTGCACACTCACCCTTGTCCTTAGAATTCGGGCATTCCCGGGCCTCATGTCTCTTCTTTCCCGGCCTTTGCTTCGGAAGAGATTGCTTGCGGATGCCTCTCAAGCAAAAAGAAGCGAATACAAATACTGCCTGGATGTCAACTCTTGACCTCTCATGCTAAACTGGCCTGCAGTGATGTGGATGAACGCATTTGCTGCGTCACCTCATGCTTCGTCTTGGTTGGCTGTAAGGCTTTAGGATCCTAGATGCTGTGTAACATCTGACATGACAAACCTGGACTCTGAGTTGTCCGCGGCAGCACGCGGCTCCTGCACCGAAGAGGGCACAGCGGACTCCAAATAATTTCTACCGTAGGGAGGAGTTTGGTCACATTGGCCTGGCTCATCTTTCGGCCATGCCGCCATCGAACCAAAGACCCTTGCAGCATGATGTCGCCCTGGCATTGCAATATCACGGAGCACCACAACCCCACAACCACAAACAACACTTGTCCACCTGGAACAGGAGCATGTCGGTATTTTACCTGGGGATGAATAAGACTAACACGGCTCATCATTCAGAAAAGATCACTCATGAATCTGGTGCATCCGGGCGGCAAGCTGCAGTCACTTGCAGCAATGGTGAAACGTTCTGCGGCGCTCTTGTGGGCGAATGCTGCTTCTAGTCTGCTCACGTGTAGAATTGGCTGCAAACCTAGGCTTCGGATGTTGGGTGATGCTTGCCCCGAGCCTCTCAATGCTGTCATGCCCTCCCCCAACCCCGCCCACTACCTGAAAGAGCACCCTTCGATCTCGGGCCAAAGCCAGAATTGGCGATAGACAGCAGACGGGGGCAAGCTTGTTGAGACAGGAAGTGCATGTGATGGCACAGCACGCTGTAGGGGTATGCCCTTTACTTGCACGAGAGAAAAACAACGGAGCAGTTGCCAGTTTCCGGCAAGGTTCATGTGGAACCCAACTTAAGTCTCAGACGTGTTGCACTTCAAGCTTACTCAGCTTACCTTATGCCCTTGCCTGCCTAACGAGCAACAATCATGCCAATGGGCATGGCGGCGACACACAGTGACTGCAGGCTTTTCATGACGCTTCAGCGTGCGTGCCTTGTAGCGGCTTCCATGTGAGCATTTCTCACAGCCCGTTTCTTGACAGCCAAACCTCAAGGAGATCCTCTGGAAAGCCCCGCTGGACCCTCACAATTCCCCATCTGTTCCCCAGTTCGTTTGACTGCACAAGAAGCTTACATTGACGAATTGCAGTGCACTGGTCGGCATTTGTGCCCTGGGTTGCTTCAGTGATGTCTCTGTCTTCCTGCGCTTGCACTTGAGACCAGAGGTTACACGCTCGTAAACCAATCGACGCACGAACTGTTGGACACTAGCAGCGTACGCTACGACATCTGAGCATCGCTGACAGCAATCCAGCCAAAGCCCCGCGTCTGGAGCATTATCTGAGAGGAACACTAGCACTGCCTCGACTCATTGGAAGGCCTACCATGGGTTCCATCACAGGAAGGCCTGGGGCTTGCAGTCGGATCGGAGATGGCGTTCGGGAGCTTGTAATGGAGCCTGGGCCACGGATGGTCGAGGGCACCGTACAGCTCTGGGGCCATAGCTGCGCGCTTCCAAGAGTCGGCCCCGCAGAAAATGCCATGGATCCCGGTTGAGAAGCATAACCTGCCGGCATGGAGCTCTGCTTCTCGTTTACCGCGGAAGTTTCCACCTCCACCACTCGCTCGATGTAGTCCATGGCAACTTTGGGCACTTCCTTGATGACTTCTTGGTACACCGGCGCAAGCTCCTCGCGCACAACTTCGACGAAGTTGGCCTGTGGCAGCTCAACCGCCTGCTCCTCAACAAGCACCTGCGGAACGTGCACTATTCGCTCCTGGACTTCTGTCGTGAGCTTTGGCACAACGCGGTCTTTGGGCTCAAATTTTGGTCGAAGCACCTGGGTCACGACATCAACCGTCGCCACTTCCTCCACCTCAACAGGCTTCTCGTGAACCAGGTGAACAGGGACCTCTACATGCTTAGTCTGCGCTTGCAGCTGCACTTTTGGGAACTCTCTGGGAGCATCTTGCCATTGCACTTTGGCAACCTGCCGAATACGCTCCACGGCCATGACTTGCGTCACTTCCACTGGCTGCTCGTGTTGGAGATGGATTGGAATCTCCTCCACCCTCTCGTAGTATCGGAGGTCTTTCTTTGGGATACGTTTATCCACATACTGGACGATTGTCTTGGGCACCTTCCGCACAACCTCGCGTATTTCGATCTCTGGTACCTCGACAATCCTCTCCTGGTACAGGACTTGCGGAACTTCAACCACCCGTTCCACATATTCAAACACGGGTTTGGCAACTTTCTTCTCAACGTACTGCACTTCCACCTTTGGGACTTGCCGTACGACTTCGCGAAGCTGCACCTTGGGAATCTCTATCACGTTCTCCTGCACCTCTACCTGGGGAACCTCCTCAAAGCGCTCTGTGAGCTGGACTTGAGGCCGCTCCACTTGCCGTTCAACCTGCTGGATCTCCACCTTCGCAACCTGTTTCACGAGTTCAGTGCGAGCAGCCACAGGGACCTCGGTGATCTCTTCATGCACCAGCGTCTGCGGCACCTCTACAGCACGCTCCCTGAACTGGAAGATTGGCTTTGCAAAAGGTTTTTGGACCTTCTGGTCTACAACGCGGGCCACCTGCTTGACACATTCCATGATCTGAGCCTGGGGCACTTCTATAGCCACTTCCTTCTGCAAGACGGTGGTCACCTCTTGCACCATTTCCTTGCCCTCCACAATCGGTAAAGGGACCTCCCTGACAACCTCCTGATACTCAACCACTGGCACTTGCCGAACAGTTTCCACAATGTGTGTCTGAGGCACCTCGATTACCTTCTCCTGGGTAATTCGAGTCACGACCTCTTGGACCTGTTCAGACACCTGGAACTCAGGCACTTCTATGTGCTTCTCCACTGTCTTGTATTCAGGCTTCTGCTTGACAATCGTGTGATGCTCCACGACTTCCCTCGGGAGGTCCCTCATCAGCTCCTGCAAGCTGACAGATTGAACTGGAGCCACCTCCAAGCCGGAGGGAACTGCCGATCGTATAGTAACTGGCTCCATCATCTGCTGCTGGGGGTCCATGGCCCCTGCGACAGCTACCTTAGAATCTGAGAACTTGGGCCATCTCTGCTTGCATGGAGGGCAGCGGCTTCCTTCCACCCTTCCAGACATCGTGAGCTGCACACGTACATTGGAACGCCTCGTGGCACAGGCATAGATTAAAGTGTGCGTTTGGCAGACACCCTTGCATCCTGCAATAAGGAGCTTTCACAGTGGGTGCTTCTGCCCTTAGCTTCCATTAAGAGAAAATTGATCGGGAGAGAGAGAGAGAGAGAGAGAGAGAGCGAGATATATACATATACATGTGTGTGTGCGTGGGGCAGAGAGGGAAGAAGCCCGCCCTCGCGACTGAAAAGCATGAGGGCAAGTGGCCCAACAGTTTTCCTTCTGTGACCGGCTACAGAGTGAGCGCGTGCAGAATGTTCACGCGTCGTTGGCGTGACTAGGCCTGGTGAAACGGTAGTCGCCTCCAATGTTTCTAGAAGCCATGTGTATGCTCAGAGCCTTCACGTGCACTCGCTGTTGTAGAAGTGCCGATCGGAACTCTGGAAGCACCTGATGCAACAAACAACTGATTTGGGCACCGTTTCATGTGTTCCTGGTATCAAGTAAGGATGAGTCAAGAATTAGATGTTTTGGATAGCCGGCAAGCCAAAATCACATCTTTCAGAGGCTGTGGCCATAGCGGTCAAGACATGTCAGCTCAAAGCAAACATGTGATTGTGCGGCACGCTCTACGTCATAACCTTAAAGGTGGCCAACTGCTTTCAGCTTCTTCGCTTCAGAGCTTATCCATCAACATATCATTTTAGGGCTTCGAGGCCATCGCCTGCGTGCACCATCATGATCATCATCCACCTCTCCCTGAAGTCTGGATTCGGCCATAAGCTCCTCGTAGTTTCCAGTAGGCTGGCGCCTGAAGACCGAAGAGCTGTCAACGCCACAAAGATATCCGAACAACGTCACAAAAGAGCTTGATGCCTCCAACGCAGCCATGCAATCGGGATTGCAGCTACCAGCCCAGCCAGTGCTACTAGAAGCGGCCCACCCGGTCTGCGTGCAGCAAAGACCGTCGACTTTCCTGAGGTACCGCTTCAAGCAATGCAAGCAAGCCTACACTGGCAACTCTACATCTGGTTGCGGCATTTGGGTTGTGCCATCAGTAAGCCCACCTGGCACATGTCCAACAGCTAAATAGTCTATCATGCACGGGCACCATTTTATCATGTCACTGCCACTAATCTTGCTACAAGTCACGCAAAGACCACTTTTGCTCGGACTCGGCGGTGTTCGGGCATCCCAGTTGCTCGTTCTTGCAGCACCACTCCTGCTTCGCCGGAAACCAGACCTTCAAATGCAAAAATGGAGCTGCCTTCAGCCACCAATTTCTTTACATGATGCTAACCCTACAACATCCTTTAAAAATGTATATGTGTGTGTGTATGAAGTAAATACGGTCATCCTTCCCAAGAGATGGTACGGCGTCTTACCCTTGCTTTCTTCTTAAATGCATACATCAATGATGCCCTTTCCCCCGACCCGTGATTGATGCTATTCCTTTACAATCCCAAGATTTCATGCGAAAGGTCTCTCATCGTTACGAGGTTTGCTAATGCTCCAGAAAAAACTGTACGAGATTTTTGCTGAAAAGCCAAACCCAAAAATCAAATAGGTGTTCATACAAGTCACTTCGAGTTTTGTTTTTTGGAAGTTGGGATCTTTGGAGTTGTCTGTGTGTTGAGTTTCTGGACTTGTGCATTTTTGGGTTTCTGCACTTGTAGAAATAGATATTTAGTTTGCCTGTTGTGGGGCCGAAAACTGTTGACATTTGAGTACCTTGTCATATTGCATGTTAGGTCTTATAGAAGTAGTGGGTCACCCTATCCAAGCTACATCCAAAGCCCACAATGGTCTTCTATTAGGGCTTGGTAAGTTGCCTTCCAGCCTTTGGCCCTGACCCACCCTACCCACCCTCCTTTGTAGACCTCAGACCTTGTTCAAGGTGCTCTTAATGATTGGGGGGGGGGTCCCAAAATAGGGATACGATTTTGGGGCTTCCTGCAATAGGGGCTCACCCCAGTGTAGTGTGAGATGTGTGAGGATCGTGGTCACTGCATCACCTCCACATGCAGAAGAACACTCTTGCTCTCATTTCGAATCCCCCCGATATTGGATGGTGCCACAGGGTATTTGCGACGCAAAAGCAACACTCGTTGAAATTCCTCCTCTATGTTTCAAATAGGTTGCATATAGAATTTAGGATGTTCTATGGCTGAAGGGACATCCTAAGTAGATTAGACCCAAGTAATTCCAATGCGATCTGAGACAAGAAAGTGATTGTCCCAGGAAGTGGTGAAGTCTTAGCTTCTGGGGGATTTGGTGGAGTGCCTATTCACGTTGCTATGACTTTGGATGGAGTTTACAAGGCCTTCCAACACTGAATTCCTATTAAGAAGTTGATCAGTTCCGATCAGGCGGGATACCTCCTTGATGTTTTACAGAAAAATGATAAAACATGGTACTGGATCTGTGCAACAACCATGGACTCTGCATACTTGCGCATTCCATAAGGCCCTGCGAGCATGCACACACGTATACACGCGTACTCCATGGGTGCAGTCATGGCGCAACTTGCCACATGTCAAGGCCCTCGTGGCAGTTGAATGGCTTGGCAGCAATCGCTCCGTCATCACTGTGTTCGTGCTTCCGGGTGGTCGGAGCAGGAGTCGTCGTCTCCACCTCAACTGAAGAAACATCAGAGAATGTACGGAATTTGTCTGGAGTTGCTGCCGTCTTGGCCTTCCGGTCAGAAGCACTGCCGAGACTTCTGCCACTGCCATGAAGTGTGACTCGCTTTGGATAGTCTGATTTGGGACAGTCTGATTTGCTATTTTGAAGGGACAGGAATAACCTGGAAAGACCCACTGCGCATTGTAGATAGATTCTGGCCTGGCAGGCAGTCTTCAAGCCCTACCCTATGCCGTGCACCCACGCCAGATGAATCTCACCTGGCGTGCTGGAATTCCAGCTGTACAAAGATGGAGCGAAGGCAGATGTTGTTCCCCTTTGATGCGGTTCAGGGTAGGACACAGCAAACTCTTCCATACGCAATACGCTAAGGCGTCCACATTCGCAGCGCCGAGACAAGCTTGGCCTCCGTAGGATCTTGCAGCTGTTTCTCACGGAAGTGTGTCTGCTCAACTTGAAAAGGATAAGCGATGCCGGAAGCCCACAACTCTTCAATGCAGTCAGGGCACTCACGCTGCACAAGTCGCAGAGGCCCTCGCACTCGTGCAAGACGAGTTCGTGAGCGAGCTGACAGGGAGATACCTCGCCTGGGAAGGAGCTATTGCAAGTTGCCAGCCATGTCTGCAGAACAGGTCACACGCAGCAGACCTTTGCTTGCAGTGACAGAAGCTACATAGCAAGCCATGCAGCTAGGTCACCAAGAAACGTGTGCACAGAGGCAAAGTGGATCCTCTCCTCACAAGTTACCTGGACAGCAATAATACTCAGAGCCAGTAGCTCCTTCAAGTCTTGTAGCGCGCGGATCCGGAACAGCATGCCAGTAAGCCGCCTTGACGTCTTGCAAGGTGCAAAATCTCTTGCAGCCGGGGAAGGTGGTGGTCATTGTGAGTGTCCTATACGGCATAAGTCAGGTAGCAAAAAAGCTTAACGAGATTTACAAAGGGAATGCCTGGGATCCCTCCGCAGGAAACAGATCTTTCCTGGGTCTTGACCTGAATCACTGTGTCCTGGTGGTCGTCTCTGTAATGGTGGTAGGTGGGCAGCCGCGGTTCGTATGTTGGCAGCACCATATCCTTCACAACTGGCTGACGGGGTGTTTCTCTTTTCATGTTCGCAACGAATCATTCTACTTCTGCTCTTGTTATCTTTCTCCTGTCTGCGCCTTCTCAGCTCAGACAATACAGATCACCCCGCATCTGCATGTATGCATGCTTGTGTGTGTGTGTGCGGGGGGATTGCCTGTTGTGAAAGATGGACTGTCAAAGGATTCACGGCCAAGAGTCTTTTTGCCATCAGACCAACCATGGACCCAATTCATGTAGCCGGATTCGCAATCAAACCTCAGTTTAATCAGAGTAAAGAAGTCTTTGCACGGCGCATGCTCGTGCGCCCATGATTCTCCAGCAATACAGGCTTTCATGGCAGACCAGCAGCGCATTGTCAGGGCAACCAAGTCCAAACCTTGCACAGCAGTGGGCCTGCTTCCTGAGCTGAGGTGCTCTACGGAAAGCATGGAAAGTCAAGATATGCCGACGCTATGCATACTTCCTCAAGCAGGTTGACGTTCACTGCCTGATCTTAGGCATCAGAGTGCATGACGACTTCAAGGGGCATGATGGAGGATCATAGGGTGCAGCTGCGCTTCTCAATGTCCCAATAAAGCCTGACCTCAATAGAAGGAGTCACGCCCAAGCCACTCTTGCTACATGCACAGTGTCTATCGACCTCGAGCGCACGGCAAACAAACAGCGGCTACAAGTATTCAAATCCCTGGGTTTCGACACTTTTTGGTCTCAAAGCCTTGCAATTCTCAAGAAGCCAATGTCCATCACAGTCTACGCTGCCCGAAACCCCCTCTCCGCCAAAACACGGGTACAACACCGATGTACACCAGCTTTTCAGCACATGTAAAGTGCATGTACTATCAACAGCTGACCCTATGTCCAAGTTCCCGAACAGTTCAGCAGCAAGCCGGAATGCCGGCCCAAATGCCCCGAGCAAGCCAGCACAAGTCAGACAAAAGCTGGGTTCATCCAGCAGCGTGAATTGCAGATCCAGGCCCCAAGCATCTTCGATGCCCTGGTTGCAGTCGTATCGGGTGTCCCCATCTTCAACTACCGCCTAGCAGGAGAACCACGTGGACCGCAACTGTGCATGGTCAATGCATGCAGGTGCTGTCTGATAGTCGGCCTCCGTCATGCTGAGCTGTCTTGCGGCCCCATCTGGACGACATCCCAGGCCATGCATCAAACAACACCAGACCTGATCCGCCAAGATGACTCGCCAAACTGCCGTAGCTTCGTACAAGGACAGGCAGGACGCCTGATGAGTACTGGCAAGACGCCATGCTTCCGGCCTTCTCCTCTTCGAGTACCACACCTGCTTCACAGGACTCCTCTGACAGCTCTGCGGCCTTAGCACAAATTTCTCTATGTCTGGCAAGGTTGCAGCACTAAGTCTTTTTCTGATGAGGCACCGCGTAGATCAAAAGGAATCCCCACACCCGAAGCTGCATGGCCTGCATCAATGCACGTCAAAAAACAATAAGAAGCAAGACAACCAAGCGGTGAAGATTGCATTTCAATTGAGCAACCGAGACACCCCAAAGTGCAGGCTCTGCGCAGCAACCGGCCCAGGGACTCCTGACCCCGCTTGAGCAACCTAGATGCCCCGATGCGTGCACAGGGAGCTGATTTCCACCACCTCTGGGAAAATGTTGCACTGGGCTGAAGACAGCAGGTCAACCACGGGAAGGAACAAACTCTTTGCTCACAACGTTTAGAAAGTTGCGGCCAGCATGCCAGCTTTTTGCGCGCGGGCAAGCACGTCTTTGATGACGCCACCTAAGCCTGACACAACCCCATCAGCCAAGTGGCGCACGGATACAGTCGACATAATTAAGGAGCAAGTTCAACCACCCTTATGCTAATTGGAACATGCCTGTTGCATGGAAAGTATTCGAAGGGTATGTCCCATGAGAGAGCCACCGACGTTCAACACAAAAATAAAGCTTCGCAAGCTCCCGTAGCTTGACCGAGTGCATGTTGAGCGCGGCCAGACGCAAGGCAAAAAAACGATAAGTCGCGAGGCGTGTTGACTGATGGCACCCTGCTGCTGGCACTCATGGCTCTTAATTCAACAAAACTTTCTCTTTGACTTTTGCAATCGAGAGGACTCTTGTGCCCCTCGGAAGACCTGTCAAAAACATCACTGTACAGGATGAGGCCAGGTCAAAACGGCGCTGTTACATCTTATGCCTGCAAATGCACAAACCCACAATCACAGCCCGTGTGCTGCCAAAGATATGGAAGGCGAAACTGCAGAGAAGACACTCTCATGAAGACTCTCAAGACGGTCATGTCGATGCTGAAGGTGAAGAAGGATCACCACTGAGCTCGCCAGGCTTCGCATTCGGAGAGTCCTGCAGCCATGTTGGGCCTAAGGCAAGCATCTGCTGCACAGCTGCTCAGAATGGATGTCCTGGAGCAGTGGGTGTTGAAAAAGCGATGGGAGTTGCGGATTGATCTGCCCCGCTGCTGCAATGACCTCTGCGGGTGTATTACCCATCCTTGGCGTGCATCCGGCGATCTGCTCACACTTCTGAAAGCACCAGCCAACCACGTGCAAGTGCTGACTTCACGTGTAGCTCGGAAATTAAACAAGCAATCTTTGCGGAATGCCACATGACGTTCCGCACAATGCTCTTCACACCAAAGCACTTTGCCACCAGTGGATGTTCCGCCAGTCCTTGCATTCGTTGGATTGCAAAGGCACCGTGAGGGCGTGCTTTTTGCAAGTTCACGAAAATCATGAAAATCATTAAGCTTGAGGCTTAAGAGATGTGGATGCTCTGGCTCCTTACTAGGCCCGTCTTCTATCCGGTCCTCAGTTCTAGATCCTTCAGGAATCAGACACTCCGATTAATTCTAGTTAGGGCCCAGGAGGGGTGGGGAGGAAAGGGGGGTGGAAAAGAAGAACAACTCACCATTCACGAAGCCTGAAGCCTACTGCTATTTGACTTCTTCCTATCGCCACTTAAATTTTCTAGAGCTCCCACTCGTATATCCTGTGTAGGTTGGCTATCAAGCTCTCTATCGATAAGAGATATCTTTTTTTAGAACATGGTGGCTGGATTTAACCATTGCTGAGCATCTCACTTAGGAAGTACCTTTGCATTTCATTCATACACTTAAGGTAACAGTGGTAGAGGAGAAAGTACACATTGCATGCATAGCATGAGCACTCATGTTATCATGGATGGGATATGAGTGCACTTGTTGAATAATAAGCTGTACAGGATGTACCAGGCATATTCATACAAGAGCACGAAGTTTAGATGTATTTGGGCACCGCACATGTACTTTGCTGAGTCAAGGCGTTTGGGACTCGACTACTCATGGGAGAGATTTACTAGAAAATAATGGAAAAGAACGATGATTGTGCGAGGATCTATGCGTTAAAAGGCAAGGTTCAGAAGGATATCTCCTACGCAGAAAGGTATTAAATCCTATATGCGTATCGCTTATGAGGATGATGCTTGCTGGAGTGCACGGGTTTCAAGCATTCCTGAGAAAATTTTCATTTACAGACTTTGTAGATGACTTTTTATCTTTGAATGGGAGCCTCTAGGTTGTACGTTGAGGCTCTCATTGCGAAACTTGTGCTCTTGAGTAGGACCCTTTAAGACTGACTGGATACATGTGGAGACGTCATGTGAAGTGACACATGCTGCATCTGTCTGCCAAGTTTGGCTCGAAGTGGCAACATCAGTATGCTGAGGGCAAAACTACAGCGGATCAACTCCAGGTGCAAAGTTGGGAATCGTGCTGGAATTCCCATGAAGCTTGATCACCTATCTTTGGGTTATTCGCACGAATAGTTGCTTTACTGGGGAACTGCATCCTGACTGATGCGAGTCGTTTGCCGTGGTTTCCATGAGAAGTTACCACAGCAAAACCTATGATATGTGAGGAGATCTTGATGCGAGGCATTGGCCTTCTCTTGAGGTGGCTCGATGCAATCGTGGGATCACAGCAAAGCTTATTTTTTTGAGAAACTGCAAGTTGCACGGAGAACCTCCTGCAAAGCACAGGCATTTATAGGAATGTCTGATGCAGATGGTGCCTAACGCAGGCGAGCGCACTTCAAGGGTGGCGCGGTTCTGGGGCATGCCCTCATTCAAGCACAAGGTGCATTAAACTGGCATGTTCTATGTATATCTTTGTTTATCAGCCGCCATGGAAATGCCAGAAGGTGTAAGGGGCAGTCCAGCAGATGCACTGCATTGCAATGGAAGTACATATTATATACAGGCACAATACTCATGGATATGATTACTGGGTTAGGAGGACATGTCCTTGTGGGCAGGTCTACACTCAGACTAAAGAATTCTACGAGGGAGGCTTCCAGATGAGACCTAAGGCTTGGGAGATAGATAGAATACGTATGTATACATTTTAATCAGGTTGTGCAGAAAAATCTTCATCAACTGCTCATGGTTCTTGGGCCATATCACCACAAGAGCGTTTCACAACCCACGGCAAATTAGATAATGCCAGCCATATCTACCTTGCATAGGGTCAGGGGCAGACCATGTTCAATGATGTATGGCCGCCAATAGATAACACAGAATGGTCATCCAACATCTTGTGTGCTCTTCATCCAAAAATGTGCCACATCCATCCTAAAAGTACTGACTATCTTATATAGCATGAAAATTCGGAATCAAGAAGACGTGCCAATATGCGTTGGATGAAGCACCGTGATGGTCAAACTGCCGTTTCCTTCGACATGGTGTTCTTCGAAGAGCTAGCAGTCGGTTGCCCCTCACAGTAATCACATGACAGTTGACACGTCCGGACCGATTTGCATGGGAAAACCATGAAAGTATCCTTAAACAAAAATGTGTTTTCTGCTTAGAACAGCAAGCCCTCTCGTCGACGCCTCTCTAGAGAATCACAAGCAAGGAGAAACTGGTAAAGTATGTTTCCACGGATCGTTGGAGGAACTCGCGCCGGCGGCCGGACAGAGCAAGGGGCAAGTCGCCCACAGCATTGCCTGAGATCTCATGGCTAATAGCGGCTGGCTGCTTTGCAAGAATCTTACAAGGCCAGTGCAGCAACCGCACGGAGAAGTTTGCACATCAGCTTGCTACTAGTAGGACTTAGACAAGAAATGCAACACAGCAACGGCAAGATGGTCCGTCCAAATCTCGTGGGTATAGAGGACGGTGAGAACGCCGCGCTAGCAGCAAGCAGGCATCCTTCAACATGTTCAACATTGCTGCTATGCGTCATTCTCATTATGTAGCAGGCTAAAGTCATATAACACCAGATCAACCATGAGGAATAGCCACTGGGGCAGAATGCCAGCAAAGACCAACCTCACGACTCAATGGCGGAAGCTCCACCGCAACCACCTGCCACCAGGCCAGCAGACGGCAGGGGATTCTCACAGCTGCTTACTTGGTCGATCGTCTCCTTTAAGCTTTTGCTTCGAGCCTCTGCCGGGACTCCGACCCCCGCTTGAGGCTGCAAGGTGCATTCTCTGGAGGGAGCCATTGGTCAGGAATGATCTTTCCAGATAGGACTAGCTGTAAGCTACTCAGCATAAGATGGGCCGCATGTCTCCTGTACCCTGACTTGATCTTGCTTCAGCAACTCCATGAACCTCTGCACCTTGAGCCTGGTTGCGACCTTGCCTTCCTCGAGAGCGGCGCGTCGTAGCGCGGGCGCTGGGAGGCAAGTAGGACGCGCAGTCCAGGGCTCTCCACCAGGCACTGAGGGCAGGGGGCTGAGCATGAAATGGTCTGTACTACGCACGTGAAACAGCAATTTGCTTGGTTATCAGATTATCATCAGCAACAGCCAAGCCCAGCCTACACGCATGACGTATCTACTTTGCTATTGTTGGCAGACCCATTCGGCAGCAATATCGTAAGGTAAAGTGAGCCTCTTCCAAGAAGGCCCACAACTCGGCAACGGCTGGCTCTGAAGCTCCAAAGCTCTGCTCCACTCCATCGAGAGCCAGAAAGGCGCAACGACTCCCTCCGGCAACGACAGTTGCAAGGATGGTTTAGGACTTTTTGATAATTCAAAGCCCATAGGCAATAAGCCATGCAGCAGCACCCCACAGCTTGCCTGTCAAAGATTCACGAAGCTTGGCGATTGCTGCCAGTGGCCCCAAGCCAGACCTTGATCATCCATCAGCGGACTTCGCGAAATACATACGAGGACCAGGAGAATCGAGAGTTTCTGATGATGCGTAAGGCGTTCGCAGCCGCACCCGCACAGCTTTTCGACTGCAGGTTGCAGGGCCTCCGGCAGCAGCCTCTGCCTGCAAAAGAAGTGGAACGCGAGCCTTTGAGCATGCAATCAGGGGGGATAATGTCGCCTCTGACGGCAGCTCTCGGCTGCGGCAGAGCCGGACAGCGCTCGGCGAGAAGAGCCTCACCACACTGCTGAATCCAACCCGATTGCTTCGTGTTCTTGTTTTAGGCGGTCATGCCTGTCACCAGGCAGCCCGTAGAAGCGGCAGAACTCGGAGATGAATGCAGACTTGCCAATGCCGGCCTGTCATTCACTGTGCTGTTATTGTGTGACTGTCTACAACTTGTGCAGGATCAAAATCAAGGATAAAACGCTACAAGAGCTGATTCCTGCATTTTTGTTTCGGGGATGATCTTTTGTTCGAATGTGAGTCCATTGCTCGCAAGAGCTCGATTTTTAGCCAGAATGTGATCATACTCCACTCGAGATTGCGACTTGGAGCCGAATTTTACGACCATTCCACGCAAGAGTTGGACTGCGCGTCTACGGAGCAAAAAAGTGAGGACGCTTCAGGCGATTGAAAATGCGCGGACGTTGCATGAAAGAGCACGCTTTGGCACAAAACTGTCGTTGGCCTGATGTCGAGCAAAAATGTGAGCATGCTGCAGGCGATTTTTGGCTAACATGCTTGGATGATGGATGGTCCACGTGAAGGCAAGGGCAACGTAAACAGGACTAAGGAAAGAAGAACGGTGGCAAATATGATAGTGAGAGTAATTCAACTAGAAAAATCGTTAGTTGTAGCAGTACTAATAACTCGTAGTCATATCAGCACGGGCTAGTGGACTACTAGTAGTAGTAGTAGTAGTAGCAGCAGTAGCAGCAGTAGCCAGTAAACTTAAACAGATTGATGAGTCTGGGCACAGCCGCCCCTGCCAGGCACCTCCCGTACGCGCTTTAAAGCAGAATGGAAGGGGGCTTCGGCCCCCACGCCCCCTCTTTGCAGCATAATGTGACTTGATGCGGGTTCTTGGTAAGTTGTTCAGGCATTGTGCCTTAAAACTCAGCCGTGGGGGTTGGAGGTCGCAGCCCCGCCGCTTGCAAAACGAAGCCATTGATGAGAACAAACAGGCTCTCCCTTGTGCTTGGAATACTTGTGACAAAGACAAAGGTAATCAAACACAGGAGTGAGGATCATAATACCAAAAACACAGGGAGAGAGCTGTACAATGATGCTATTGCGATCCACATGCAGCATGAAGGTAACAAAGAAAAGAAAACCTCACAATAGAAGAGAAGAAACACTGTGCTTGCGCTTTCAAATTGCGAGGGGAGGGCGGAATGGGGCAGCAAATTGCCCGTTCTGGCTAGGTTTGCGCTGTTGCGTAGACAGGCACATTATAAACGCAAGAGTCCAAAGCACATGTAACAAACACATCGACAAATTTCTTTAAGTGCGTCAAACATCCCCAATGGCCCAATTTGGGTTGCAAGGCACTATCAAAAAAGCAAGGCCACCATATGGAGCAAGGTATCAGCAAGTAAATTTGCGACGGCGTGCCCAGACATACCGATTGCACCCTCCAAGCACAACCGTTGGGGACAAGCGGGTGCGGATTGTCCAATGTAGGTGGTGAAATCGATCATGTCCCGCCGACCAACATGAAAAAACAAAATTGAATCGGATCGGTGTCGGATCGATTGGGACCCTTCCCACGTGGGGGGGTAGGATGCTTGGCACTGATACTGCGGGGTGCATACCGCGGAGGTCGGGGTTGGGCACTGCAGGGATGCTTTGGGGATGAGCTTTACATCTAACAACCCCACATCGAGGGTAGGAAAAAAAACAGGAAAAAATCTGTGGAAGGATCTGACGAGCTAGGCGCAGCAATCTCCAGATCAGAAAATAGTTTGATAGGAGAACACCAAAAATGTTGAAGCACACATTGCATGGACTCGATTCCCACACAAAGGCCATCTTGAGGAGCAAGGCTCAACAAAAGGTCGTTAAGGCAAAGGCGGGTGGCGTTCCGTAAGCACAGCAGAAAGACCGGCATCAGAGCCTTGCCGTGAAGCCACACCACGCGGCGATGACCCAGAAAGGCACTGGCCACAGCTGCCATGGTAGAACCTTCTGCAGGCACTGATTGGTGTCAGCGTTTGGACGCCTTTTTCGGTTGGACAAATGCACCTCGTCCCACAAAGTCTTCCACAGGCGCAGGGAGATCATGCCCATCCAACCTACAGTCAGGATACACTGGCTCATTTGCGTGCGCTTTGCAGTGTCTAGCCACGCACCTGTCCTTGTACATCCCACGTTTTTCGCAGGCCACGGCATGAATCAACAACCACCCCCGCATGGCCCAAGGGGCACGAGGTTTGAGAGTGACCATTTTGCAGCGACAAGTGGCCGCATGCAGATGTATCTTGGCACCTCGTTGAGGCCCGCTCGTCTCAAAAGCCGAGGCCCTTGCCCTGCAAAGCGGGGCATCGTCGAGGAATAGCGCGACAGCGGCACATCCGGCCCGGGCGCAAGCTTTGCTGGAAAGAATCGGAAGTGTTCGGCCTGCGGCTCCCAAGAAGGACTGCAGAGGCTTTGCTAATTTTATCTAGCCTCGGATCGCAGACCAGGTTGAGGCGACAAGCGCACGGCGCGTTGGGCTGCTGCGAAAGAAGCCCGAGCTAGTCCTGTCACCTCTTCTCGCTTGGTCTCAAAGGGTTGATCCGAATCAACTTTGAGCATGGGGAAGCCTGGAGTGTTAAGACTAGGGGTTGACTTTGTCCACTGCGCTCAACAAGAATGCCGAGGCCAAGGAGCAGGGTGGGCTGACTTTGGGACAGCAGCAGCCAGCGAGCGCAAGAAGATCCCTGCGGCAACCGGGGGCAAAGCATGGTTCTACCACACTTCCCCAAACCACTTCAACTTGCTACGAGGTCACGGAGAAACTCGCGAGCTGCGGCATCGAAGACTTCGCCTGCGTATGCAGGAGAGATACTAGACTGCCAGTCTGTGCACGTCTGTATGAAGCCTTCGGAAACATCAGGCCCTGACCGGAGCATGCTATCGCGCAGCTGGCGCCAGAAGCAACGAAACGCTGAGCCAGCGACCTTAGGAATGCTCCCACCCCACGAGGCCGGCGTCAGAAGACTTCTATTCGACATGTCGACACATCATCCCAGCATCTGTGGTTCACGTAAAACAGGGTTAACACCGAGGTGCTCGGAGTGACAGGCATCCACAATCACCACGTCGAAATTGTCTGCAGGAAGGCCTGGGATGCTCACAGAGGAAGCTAGCATGCCAAACTCGGCATCCCTATCTGAGTCCGCAGTCCTGCCGATCCACATGGTTGGCATATCCAACTGGATCAATCAGTCTTTCTGATTCTGCCATCTGCTGGGAGGCATCAACTCGAATTATGGAATGCAATGGTCAAACTCTGCAATGCTACAGTAGCACGTGGTCACAGAGGTTCCACTAACCTGTTTTCACATGCAATTGTGGCAGCATCGTTGCCCTGTGGAGCCACTAGAGTGGAGTTTAGGTCTCATGCATGTTGCTCGGACGCAGGTTCATGATCCAAAGGTTGAGGGGGGCACGTCTCAGCTTTGCTCTAGAGACGCCACAATCCCAAAACCAAAACCAAAACCAAAACATTCGATATTGATCCATCTACTCCCTACTCCCTTGCGTGCGGAACTGGCGACATCGGCTTAGCTGTTCTAGCTTGTCCCCTGATGCTTCCAAGCAGCTTGATGAGTCGCCTGCTGCTAAATCAGGACCATTCAGCGCGAGCAGCTCATCCAAATCCCGGATATCAACTACATGGGCGTGACCTTGGCCAGCATCACGTTTCATCCGCTCCCAAAGCACTACCGGCAGGATCTCCCAAGCAGACTGAGACAAAAGCCCACGGCATCCTCCAACAGCAACGCCGGCTGCGCCTTCTCGACGGCACAGTGTGCCGCCAGCACAAGCACACGCGGGGCGGAGGAAGGACGTTCAGTCCTGAAGGTTCAGAACATGAATGCTAGGATGACGGACTGTCGCTCCTCTCCACAACTTGATGCTAAAGGATTGCAACGTTCCCATGGAATTCTCGCGCTCAATACCGTCGTAATGGCAAGGAGGAGCCCGACCACGGCCCAATCCTCCAGACTTCTGCCAAGGTCTCCGTTGTGGCTGTACGAACCTCATTCAGAAAGATGAAGCTTGAAAGGCGGCTTGCTGCTCTGGCTGCCAAACGAATTATCTAACTGCCAAGTTTCTGAGAGGACCTCCACCCCTGGCATTGTGGCCAGGGCTTCAATCTCGGCTCGGATATCCAGGGGAGCAACATCCAGCGGAGAAGCATAAAGGTAGTCGAGGTGTAGCCCGGCTGCCTGAAACGGCACTCAATCACCGCCCGCAATCTCTAGTCCTGTTTTCGAAGAGAAATCCAAGTCCAGAACCTGACCGGCTCGCTCCTCTCCAGGCTTGATCGCCTCTTGTCCTTTCGACGCAGTCCTTTGGACGAGCCCGCAAAGACATGTCTGGAAACCTGCATGAGGTGCAGTGATCGTGGAGGCCAGACTGATGAATCGCAGCACCACGTGGGTCTTTAGCAGATCTCCTTGTGCCGGCATCTTCCTCTAATGGCGGAACACATCGTGGTGAGCCTGGCCTTGCAGGAAACTGCAGCAGCTCTTGTACCATCTCCCCTTCAGAATACTCTGCAAAGATGACACCTTGCACGTTGCAAATGATGTTGCCGCCACTCCAGGAGCCAAGGAGGCAAGTCTTCAACCAGGTCGCCTAAGATCTGCTGTGCAAGCCAGGACTTTGCTCCATCCCTGACTTCAAAAGACCGCAAAACCGGACATCAAGCTTGCTCTCTTTTTCCAAGAGGCCAGATCTGGGGCAAACAGCGAGGTCTTCCTCGCGCAGCACGCCGTGCAGGTCAAGCACCTTGGCTGCTCCACGCATGATCGGAACTCCCTGCAGAAACCTGCGCATTATGACGCCCATCTGCTTGCAATGACGTGCTGCATGGGTGTGGCCGGCAGTGCAGGCAGGACATCGAATCCCAGCACGAAAGCTGATCCTTGCTGCAACTTGACTGCAAGTCTCATTGCAAGTCTCATTCAGCAGTGCAGCGGTGCGGCCTCGGCATCCAAGCTGTGATTGCTTCTCGGAAGTTGTGGAGCAATCGTTCCTGAGGACAGATTTTCGACACAAAGCCATACAAAGCCAGGGCTCCGAGATCAGTCGGAGCGGACAGCTACGATAGATGCGACCCAGCTTCCACATGACGCCAGGACTGCCTTGCAGGCACCTCTCAAGCAAGACCAGCTGCGCCTGTTGCCCTATCCGGATGCAACCTGGCCTAGCTAGGCCTGCAACAGCTGCGGGATACCTACCGTACTAACTAGTCATCTTGTGATCCGCCTCGGAGCGACGCGGGCGAAGGGAGCAGCGCAAAAGGTTGCCACACGGCCTCGGAGTTCCAGCTGCCACGTGATTGGAGCTGGAGATGCAGCGCCCAGCTGAGCTAAATCTGCATCTTGGGCACTGCACAGACACCAGGAGAATCCTTGAACGCGCACCATTGCATTACCAAAAAACAAGGCAATAGCTGGGGTTCAAATTATTTGCTTAATTCAGCTGCGGCACTCTCGGGGTCGCCAGTGCCCAGAGCATCGCAAGGAATCGCCCTGGGCTTGGCCCTGCGTGGACACTGCAAACGTTGCCTGGATGCGGGATGAATTCAGGTGCAGGATGGTGCAGGTGAAGACCGAAGTCCTAACAACAGCAGCTTGGGAAGCGCTTTGCCAAGGAACCACAAACTGACTTAGTTGAGAAGTCAGAACAAAACCATTTGTCCCCAGTCAACTGCTGCACTATTGCAGAGATTGCAAAACACATATTCGCATGTTAAACAACTGAATCAGTCGTAACAAACAGTCCGTTTACCCTGCGACCTCAACTCTCCAAAACCGCTTGAACAAGGGCAATGGTGAGATTCTAGGCATAATGTTGACAGGCCAGAAGCACATGTTGCAGTGCCATGAGCCAGGGCCTATATCTCTGGTGATACACTCGGCGATGCCCCCAAAACGAAATGGTGGACCACCACAGCTTTTCTATGGAAGAACATCACCGTGAATTTGTTCGCCCCCCCTCTCCCTGTGAGGTCACACTTTGCTACAACTTCATCGCGGGCGCTCCCTTTGTTGAATCTGCAACAATCATGAGAGCGTTATGACTTTTGTTGTTCCCTGCGGCCACTGAAATGGTCACGCGGCGTCAATGAAGCAAGCCAGTCAACCCCCATGAATTATTGCACAAGTTGCAAAGTTTGCGTACACCGACAAGATCTGCACACCAGACTCGACCTTGCTTAAGCTGCAGAGCCTCAGAAGATCTATGCATGAAAGAGCGCATGACTGACAGGATACTGTTCACCTTGCTGCCACTCTTGCTGCTGGCTTGCAATCGCGGGATGAGAGTCGGCAAAAGCCGGCGGAGAAGGCCGTGGAAGTCTAAATAAAGCACACATCCATCCTCTTTCTCGTCGCCCTCGCGCTCACGCAACGGCCGCATTGGCAGTTGTGAGGGCACCAAGAATACGATCTGCCTCAACAGACACAAGGGGAGTGAAGGATTGAGCTTCGGCTGCCTCAAACCGAAAGACCGGTTGCCGATTGGAACACAGCATTTGCTGCCTCTTGACGAGGAACCGCTGTTGCAGTGGATTTTGTTTGTCGCCCCATGCAAGAAGCAAATCCAAAGCCTGCGCTGAAAGCATAGGAGCTGCTTGCGCGCTATTTGTGCTGAGAGCGGACGTGTTGAATGGCACCCAACCCCTTCAGTGCGCTTCTCAGTTGCAGCCGCACCTGCAGCAGCCCGATCAGCTCAGCTTGATGCTTGGCAAAGTGCCTGGCCCGCCAAACGGCAGCCAAAAGCTGTACATGGATGAGGCCTGCGGCTCAGGACAAGGCTAAGCTTCCAGCACAAAAAATCTACAAGTAGGACGTGCTAGAACCTAGCTTGGCAGCCCGTGCTGCGAAACAAGTCGCAGGAGCCTTTCTCTTTGAGCTCGGCCACATGATTGACACAACCTTGGAACACCTTGTCCTTTGCAGTGAGAACCTAGGCCACGCCACGCAGTGAAATTCTGAACTGCTCAATCGTTGACACTGGATTTCGCTGCAAGGCAACAGCAGCCGCTGCATCGCCAACCCAACCAGGCTTTAAGCAGATCAAGTCGCCTGATTTCCGAGACAATATTCAGGATGAACGACATGCATTGACTCGAGCAACTTCCATTCTGCCAAGTTGCGTAACTCTTCAAACACTGAGTCAGGGAAGTGGAGCAAAGCACCCAGACCATGAAAATGACGCAGAAAATTTTGCCTTAATTCAGCGGCATCACGAAAAGTTGTTGCTTCACTTCTCATGTTCACCGAGAATACGCGGGTGGAGGCAGTTTTCAGACGTGTTTCCTCTGTTTGCTGATGTTGGCTCGTTCTTGATTTTCTCTTAAATGCAGGAGAAACTGCTCTGCTCGTGACAGAGTACCAACGCATAAATCGCGGCATGTTGAGCTTTCAAGAACTGTGGATTTGGAGCTCTCTCAAAGACTGCAGATACAGTACCGGGTAAATACTATGAACTACTGGAATTGGATCTCTTCAAAGGCTGCAAACACTTGAAGTACAATAGGTAAGGTAGAACCCTTGAAAAGCTGCATGAAGCAATTCAAGCTCTTCAAGGGTTGCAAGCACCAGGAATGGCATCTGGAGGTCTTCCTGCACATGCTGGGATTGACAGCATGTGCACCCATTCAACGGCTGCAAATACTTCGACCGTACTACGAAATACTACGAATATGATGTTTTGAAGTACAACATTTGGAGCTCTTCAAAGGCTTCAGAAACCATGATAAGATGTGTGATGGTGTTTGGGGCAAACGGAGGAACGCTTCTGGCAGCAATTGCGGCAGTCGCAGCAAAGAGATGCAATGGGAAAATGCCAAGCCATAGTGAGAGCGTAGTGGCTCTCTGTGCATTACAGGACCTGTGGTCATGCCGGGAGCATGTCAATGGTTGAGAAATGAATGAACACGGCAGGCAGCTTAAGTAAGCGCAAGCCTGCCCTCAAGCGCAGAATATTGATGAAAATGATGATCTTTTAAGATTCGGGTAGAGCCTAGGCTGAATATGAAGTCACGCATTAAAACGGACAGCAGGGACTTTGGGGCAGCTGCAAATTGAGAGAGGCAGCGCAAGCCACATAACAAACATTGGCGAAGATAGGGACATTTGAATTGTCAAGGCTTAGCTATGGACATGTTGGAAGTATCTTTTACTCGCACCACTGTCTCGAACGCCCAGGCGAAGCATGAGACTCTTGGCACCCGAGACCACCAGGTGGCCAGGGCAAGCTAGCTAGCAAGCCCAGCCATGAGGAAAAGACTCCAGAATGCATATATATATATATATCTCATTATATATATATATACTAGATATATAATACGTATATATATATTATTATACATATATATATATATTATTATACATATATATATATATACATTATATCTGCAAATGCTTCCAGAGCTGCAGTTCACCCTGTGACTCGAAGCCATACCGTCGGCAGCGCTGCCAAAGCTCTTCGACCTTCAATTGAAGCTCGGGGCAGGCATAGCTTTAGGGTTACCTAGAAACCCAAAGTACTTAAAGTAACGGCATTTATGGCTGTTATTGTGGGTTTAGGGCTAATATGTTGATAAAACTGCTGGCATTTTTGGAAAAGGTCCAAGGCACACGTGTCAGCGGTCCAAGGTTGCCATTGCCGCCAGTTCGCTGAAGTACAGCCCAGAAGTGACTCCAACGAAGCGGAATAGGCGTGCCAAGCGGTCCTGCGACAGACATGGCTCAGGCGGGAGCAGGCAAAGGGCTCTTGCCGCCCGTGTCCTTGCAACAGCTTTGCTGTCATGTTCTCTATTGCTTCACGAAGATCGGCCAGCGATCCTTCGTCCAATCCGCGATCCGGATGCTGAGATGGAAGCCACACAACTTAACCTCCAATCATCTAATGCAGCCTTGCAGCTCCCCCCATCTGTGCAGGCATTGTCAACAGGGAAGAAGCAAAGCTGAGTCTGCTCATTGATCTGCAGTTGCCTTTGCAACGCTCGACAAACTAATATGTCTTTGCATCTTTGCAACTCTTGGCGTGGCTTGACAGCGTCTGTGAGCAGCATAAAAATCCAATTTCTCAGGCCGCTGCTCATTGAGCTCGGGCAGTTTGGCACAGAAAGCCGATATGCGCTCATTGACTTCTGCATAAACTCTCCTGCGCGAGTTCTGCGAGAGGCCTTAGCATATATGAAGCTAGACAGCCGCTCAACCAAAAAATGTCTTCCCCACTGACCAAGCGCAGCGCAATCATTGTGGGTGCCAACGATGGCCACTGGAGAGTTTGGCGCGTGGACAGCAATAGAAGCCAACCACCACTCCATTGCTTGCCACGTGTTTGAGGCTTCGGACTCTTTCTCCTTCATTCCATCCCCCTCGTTTGCGGAATCGTCGGCAAGGTTAAATGCGGAAAGGTCTATACAAGCCAAGTAGATTCCATAGTCCTCAGGGCAGGGCGCACATTTCCAAAGCCTCACCGTGCTTGTGCCAACACAAATGAAGGCAACCAGGTGGCGCTGAGAAACAAATGGTGCATGGCATAGTATACTTCCTGTCCACCAAAGTCGTAGGCCTCGAGGGAAGCTTAAACTGCATCATCTTTCAGCACATGGTCTCGAGCCCTAGTGGCCCTGGTGCTCTACATGTGGCGCCTCCAGGACAACAGCCTTGTCTTCGGAAGACGAGTTCACGTTGGCTGCAGTCTCACCCAGACGCCTACAAATCGCCCTGTACTTGGTAAAGCCAAGCTGGGCACAGGAAACGTCCCTATGTCCAAGAGTAGCGAAGCAACAAAGGTTACAATCTACCACCCACCTTGCAATCAAGTCCACTGGCATACGCTTCATGACTTTGTCATCCAGAGCTTGCTTTCCTGGCAGGCCAGTAGTCTTCTGCGACTGGGCCTGAATAAGGGGAGCTGATTCCAGCAAAGGCGCCCATCTTTGCCGAACTCGACGTGGCACTTCCGGGTCGTCTAACAAGGTCGGCTACATACCTGACGTACGCTCCAAACTCGAAACTGTTCTGGCATTTTCGCACTGCACTTAACCTCACAGACGCTCGAGTTTATGTGTTGTGCGCCAAGCTGCTTTGCAACGCCCCGATCCCAGCGCGAGCTGCTGGTCACGGCATGTGCCTCCTGCAAACAGAGAAGTGAGCGACAAAACGGTCTTGTCTTGCGATCATGCGCCGCTGCAAAGATTCCTGCAGCTGCCAGCGTTGCCCTGGGGCTGCAGAAAGCAGCTCCTCATCCAGAAGGGATTTATGGCAAGATGGTTATTAGGGCGAAAGCCTCAAGATGTCCCATCCTGCGACAATGCCCAACAGGCCAGGCCGTGCGTACTTTCCTGATCTCTCCTGATGGGAGATTGTGCCGAGGTAGAGACAAGTAAGTACTTGCTGCAAACAAAGCAGCAGATTCTCAAGAACAACAGGGCTGTCTGCGCAAAACCGCTTTGTTCATGAAGTGCCAACTTGCACAATTCCTTGCCTCAGAGGTAGGCCTGCCAGCGCTTGCAGCGTGGAGGTTTTTCCAGCCCGGGCAGGGCCAACGAATCCCAGCTTGGCACACCGCGGCTGGTGCGTTCCTCTGGCATGAGGGCAATCAACCTGCTTTTTGGCACAATTTGCGGCGGAGAAATGGTGACCCTGCCTTGGAGCAGTGCTCTTCGGAAGGCGTCTCGTGCATCATCACCCAATGCTGTCGCCAAATGCCGCGCAGCACCCCTCTGTACACGGAACTTCTCCAGCTTACCTCGGAAGACGGTAAATTTCTGGCTCAGCATCAAAGCCACCGCAGTGTGCCTCACTGGAAGGTGATGCATTGCTACGTCTTCTTTGTGACAAATGCAAGCTCCTTTCTGGCCGCAAGCGGTCAACAGGAGTAGTCTTTGCACTCTCCACAATCAGGGTCAGCCCCGACGCTTTACAAAGACCTTGTTGCTTTCCAACATGCTGTACATTGGAAGTAGCCTTGGGAGCATCTGTGCTGGTAAGCAGGCATGCAACTTTGGCATACCAATCTCCCTGAGGGGCGATGCAGGGCTGCGACTACTCGCCCCCAGCGCATGCCGCCACGAATGCGTCTTCGGCAGCAGCTGGGTCACCGTCGATGCTGAACTGTAGCGGAAACCAAGAAGCCAAGCACGCGTCGTCGGCAACCTTACATCAAGCGAAACATCCGAGAGACACGCTTTACAAAGACAAACCCAAACCTGACAAGCTGGTCCACAGCATAAGAAAGCCTCACAAAGCAAGGAAGGCCAATAGCAGCGCGCAGAAAAGCATTGACTCCCGGCAAAGGGGTTCTGACCCCCTCCACTATGCCTCCCTCAACCACGCAGTACCGCTTCTTGAGGCGCGTTCTAACTTGTCGACTGTTACACATGTGTCTGTGGCTCGACCCTACGATCTCCTTCCTACCCAGACATAACCAGTGTTGCAAGTCACCAGGTCACAGACATAGTTCCCTGCAGCACCTGCATGAGTAGCTTTGTAAGTCCGTCTCCCTCTGGCACGCATACACACATTCGCCTGCGGCTGCAAGTGCCTACAACCGTTCACTGCAGGCGAACATTTTTCACGGAATGCACCGAACTCAGCCCCAACTATGACCTCCATCTCAACCGAAGCAAATGTGATATTCCAAATGTCCACATTATAAGGTTATTTGGCTCACCAAAACGAAAGCCCATCGAAGTTTCGCGTCCGAGAAGCTTTGCCAATGACGCCCGCTAGGGCTTCCAGAAAGGGAGTCTTGGCAGCATCGGCAAGGTGTCCCACTTCAAACTCCTCCTCCCAGACGGGCGAATGGTTGTCCTGCCCAACTTGCGGATGTTTCAGAACATGTCACCCTCCTCTAAGACTCTTTTCGCCTCTTGGCAGTCTTAGCATGAGCAGTCCTTGATGACAGTACTACAATGCGCGGGTGTGCGCAGAATGTCGTGCATGTCTCCGCGGCCCAGGTGCTGTCGGACAACAGAAGCACTGAGGCCAAGAGCAGATATTTCGACGAAAGGGTCCGAAGCACTAGTGACATCACCTCAAGAGGCGTATGGCAACAGAAGTAATATGCCAAAAAATGCATCATTCTTCCAAGCTACATTTTGGGATGTTCTTGGCCTCGTGCAGACGCACCCCCAAGCCTTCAGGGGCAGAAGGCGGATGCTCCAAGGGCACCGCAACCTCATGATTTCTTTTGACCGCTCCTTTCTGCAGGCGTGACGTGCTTGGTAGCTGGATCGGCTTGAAGGAAACTTTGATGGAAGTGTCCCCCTGCAGCGGTACAAAAATTTCAGCAACAGCTGTCTGTGGCAGGGTTTCAAGAAGCAGTTCCTCTGCTGATACCCATCACAATCCTAGACAGCAGAGCGCTATGACTATCATGCAGGCCTACGCTTCTCAACATCAGCTTGAGAAAGCCAGGAGCTGGATGCAGCTGATGCTTCTGAAAATCATGAGAAGCATGCTTTCAAATCTGCCACTGTTCTCTTGTGCCATGACTCAGCAACCTAGCTCACCCGCTGCGCCTTGAACAAAAATCCAGCCTTCACCTGGCCGTGGTGCATGTCCTGACCAAAAAATTGCGGCAAGGGTTGTCTTCTTCTCACTGCCCTGCCCTCCCCAGTCGGGGCACTGCCCAGCAGGCGTGCGCACAGTCTGGTCTGATTCACCCCCTCGGGCCCAACGCTCTCTTCTTCTCTCGCTCTCCTCACGATGTTCAGAGGCTGCGTCCTCCAGTTTCAAATCCTTCGTGCCTATCGCATCTTCAGCTGCCAGTACCTTAGCTGCAAAAACTTGTAGGAACGGAGCACATGACATCACCAGCCAGCATCTGCCTTGACGGCATACTGCCACAGTTTTCGACGGTGGCGGAAGTGGGAGACCGAGGATTCTGACGGGCTATGCAAGCCCCTACATGGCCGGAGGTCTTAGGATTGATTCCATGCATTGGCATCCCGCCGGAAAACTCCTGGCAACCCGCCTGCTGCTCCGGATATGTTTGGCAGGCGAGCCAATGTCCAGCTGAAACCCTGGTTTTGCCGCTTGCATGGCCGGGATGTTTGATTGAGTGGTTGTGGTGGTGCCCTTCGGAGCACCGGCCTTTTTGGGGAAACAGCTGCAGCACAAGCTTGAGACATGTCTAGTTGAAGGCTCCTTCTTCCTCCCCTAGCAAGTGCAGAGTCTGAATGAGCGAATCCCAATCACAGCAACTGAGGCAGGAGCAGCAGCACCGATAAAGTCATCATCTGTGAAGGCATCCTTGTCCCAAACTCTGAATGTAATACTGGCAGTTGGTCTCCAGAACCTTGCCAAGTAAAGGCTGCAGCACCTGTAGAGCAGCTTCGCCAGCGCAACACAATAGAGGCGCCAGAACTTTTGCCGGTCAGCTTGCTCAGATGCTGAAAGTCTGGCGTGCGACTCCTGGGTGTTCAGCTCTGAGCGGCCCCAATCGAAGATATGAACTCGAACAGGAACTACAGGAGCTGGAGCACTTAGCTGAGGAAGGCATGCACTGTCGAAGGCCAACATGATGGACGATCCTGAAACCATTGGCCAAGAAGAAATCTGCAAGCAGACGAACATGTACTGCGCAAGATCCTGCCTATCCACTGTTGAGGCACCGGGACCTCCACAAAGCCAAACATGTTCATTCGTTAAAGGCTGCAGTTTCACGCCCGCGAAAAACTCAAGAACTGAAACTACTGATGCCGCATGCTTCTATCTGTTCGAGTATCGGAAAGAGGTTCGGAACCTTACCTGAACAGTCGTTGCACAAACTTGCAGAATCATCGTCCCCTGGAATCCTGATCGATAACGCGAACCGCGTTCATTTCTCTAATAGATCCTTCCAAAAATCCAGCTGAGTATCACGGTGAGTCACGTTGAAAGAAAACAAGACTTCAGTATCCAACCTCTTTGCAGTTGGCTGTGTTCATGCGGTTGCCTGCATGGCCTTCTAGCAGATGCAATTTTTCTGCCGCGCTGTACTGTTCTGTACTGTTCGCATATGTTAGCATTGGGATAATGCGCAAGAACGCACAGCCTGAAGATGAACCTGCACGTGGACGGGTGATGACTTGATGAAGAGAGTACGGTGACTACATGCGGCCTCACGCAAACGTCATGATTTCACGTTGGATTCTTTATTGGCCAGATGAAAAGCGCAACTTCAAAAGATCCCATGATCTCGGTTCAAAAGAGTGCCGGCAGATTCAGCTGGAGACGTTGTCATGAGGTGCACATTCTGAAGGAGAGGCTGAAGTTCGTGACAAAGCAAAGATTGTCATGGCGCACTGACACGCTCATGTTCGGTCTGCCTTGCGGCAGGCTGTCATGAGCGACGCCAGCTTTTGGATGACTTGAAGCAAGATCAGCTCCTGCGAACGACGGCAGCTAGAATTTGTAGCTTGGAAATTTGCAAAAATATCTGTATTCACAAAGGTACAGCACAGCTTTACACCATACCTGCTGTCACATGTCCAGCATTTTGAACCTGGCAAGCTCTTGACTCTTGACACATACATGACAAACTCATTCACCTTTAAAAATGAGATGACCTACTTCGAGGGCTGCAAGCGGATAAACTTCTATCAAGGGTCCTGGACTTCGACCATCCGAAGACTTTGCCCACCCCCACTTCCAACAGCCTGACCACAGTCAAGGATGCAGTCAGGCAAGGAATTCTTGTTGTGTGAGACCTGCTCAGCTGTGACGTCAGGGTTGTTTTGCCTCTTCCTTTGATGGATAGCCAGGGGCAGGAATGGTTGGAACGCCCGGCTGCGCGGAGCTGCGGCAAAGCAGGAAGTTCTGAATGGCTTCGCGAGTGCTTCGTCGTCGGCTGCCTTCACATGCTCACAGTGACTGATGGCAGCAACTGGCAAAAAAAGAGTGAGGCTGAGCACCTGCAGAGGCCGCGGAGGTCTCGGTCTCTTCCGAAATTTGCCGGCCCAAGTGCTCGGGGACTTGATGCAGGTCAAGGAAAATTCTAAGGAACTCGTTCGCCTGTGACGGGGGAAAGAAAGCGCAGTTACGCTGGACTCCGCTGGACATCCACCTTCTTGATCTGCACATGCAAACCATGCGGGCCTGCATACGTTGCAGATTGAAGCGGCGTAATCGCCTTGGGAGATGAACAAGAAGTGGAAAGCCACAATTCCCCCCTACATTGTAGCCTCACCCAGGCTGCAGATACATCTGGGAAAGCTGAGCCGCTTCTGTGCATGCCGAGGAATATGACTCATCTGCAGGTTCTCGATGCTTCGCAGAAGAGCAGGCGGGTTATCAAAACCCTCAAGGCCTCGGCAACACAGCCTGCTGAACATTCCCAAAGCAAGGAAAAGACCACAGGTTCTGCAAAGCTGAGACGTCCGCGGAAGCCTTCACCGGCAGAGTTGGTGTTGGAGTCCACCGTAATGTTCCTGGTTCTCTCGAATTTGTCAGGCAAGATCCCAGGAACTCCAAAGGTCACTTCATGTCACTTCGATGGAGCCAAAATAAAACCTGCATCCGAGGCTCTGCATGAATGCCTTGATGGTACCCTTACCCTGCCATCCGCCAACGGCAGTGACATTGCCCATCTTGATGTCCAGCATCCGGGCGCAATGAAATCCATCTCTGCAATTGCGCAGAAGCATCCTTGCCACACATGCTCTATCAGGTATTCTGGCCAGTTCCAAGTCTTGGGCTTGCTTAACACAGCTTACGTACGAATTGCTTGCACATTTCTTGAACCTCATGGAGCCACATGCATAT